GCCAACCCCTAGCTCTAGAACAGACGTAACCAAAAAAAAGAAAAAAAAAAAGGAGCCATATTTTGAGCTGCCCGGATAATATGTCACCACCAAGGAGCATATACAAAGGGGCCGATGCCGATTCTCGAGCCCGAACCCCTCCCCCATTCCATATATAAGAAAGAGAACGAGCTAGAAGGAATAAGAAAGATGAGGATGAAAAAAAAAAAAAAAAGAAAAGAAAAGAAATAAACCCCCAAGATGACAACAATAAACAAAAATATACTCCATCCCCCATCCCCCGTCCCTGCCTCCCATCCCCTCCCTCCCGCCCTCCCTCTTAAGCTTTTCGTGCACGCGCCTCTACAGCTAGGCAGCTAACCACAGCAAATGCAAATTATTCACAAGAAGGCGAAAACGAGTGAGGTTAAAAAAAAAAAAAAGAAAAGAAAAAAAAGGTAAAGCTTCCCGGCACCCAAAAATTATAGTAAGCCTCTCCACACATCTAATCAAATCTAAACAGGCACGAGCGCAATACTCTCAAACGCAATCTGGAAGAACTCCTGCATGGCGTTCCAGTGGAAGAGAATGCCGCCAAGGACGCACACATGCCAGATGTTGTGGCTACCACCGAACCAGTCGAAGAACCCAGGGTACCAGCGCTCAGGGACTTGCATGGCGTAGATTAATGCGCCAGCGAGGTATACCGCAATCTACACACAGCGAGTTAGCTAGCTGTCCAGTTACAATGGTACCTGAAGGGGATACATACGGATTTGACAATGGGCAGATAGAACGTCATGGTCCACATCATTCCTCTTGTCCAAATCAGCTGGAACATCGGGATTGTGCCAGTTGCTCCGAGCGTCAAGTAGAAAATGACTCTCCAGACACGCATGTCGGCTTTGTTGAATACCGGGTTCCACGGCAGGATAACACCGGCGATACCAAAGATGAGGGTGATTCCCATATAGATGCTACGGCTGATAGGGTGCACATAGAAGGCGGTATACTCAGTCGTCATGATCGACGCCGCAATGAGCATAGAGATACCGCTGTAGTCCACACACGCAAACCTCTCCATCGTTGTCTGGTGCGAAATTGACGAGAACGTATGCCAGATGGTCGAGCAGGCTAGTGCCTTTGCCGCCGCCAAGAAGAACAACCCGTTAATGAACTTATCGGCTGTCGTATGATCACTGAAGATCTTCGACGTAGGATAAAAGTAGAAGGCAATCGCCAAAATAATCATAAACCCCAGCCCATGGGTCCAGATATTGCATGTCTCATTACTCAGTGTAAACGCGCTCTTGACGCACTCCAACTTTGTCTCTGTGAAGCGGTAGCCCCTCAGGATATACGGGTTGACCCTCCACGGGAACGGCAGCTCCTCATAGGTAATAAGACGGCGCTCCCGTGCAGCGTTGATTGCGCGCTCGATGCTCTCCGCAAGCTTGTCCTTAGCGTCGATGACACGGTCCGCACCTGCATGTGCCTGGGCCTCAAAGTCTCCGAGCAGCTCCTCAAGGAAGCGGACACCGGCGTGGACCTTGGCGGGGAGGGTGTCCTTTGCTTCGAGGACGTCGTGGTAGCTAGACTCGAGGACTTCTACGATGACGCGGGCACGGCGACGGCCCTCGCCGCTGATCTTGCTGCAGCCATGGCGCACGGCGAGGAGCGTGGTGTAGGCGCGGGTGATGCCCTCGTCGAGCTTGAGGTTGCCGTAGGCTTCGAGGGAGTCGAGGCGACGTTCGAGCTCCTCGAGGAAGTGGTCGACCTGGGTAAGGTAAGTGTTCTGCCTTTACTTTTCTTCTTTTTCCCTTTTCTTCAAAGTGCGGGAGTGGAGGTATGCATACTTTGGCGAGGAGAACCTCCTCGTCGAGGAGCTCGGTGGAGAAGTGACGGGAGTGCGAGTGTGTGGAGTGACGGCGGGGCTTGCGGTGCGTCGGTTTGGTGGGGTTGAAGGTATCCCATGAGTCCATGATGGACGTGGAACTGGTGCAGCTTGCCATTGGACGACGGCTTGGTGCCTCTGGTTACTGAATTCCTTTCCCTGAAGATGGGTTTTTTCTTCTTTTTGTTTAAATCTTTCTTTTCTTTACTTCCTGGGCCGGGGTCCTGGATTGCGCCTATGTTATGTAGATATAGATTCCACCACCCACACCTGCTATGTATGTGCTGTCTCTGTCCTGTAAAGCACCAGAAGAAGCGCGCAAAAGAAACAGAGCAAGGCAAAAAAAAAGAAAGGAAAAAGTAAAAGGAAAAAAAAAGATCTACACTATATATCCTCACTTCACACACGCCGAAGCCCCGTGGTCGAATGGCAAACGAGGTTATGTAGGTAGTATGTGGGAACAAGTAGAAGAGAACCAGATAGGACTATATATGGTAGGGGAGGGAGGGGTGGTCCGGTAGGGTCTGTTTTTTTTTAAAAAGGAGACGCGCCAACCATGAGATCAGAGTTATTGGAGGAGGCTTAAGGCCGACGGCGCCGAGGGACAAAGGAGAGAGGAGAATTGACGACGGACGGACAGACGGCGGGTTGGGCGGGCGGTAGAGACCGAATGGGGCTTTAGGGCAGACTGCGGATGCCGGCCAGGCCAAGTGGGGGGGGGGGGGGGGGGACGGGGGAACGAGGAGGAGAGGGAAAAGAGGAAGAGAGAGAGAGGGAAAGGAGGAAAGAAATAAGAGAAACGGAAAGGGAGTGAATTATGAGATAGATATGGAAGAAAGAAGGGAGAGAAGGGAAGGAAGGGAAGAAAGGAAGGCTTGAGTAATGTTCAATGTACGAATATGCAGGTTAAAATTCAGCACTACTTTATTCTACTCCATCTGAATGTTGTTGTTGGAACTCTACTGTTAACAGCTACCTCCATGCTCTACTCTTACTTTTCGCTCTCCCCCCACAGCTTCTTTCCCTTCCAACCAGACCCTCGGCATTATTACAACCTTACAAACACTTTTTTTTTGTTGAATTTCCGGGGGGAGGCAGCAGGGCCCCTCCCCCCCCCCCCCAAACAGCTCTAGCGACCGGTACCGTTCGCTCAACCCCGGCTTCTCCCAATCTGGAACCAACTCCCCCCCTGGTTCACCTCAGGCAGGGCACCTCTCTGGGAAACGTCCACTCTCCCAACCCAACCCAAGCGACAACAAGAGGTGGCGATTCACTCTGCCATGTTAGATTAGATTAATTGCGACTCCTCCGATAGACAACTGACTGATCTTCACTGCCTGTGCCGTGCATGGAGGAGGACCACGAGGAGGAAGAGTAAGCAGAAAATAAAAAAAGTTTTTGGAACCATGGCCGGGCGCTTGACGAGTCTATGCACAGAAGCTATTTCGACCCTTCTGTGCCTTGCGCCGTGGAGATATACGTACTCTCCAAGAACTCCAAGAACTCCAAGCAAACGGGCAAAAAAAAGTCTTTCCTCACTACTAGATACACTTACCTACAAGGTAATCTTGCTTGCTTGCGCATACATACGGTGCAGCATACGACGCCGCCCTCTCCGCCCTGTCTGCCCTCCGCCTACCTAGAGTGCATAGCACAGCATAGCATGTGGGAGCTTCCATTGGCTACTGATGAACCAAGCATTTCCTACACACGCCTCCTGCTGCTTCTCCCCAAAGATGCAAGATGCAGGACAGACACAGAGAGAGACACAGACACATGTTTACCTGGCATGGCTGACATTGTAAGTGAGAGAAAACCGGCGTAAAAGCAGGATTTACATTTCTCGCTCTGCCGTGCGCAGGTGATCGTGGGGATTGTATTGGGACCAGCTACTTCTTACTTTTTTATTAGGTAGAGGATTGTAATTGTATGCGGTGGAAATGTGAGAGGTGAGAGGTGAGATTAGTTAGTAGTTAGCTTAGCAGTAGGTACTCTACTCGTAGTCTCCTGGCGTTTTTGGACTGGGCCACTATTGCATACACCCAAAATCAGGATCTTGGCGTATTTTTGTATGGTATGCAATATCAGTCGCGTTCAAAAACGTCAGGAAGTTACGAGTACTCCACTAGATCTACCTTACCTTGCGCTCTGCATTACCAATCTACAACTCCAATCCACCACTCCCTCCTTACCCATACCACATACCCATACTTACCATATCACAAATTCTCTCATTGGCAACCACTCAGATCGGGCTTCCCGAATCGAACCGGCCAAGGCAACCCAAGACCCAAGGAACACTCCCCCAACCCGACCCCATGATGGGGAGGGGAAATGATGCCTAAATCCACATTTTACTTTTTTACCGCCGCGCCGGGAAAATGCGCTGCTGCTGCTGCGTTGTGCCGATGACCCGAGACGCGGCGTAAATAGTAGAATAGATAGATAATAGGGATAGGGAACCCCGCATTATTAGAGAAGAGCATTAATATTAGAGAAGAGAAGAAGTCGGGCCGAGTCAACTAGGCAGGTGGGTTAGGTAGGTGGTGAAGGTGGATAGGTGGGTGTGTAGGGGTGGGCAGGTTGCGAATGCATAATGTGGGTGTAAAGTAGGTGCGGCGGTGGTTCGGGGTTGAATATGCAGGGCACTTTAATAGAGTAGAGGTGGGGTGGTAATAGTAGGAATAAGAAATAATAATAAGAGGAGGGGAAGTCTGCCAGATCTTTTTTGTCTGTGCTGTGCCAGATGGTAGGTGCTCTAGAGTGGTCAGTAGGTGCTGTTGTTGGAGTAGAGCACTCCAGGTGGTTATGTATGGATGATCTGGTTCTCTGGTATTGGTACTTGTTTGGTATTGGTACTTGTTGGGTACAAATTATTACTCTGCTCTCGCTATGTAGTCAGGTACTGGTCGATATGCAGCAATATGAAACGATAGCAAAAAACGGAGATAGAAAAGAAAAAAAGAGAGCCAAAATGCGCAGTCCATTAGTCGTCAACATTAAAGCACGCCAATAGAGTAAAAAGAGAAAGAAAAAAGACAAAAAAATAAAAACCCCGATTCTCCAAAGTGCAAGATGCGATGCAGCTACGACATTCGCGGGGGGTGGGGGTTACAATCACACCCCATCACTCACCCCCCTCCCAAACCCTCACCGCCTCCCCGACCCTCACCACCCCCACACCTCCCGCCCTGCCCTCTACGGGCAAATGCTTCATATGGACGCCAAACACCACCCTCCCACTCACCCTGCGACTCTTCGCCAGCGTCACATATGGCTCCTCATTCTTTACGGCCGTCTCTTGGTCCACACACACCATATGGCACCTCCGACACGCCCCCAGCACCTCGAAAAACTCCCCGCCAACCTTAACATGCGCCCAGCGGTCCTCGGCATACGCGCCCGCGCCACCGCGAACCACAATGTTTGCGCGGAACACATCGGCCCGCGCGGCCTTCCCACCGGTGCACAGGATGGCGGCATTGAGCGCGTCGACGCTGGCGCGGTGCACCAGTAGGATGGGGCTCTCGTTCGACAGCCCAATGGGAGCCTCGCCGCCCACGGTCTTGGCTGCACCCGCGAGGTGCGGCTTGAAGTGGCGCTGGCCGCTGGCCGCGGGGAAGCGCGCGAGTGTGCAGGGGACGCCGACCGCCGCGGTGAAGAAGTCGACGATGTGCTGCGCCGAGTACGTCAGCGCCGTTATCTTATCGCCACAGACGCGGGAAGGGCTGGGGTGCAGGGTGTGCAGCTCCTCGGGGGTGCATGAGAGCGGGATTGAAAGCTGCGGGGCGGAGGAGGGGGCGTTGTGGTTGTGGAGGGTGATGTGCAGCATGCCGATTTTGAGGTCGACGGACGGGCGGATGAGCGCCATGCGGGGGTAGCGCTTCTGGTCGATTGCGGCGCCGGTGCCGAGGTGGACGAGGCACCATTCACGGTCCCAGGTGAGGCCGTGAGGGCGCAGCTCCCAGGGTTGTGAGGCGGGGATAGAGAAGCCGCCGCAGGACTTGATGGGGTAGATGGTGAGGCTTTCGACGGTGAGGGCTGCTGACGCTGATGGCTGGCGGGCGACGGCGGGGGTGGGGGTTGTGTGGTCGATGTAGAACTCCTCGAGGAAGCGGAGGAAGACGAGAAGATCGTTGACGGTGCTCATGGCGCCGAGGGAGATGCGGATTGCGCCAGTGGGCTTGCCGCGCATGACGTCTTGGTCGTCCCAGCAGCGGTGGCCGGATAGATAGTTTTGCTCGATCTCCCAGGCTGCGAGGCCGACGTGCTGCTCGATGCCGCCGGGGTTGCAGAGGCCGCCGGTGCGCAGGTGGATGTTCTTGACACTGGCGAGCTTTTCGACTTCAGCGTAGCCCACCCAGGTGCCGTCTGCGCGCTGCATGTTGAAGGCGATGATTGGGCCCTGCGTTAGGGGGGATTTGTAGTCGCTGGAGCTATAGATCTGGCAGAGCTTGCGGCCGTTCCCATGCCTGAGATTAGAGAGAAGATCGTGCATGATGGCGGCGAGTGAGAATGCATGTCTCGAGATAGACCCATAGTCGCCGTATAATCTCTCATGCGTAGTAATGGCCGCATCCAGGGCAAGTATCGAGTGAAACGCACTCGTCCCGTCCTCGAGATGCGAATGCGGCGAGTCCTCTATCCGCGCATGAAAGCTCCCCCCGCACCCTACCACGGCATCTACAGTCCCTCCCCCAAAGTACCTCCGCGTCTTTAGTATCCCCGCCGACGCCCTGCGCACAATCAACGCACCTAGATCCGGGAACCCAAACATCTTATAAAAGCTCAGCACCGTAAAGTCCGGCGCTGCCTCACTATCCCCCAGATCCAACAGCGACGTCGTCACCAGCGCCGCCGCATCCAGCAACGAATACCACCCGCTCTGCGCCTTCCTAACTCTCCCCGCCCAATCTCTCGGCAGCCGTCGCCCCGTGAAGTTCGACTGCGCCGGCCACCCAAACAGCCCCACCCCGTCCTCGCAGGGGCTCCGCAGCCACAGCTCAACCTCAGCGTCCGAAGTGTAACACGTTGCCTCTTTTGCAAGCTCCCGGATCCCGACGAGGCTCGTGTGGGCGTCGCCATGGTAGCGGTACCGGAAGCCCTCCGGCTGCGCTGTGAATGCCTCGAGAACGAGCTTCATCCCCGCGGTGGCATTGGCGCAGAAGACGACGTCGAACTCCTCGGGGTCGGCATTGAAGAGGCGGAGGACACGGAGACGGATGTCGTCGATGCGCTTGGTGGTCTGTTGGGAGGAGGGGGAGGGCGAGTGAGGGTTGCCGTAGATGTTTGAGCAGAGGTCGGAGGAGAAGGCATGGATGAGCGAGGTTGCGTAGAGAGTTGTGCCGGCGTGGTCGAGGTAGGTGATGTCTTGCTTTTGTTAGCCAATTTCTCTCTGGTGAGCGATAGAGGGGTCCGTTTGGTTGATTACCTTTGAGCTGTGGGTACTCGGTGGTGCTGAGCTCTTCGACGTGGGGATTGTAGCCTAAGGACACAGCTCTCTGGAGGATGGAGTCCATGTTCAACAATGTCTGTATGAATTAAGGTATTCTGTGCAAAATCTTGGGTCGGGGTTCTATCCGCCAGCGGGATGTATTATGTTGCTTGTTCTCTGTCTGCTGCGGCACCCTGCATGTGTGGACATTCTCCAGAGTCGGGACGGCGGTGGTGATGGTGATGGTGATGATGTGTTGTGGGGAATGTGGCGATCCCCGGTCGGCTCTTGGATCCCGCCGTTATCCTACGTGCAGATCCAGATCCGGGCCTTATCCGAGATGCATGCTTGGCGATAACGGGGTCAATGATACCGATAGCAGACAAAACATCGTGGGCCTAGTAGTCTTATTATCGTTCCAATTTGGTACTAAAAATACAGCATCGAGTCTTTGAACGATCCCGTGCGGAGTCAGACTACTGTATGTACAATAGACTCAGATGATTATTGACATCGGAAGAACACCATGGTACCAGCTTGACCCACTACTACTTAGGGGTGTTAAAGATGCCCACAGAATATTGCTGTTAAACTCCTAAGGTAGACCTCTCAGGGTATGAATACGTCTTTTAAGTGTTGTTTACAGCCTCTTTTTCACGGTCATCCCGCAACTTCAGGCAAGCAAGGGCAAAGGCTGAGGTCAACGCTGCCCTCATCAGCATCACCATATAGATGCTCACCCCACGGGCGTTGGTTCACCATTCGTAAATAGGGTGCCCCACTCATGCTATACTGCTGACTTCCCCAGCCCCCAGGGTATTCACACAGGCCTTGACCAACTGAACCGGTGGATCCCTTAATTATTGTCCTTCTCACCAAGCTCATCCTATTGCATTCCCAACAAAGTCTGTCACTTTACGCCTGCTCTTCTTGGAAGAGGAATTTAACATGGGTCTTCTCGACTCTTCAAATATAAATGGTCTTTTCTTCGTTGATACTGAGGTCCGCATGTATAAACAACGCAATGATATCCCAGTGCCATTTGCTTGAACTAACCATTTGCTGAATGTTAACAAAGTGCTTGCTTCTTCTTTCTTCTGGAATAATAGTACGAAGATGGGCTATATGATCGACAAATAATCAAGCTCTTCCGTGCGAGTCCATAAATATATTGTCCCGTATCGGTATCCAGCCTAAAATAACCAAAGGGAAATAATTATTTTGTTTTCCTCGAGCTTAGAGTACCACCCGGCCCCACCTCCTGGAAGTACCGAAGGCTTCCAAAGCATAGAAGCTGAATTAGTATAATTCCGAGATTCATTGCCGCATCTCGTTGGATTCAATCCCTTTACGCGTTTCAGATGTGTTCGTTGATGGAAGATTGCACATCTAACAACCTTCGCCGATGGCAATCCTTCCAGAAATCTGACTTCCCCCCTCTATAATCAAGTTAACCCGTAGGCTAAATAACGTGGGTGGAGTATCTTCTTCTCCGCGAACCGGTAACATCGCCTCTCTGGTAGAGCAAAGACATCGGTCTCTAATCATGAAATTGATCCTTAGCTGTATGCGTAAACGTGTGCCCCTGCAAAGAAAGAAGTCATTTTTAAAGGGTTTCTTCTTCTTCAGAGGCGCATGTCAATCAATCGTTACAAAGGTATCAGATCCTGACCCATTCCCTGATCGAGGATGTGAATATCCACTATAGAGGTGCCAGAAGCATATTTACTTCAATAGCTTCATGCCTAGATATCTAGTCGTGCACTAAAAGCACCTTAACCTGTCAAAACCACCCTAGTTTAGGTTCTAAAGAGAAGTTAGTAATCTTAAGCCCTCCAAAGAAGGGCCACCGAGTAAACCATTTTAGACACAAATAGGTTACGGGAATATCCCGGGTCTGGTTAATATACGCCATCCAGCGTTCATAGCTCTATGGTGTTCTTCTGTTGTTACATCTTTTCCCCAAGACTAATGTCTTAGATGAACGACTAGTATGCCCAAGAGCCAAGTCCTGAATCATCAATGGCGGGGAAAGCCTAGACATATTAGTAGGGTTCCAAACGATTGCTATCATCACTGCTGTCCGTGATAATGTTAGAGAGCCTTTTATCTAGGCAATGCTGCGTCTTGCTCAGTCGTTGTTATGTGTTGTTAGAGTATATATATAGCCTGACTGAGATGCTACTTCATCACCACACCTTGATTACTGCGAGTGCCTGTGGTTCTGTGCAAGACCTATTCCATTTCGCTTTAGGTTAGTGTTTTGGCCAGAGGCATTCTATCGCAGGTTGTGCGAGAACAAATGCCGGATCATGATCATGAGTGTGGTTGACGTTGTGGAGATGAGGTTGGGTTGGGTTGGGCCTGAGGGTGAAGTCAAGTTAAGTTACCCAGCCGATGCACCGGCGCCGGCCGGACCTACGGTACCACCCACACCAAGACATGTTGCCTGTAGCGTCGTAAGCTCAAGTTGGAGAATTCGAAGCAACGTGGACATAAACTTGCAATTGGTGCGTGGAAGAAGGTCTTTCCCCACACAGTGGTACGATCTTACGAGAGATGTTTGCATTTGGCCCGATGCTAGCTATATATATTGGTTAGGTCGAAGATTTACAGCTACTGTGCATGTGGCTACATCTTTTCAAGTTTCCCCCAAACGCCAGCATTCAGCCCCAGCCCTATAGCTACATCATTGAAGATATATCTAAGAAGGCTACCAGGAGCACGATCAACTTCTCACCGCTGGGATAAGGATTGGGGTTGCATCAACTTCTACAGACCCACATGTAGCCACAGTTCTCGAGAGAATATGCCATTCACTACGCCGGATGAGCCAGTTGAGATTGACGAACCTTGTCCATCTTTCACCCGTGCTCTTGGTAAACCATTCCATTCACTTCTGAAGTTGCTGTTTAGGGTATTCAAAAGCACTGTATGTCTTTTTCTCTAGAATGGCTTGTTTCCAAAGGGTCATAGGAAAATATTGACAGCATATAGTGAGACAGGCAGACAGGGAACCGCGAAATCGAGTTTTAAGGAACAGCTCGGGCAACTTGTGTTCATGAGGTCAGAATACGGAGAAACAGAGAGCAAAGCAGCTACGATTATCCACCCCCAAGCCCTCTACCGGAGGCTAGTTCCTAACGACTACTACAGTCCATCCCGTCCCGCTCTCTAACCCCACAGGCTCTTCTCACCAGTAGCTTACCAGCCAGCTTTACACATATATACGTGAGCCGGATAAGGGGAGGCGGGTATCTATTTCTCTCCGTAAGACAGCACCTTCTTCTTCACAGACTCTCACTCGATCTGCGCTAGCCCAGTTTGGGACATTATTCGGTGATTTCTTTAGTCCATATATCCTTATATTTAACTTACTCCTATCCGTCAATACCCCCGTATTATGTCAGTCTCACTTCGCCCAAGCTGCTAGCTCACCAGAAAGTGGCCGCGCATCCTCTTTCAGCTGATCTGAGCCCCTGCCTCTCCCGATATGTTATTGAATACGTAAAGGGCATGTTTCATCTCACCACGGAAAGGAAATTGGGCTCACTATTCCGCAACTTGTGGTATATCTAACGCTTAATAGAGTGTTAACGGTTAAATTCTGTTTAGAGTGTATGCGCGGTGCTGGTGCGGTTGTTGTTGCTGTGTCTGTTGTGTTGTGTCGGAACCGTTCACCAACGGAACGTAAGGCACATCTCGGGCCACGAATAATCCACTTGCGGTCATCCAATTATACTAGTACGCCAACGAGACTACATAACCTATTATTCATAATTACAGGGAGGGACCACTGATAAATACGGTTTTACAACCCAAGCCTTGAAGGTCAGATTTACTCGCTGGTATATAAGTAGAAAGAAGCATATTCCGAGGTAGGCAATCATTGAATCGCCCATCCCTTTATTTCACGGCCAAATTTGTGGAGAAGAACGGCACTCTCTTAGCTAAGCACCGACGAGCGAAGCAAAACAAGCGTCGAGTGAGATCCCATGAAGCAGACGCTACCCAGATATAATCAGAAAAGCAAAAAATGCTGTTATTCAACTGGAAGCGCTAGGCATTCCATACTAAAAAGACCATATGTCCCCAGCGGCTCCATATACACCAGCTGCAGCCGCCGCCTACAACCACATCTATCTCTATCCACCGCACAATAAACAAATAACCCTAAAAGGACCTAAAAGAGAGAAAAAAGCACACCAAAAAACTAAAACCATGCTATATAAAACAACCCAAAAACCAAAACGCCCCTGCCCATTCTACACAACCCAGCGCACTATACCTTCATCGAAGTAATCACACTAATAGGCCTCCGATTCCTCCTCTCCCACAGCGACCTCTCCCGTAGCAGCTCCTTGCCCTCCATCGTTCTCGACCGCGGTCGTAGTTCTAGATAGAATGACAGCACATACGCCGTGAACACGAACGCAATCACTATTCCTCTCCCATCAGCCACCGCAACCCGCCAACCTAACAGAGAGGGGTGTAACTTACGCCACTCCAACACTGCCGCAATATTGTCTTTATTCATTATCATGAGCACCGCCATTGCTATCGTCCTACCAAGTCAAGTCATTAGCCCAATCCAGTTTGTGGGGAGGGGGAAGAGGGAGCCTACAGAGGGACTTCGATGATGACGATCCACTGCTTGATCTGATAACTAGTCTTGAGCACCGCGCGCTCAATGAACGCTGTGCCGAGAACTCGGTAGGATAGTGTTGTGAAGACGGCGGAGAAGATTACGCCTGTGGCTGCATTAGTTGGCTATATTGCAGGGTTATGGACTTGTGGGTTGGTGGTACAGTACCGAGCATGAAGAGACACAGAAAGCCGTTGTGGAAGCGCGGGAACGAGGCCGTGTCGAAGATGCTGAGTAGGATGAGCGAGACGGCGCCGAGGCCACCAGCGCCAATGGCGGCGATATCGACGGCTGTTTCGAGGCGGCGTTGGTTTCGGTCTGGCTGTTGTTAGTGTTAAGCGGCAGAAAGGGAAAGGGAAAGGGAGACATACGAATGGCGTAAAGGGATGAGAAGAATGTTATACTGGTTATCGTGCAGCCGATTACGAAGAGTGGTTTTAGCATGCTTGCTCCTGGTATGTGTCAGTATCTACAATGCTACTTAAATTAAGAAGAATTACGAGAGAATAATACCTATATCTGAGATATACGCAATTGTCTGCCCGCCATCCATACTCTTATACACCGGCGACCCCTGTGCCAGCCACGCTATCATCAACACCCAATTCATCACTACCTCCCCGCCAACGCCAAAAGAAAATCAGCCACACGATCATTACCCCTCTGCAACCTCCTCTCTGCAACCCCTCCCCTTCCACCCTCCCCCACTCTCCCCTCTCCCCCTCTCCCCAGAATCCCCCACAACAAAAAAAGAGTAGCACTAACGTACCAAACCAAACAAACGCACACACAACCGGACAAACCCAATACGGAAACCTCCGCTTCTCCGCCTCAATGCAGCTCTGCTTCTCGTTAACCTCGGGCAGGCTCATGTCGCTGTCGCTGTCGTCCGAGTCCACATCTGTGCTGCGCGCCTGCTGGTACGTCTGCAGCTGGCTCGCGAGCAGTAGCGGGCGTGGGAAGGAGTAGTTTGGTGGTTTTGACATTCTAAATCTGGGGGGGCAGCGCAGCTGCAAAAAAAGGAAAGTGGGGGAAAGAACGTGGCGGGGAATCAACCCCTAAAAAAAAAAAAAAAAAAAGAGCGACGGGCTAGCTAGCTAGCTAGTGGTGAAAACAAAAGGTCTCGCAGAGAATTAGACGGAGAAGACTCGCAGCATGGGCGCGGGAGGGGGGGGTATATGAGCTTCTCGCTCTGGGCCTGACTCTACAGACTACATCACGGAGTGTACACGACGAGAATACACCTACACCCCCGATTCTAGCTATTCGGTAGGGTATGGCGCACAGGGCGCCCTTCACCGTTGGTTCATGAGTGGTTCGCTTGTGGTGCATACCTGGGGTATGATGTAGGCACGGTTGCGCAGGTACCGGTGGCCGGGGGTACCGCTTCACCGGATTGGTGGTACAGATAAGACCTGGGATGAGAGGTTGTTATCGGGCTGGCTATTGATCCTATTGATCTTATCGATAGTGGGTGAGATAAGTATTTTAGCTGCGTCATTAATTACTCTGGAGTGAACACGTGCTTGGTGGTCAAGTCTTCACCGGGGTAAGGTTTTTTTATTCCGCTGAGCTGAAAAAGACAGACAAGTGAGGCCAGAAAGTTTAAACACCAATGGGTGACTCCCCGCAGTCGTCCTGAATGTCGTCAGACTTTGAAAAGATGATTTTCTAACCCATAAACGAATCCGGAGCGTTATTCTCAGTTTCTACTTCAGCCTGCAGGTGTATCAACGCTGAAGAATGGAGCAGAGAGGTACGGGGGTTATGGTATAGACATGGAGCTGGGAGATAAAAGAGGGCCTGCCTATGCGCATGCTGGAACGTTACTTATGTTTAAAGGAATAGTTTCTCAGTCTTCAGATTGTCCGGGGAGTAGGGATGGGGGCTTCTCTAGATTCTGTATTTTCCTAAGATTTGGAGAGTGCAGTTGTTATTTAGATCGTTACTTGAACACATTCTGGCCTGTTTAAATCATACACTCAGAATGACTACGGGAAGTCATCCAATATTCCAAACACGTATACGTATACGTATCAATAAGAAAATATATGGGTGACTACAAATAACAAAAAGTAGAGTACATGTATTAACAATCCCACGATATCTCTACGCGTATCAGACATTTAAATGCATCAATTAATGCGTTGTTTTTTTACTAACTATGGTGTAAAGCGTATAGAATATTGTGATGAAAGCCGTCTGAAAGTCGTCCAGAAGTTGTCTACAAATCGTTCTAACATATGTTCCGTCCCAGTCGCAAACGCTTATTATTGGCCAATGGACCATAATTGGTGAATAAACTCTTATTTTTCGCTTACAGGCCATTCTAGTATATAATTAATCTCAGCTTTTCTAGCGGAAAGCCGTTGGCCCTAGTTAATTGGCTATTTGTTAAAGAAATATTTATTTGTATTACTTATGTATCCCCAGGGCGGTGGTATATCAGGGCAAGGGCACATACAAGTAGGTAGAATGTGTTCTTTGAGTTTCTTAGTTGTTAGGCGATGGCGTTTGGGAGTTTATTAGTCGAGTTTGGTCAAATTGTGGCAGGAATTGGCCATCTGGACAGAAGATCAGTGACCGTTTGTCAAATCTCATGAAGCATTGGTCAATAGGCAATATTTGTCAAGAGGACGGCCAGTTGGGCAATGGGCCGGCCTGTTGGCCAATGTGATAAACTCGTGACTGGGACGGAACATATATAAATGCATCTTTGGATACATTTACCAGCAACATCGGGTGTAAATGTGTTAAATTCAACAACTTTCCACTTCTTTGTATGTATGGGAGAAACATCGGTTGATGCATTTAAATGGCTGGTAGAGTATAGTATCAGCAGACGTAGAGCAGTTAGAGTGAACCACCTGCATTCCGAGTCCTCTAAGGACTATCTACTCAAGTATCTACTTGTACTTGTACTTGCTAAACCAACTAACCAACATCTCGGTATATCTGCTCACCCTCAAGTACTGTCGACCCAAGTCTAACTAATTAGAAAAATGGAAAAGAAAGAGAAAAATATATACCCCCACCAATCCCCCAAACAAAAAAACCCCGTAAAAAAGTTTCCACCACAAAAAAAATCCCACAAAGAAAAAGAAAAAGAGATTTAAATTAAAACCCTTTTAATTCTCCCCACGCATCCTCCCCTCCGCCGCCCCCGCCAACATCTCCCTCCTCACCACATCCTCCACCTCCTTCCCGCGTCCCCTGCCCGCGCCCTCTCCCGCACCAAACACACACTCCCACACATCCCCACACCCCACCACCTCCCCGCCACCAACCCCCTTCTCCACCAGCCCCCCCACGACCTTCTGCAGCTCCACCGAGTTGGCCACATCCAGCCTCCTCTCCTCCTGCGACTCCTCGGGCGACGACGCCGGCGAGGACCCAGTGCTAGTGCTCCCACTACTCGACTGGCTACTACCCCCCTCCTCCTCCTGCGAAGGATCCACAGACTCCGCAGACTCCCCGCAAGCCTCCATCAGCCCCAGCCTCCGTTTCGTCGCCAGCGCCCACACGTTCTCTTCGACCGTGCCGTCGATAACATACAGCCACACCGTCGTCGGGCGTTTCTGCCCAATGCGGTGGACACGCGATATTGCCTGCAGCTCCAGCGAGACGTTGAGCAGCGGCTCGCAGAGGAAGACGTGGGTCGCGTTGACAAGGCTCAATCCGGCGCTCTGTGACTTTGCGTGTAGCAGGAAGCAGTGGGTCGACGGGTCGGTCTTGAAAGTGTGGATGCCGCCGCGCTTGTCGAGCGTGGCGAAGCCGATGTGGGAGTGTGTAAGGACTGTCTTCATGAAGTCGAGGAAGTCGCCCCATTGCGAGAAGATGACGGCTTTAAAGCCCGGTTCGTGCTGGCGCAGCCAGAGGAGGTGACGGATTACTGGTGGGGGTTAGACCTCTATCTAGAACTAGAGGGGGATACATACTCATATCGATCTTGGAGCCAAAGTGCTGCTTGATCTCGACACGTTTTATCTCGTCCATGATGCGCTTATCCATGCCGGAGTAGATGCTGGCGGAGGCGGAGGCGGCATCAGAGCTGCTGGAAGCTAGGGCGCGCTCTTCTTGCATGGTGGCTTCCTTGGGACGATATGAGATCTGGTACATATCCTTCAAGCTCAATGTCGCCGTGCATGCTGGGCACTTATGAGAGGTTTTGTACCATTCGACCATGCATTCCTTGCAGTAAGAGTGGCCGCAGCTCGTGAGTATGCCAATCTCGTAGGTTTCTAGAAGAAAAGGTTAATAACTAACCACCACTCCCAATCAACCACAACCACTTACCTTTACAGATTAGACAATCCTGCTCCTCCTCGACGCCTTTTCCTTTCAGATGTACCAGGTAGCGCAATTTACTCTTTGCCTTTGTAATTTTCTCAGCCAAGGCCTTCTCCTCATTAAGCAGTTTCTGGAACAACGCATCATCAATGCGCACGCTCCTCGAGAAGAACACCTCCGGCTCAAAAGGCGCCACTGTATCTGAGATCGCCTGCATCTGCGAATAGTACTCCTTCCTCGCATTCGTCACATTGCGGAAAAACATAATCTCACTATCAAGGGGGTCAATGATCAGCACAACCAGAAAAAGAGTAAAACAGGGAAGAAAAGCAAAACGGGGAAAGAAAACAGCCAACTTACTTTGACAACTTCTTATTCACCTCCACCTGCGTACCCACAACCTCCCCCAACACCTTAAGCTCCTCCTCCACCAGCTCCCTCTGCATCGCCAACCTCCCACCCCCGCCCCTAAACCCCGCCACCTTATGGCGGAGCTCCGCAATCCCCGCCTTGAGACTCCGGCACCCCACCTGCGCCGGCAGCCTCACGCTCTCCCTCCGTGCCATCATCTCCACAAAGAAAGTCTGGTGCAGCCCCTTGCGCGCCAAGTCCGCCTGTATGTCATGGCGGATCAGCGCATTACTCGCCTCGCCGGACAGCGCCTCAGCGCGGTCCGCAAGCAGCACCCGGATCCCCGTCATGAGGCGCTCGCTGAGCTCCTGGTCGGACACGGAGATTTCGAACTCGTTGCCGCGGTCTTTTTCGTCGTCGTCGTTGGTGTCTTCGTCGAGGATAGGCTTTGCGAGGAGCTCGAGGAGCTGGGTGCGCCATTGGGTGATGAGGTCGGCTTGCGCGTTGAGCGTGGTGGCGATGTCAGTCATGTCGTAGAGCAGTGTCTGCGTCTCAATGCCGCAGTTGGTGTTGCAGGCGGGGATGGCGGCGATGGCGGCGAAGCGGCGGGTGTTGGCGCGGGTGCGGAGGGTGTCAAGGAACTTGAGGGCTCGACTGCGAGTCTCGTGCACCATCTGGGAGAGAGAGTCAGTATATATTAAGGCGGGATCTGAAGGGAGGGCTTACTTCTTTGCGGACGAGTTTGGCGGCGTCGTAGTGCTCCTCTTCCTTTTGGCGGAGCTGGGCTAGTTCCTCGCTCTTGGGGTCTGCTTCCTCCTTCTCTTCCTTGAGCTGGTACCAGGCGGTCCCGACCCAGAAGAGACAGGCGTGCTCGAGCTCAAGGATATTTCGAAGCCGGTTCCGCAGAGTCCCATGGCGGCTTGTATCAACTCTACTATCATAATCATGCTCAGCCGTCTCTTCATCCTCTTCATGCCATTCCATGGGTTCGTCTATGGCCTCCTGCAGCTTTGTCTTTGGCTCTGCCTCCAACGCCGCTCTACACTCCTTCACCACTTCCCGCACCTCTGCCAGCACCCCCATCCACACCTGCAGCGCGGCGTTATACTTCTCCTGGATCTCGAGCAACTGCCCTCTCCGGATCTTGGACTCGAATAGCGCCCTCTCGTCGTTCCTGACGGCGACCGAATGCGCATCCGCCATGAGGTCCAACACCTCATCCACAGTTCTCAACGGCGCCTTCGTCCCGCCAAACATCTTCCTATTCCTCTCGCCCGCCTGCGGATGCAAACACGTCTGCCGCAACCTTATCAACCATACTCTCAGCCTCTCCACGACTTCAGACGACACCTCATCGCCGCGGGCCCCCTCCTCGGTGATGTGGCACTCATCACTCATCTGTTGAAACAAGTGGCGATAATTCTGCTCCTCGATCGCGCTGAACGGCACCCGCACCACAACCCTCTTCTGCAGCGGTAGCCGGATCTCATCACTGACCATATCCTTCGTATGCCGCAGCGCAATCTTACCCACCACCGCGCCGAACGCCGCATGGTTGTACCTCGCCAGCGTCGAGAAGAGCGCCGGACTGCGCTCATCAAACAGAGAATAGCGCAAGAACCGCAGCAGCCCGTGGAAATCATTGATATCCTTACGGATCGGTGTCCCCGAGACCGCCCACGCATTGACCCGCGGTATCTGTCGCGCAACGACAGCTGCGTTGCTGAGCCCGCCATCAATCATCTGCGCCTCGTCCACACACACGCGCCACCAGTTGAGCTCGCCGAGGGGGCTTCGCCGCGCCTCGTAGCGCTTGGTCTTTGAGAGACGCTTTGACCAGTCCTTTGCCGCGAGGTAGTGCAGCTCGTGCGACAGCACCGCATACGTCGTGAGGACCACGTCCGCTCCACAGAACATCTCTACGACCTCCTCCGTGCTGGCACACAGGTGCTGCTTCATACCGCGGTAGTGGCACACCCTCACGCTCGGCGCGTGCGTCGCAATCTCGGACTTCCACTGCTCCAGGATACTCGGCGGCGTGATGATGAGCGTGGCACCAATATTGCGGCGGTCTGCCGCCATGGCCGCCGGCATGGCGTGGAGCGCCATCAGGGCAATCATCTCCACAGTCTTACCCAGCCCCATCTCCTCCGCCAACAAGCCACCACGCGGTAACTCCACCGCCCGCCAAAGTTCCTTCAGGTCGCTACTGACGATGCCAAACACATGCGACACATAACACTCCCCGCCCTCAGCGTCTCTCTCGCAGAAAAACGTCGGTGGAAGCTCGCCTTTATCCTCTGGAATGGCGGCGGCCGCGCCTTCACGGCTCAGCATCCACTGGACTGTGCGACGCTGGTATGGCAGCAACGTGCACTCCAGGACCGGATGCTGCACCGAGTCCGGTACAACCTGCGTGCGCGCGGGGGTGTGGCAGGCGGCGTAAAAGTCCTTGGGCGTGACTGTGAGCGCGCCCTCAACGACAGGAGCGTGCGCAGGGAATGCTTCGGCGAGCAGGCGCCACCAGGGGTCGGTACTTGCCAGTGCAATGGTGGAGGATGTGGGGGCGTTATGGCAGCGGGCGGTGAGGGTTAGGGTTAGTGTTATATTTGCGGGCGCGAAGGTGAGAGTGCAGGAGCTGCTGAACGGGCGAGTGGGGGTCTTGGTGGCGGGGAAGTGGGAGGTGATTGTAGACGCCCATGTTATATCGCGGGGGAGGGTGTCTGGGAGTGTACTTAGGTCGAGACTGGGTATTAGTTAGTAGATAGTTCAAATATATATAATATATAGTTAGAGATGGGCAGTTACTTTAAAGCCATAAGCTCCCCCCCATTGCTAGCAGAAGAAAGAATCAATCGTCCAGTCCGCGCACTCCCGGTATCTATATCCGCATCCATGTCGACATCCTCCCCATCGAGCACTCGTAGATCAACAACAACCGGGATCTCAGAACCGGCATAAATCTCTAGCCCAGCCTGCTCGGGATTCACAGCCTATTACAAAACATGTTGTTAGTAAATTCCGCCTTTCGAGTTATATTCGTAGCTAGATAGATGGTGGGAAAACTCACGAAGCTGACATGGTGCCGCGCGAGAACTACATGTACTGACTCTCCTCCGCTACTATCACTATCACCGCCATCACCGCCGCCGCCGCCGCTAATATCACCGCCGCTAATATCACCGCCGCTGCGTTTCTGCCGCTTTAGTCGTGGAACATGTGCAGTAGCAGTAGTAGTGCTGGTACTGTTGGTAGTAGCAGCGACCGAAGAAGCAATGTTCTCATTGTTTAGGTGTGCGATAGCTATATAGCTTCAATCAGCATCCGCAGTTCGCAGCTAGGTAGCTATATAGGAATGATTAATACTCACAGGCAGAAACACAACAGAGACTCCCGGTCGCCATTCTGCTTTTGGTGCGACGGCAATAAAAGCAGAAAAAAGAGAGAGAAGAAGAAAGAAAAGATCAAAAGAAAAGAGGACGGTCTGTGGGGCGGCCTTGTTAGGATCGCTCGTCCGTCCGTCGGGATCCTCAAAAGCTACAACGAGCCAAGGCTGGCCAGGTGTGCAGGGATGGGGGGGTGTGGCGGCGGTGGAAAAACGATGATCCGGATTTTGCAAGTCTTGGCGCGTGTGAGGCGGGTGGTGAAGGTTGGGGGTTGGAGAGAGATAGGGGAACAGACGAGAAGGTGTGAGGGGAGGAACGGATGAAAAGATACATGTATGAAGGAGCGAGGGAGCCAACTTACATGCAATCGGTGCTAGCCATGACCTCAATGGCTCTGGCTGGTTTAGGGCTCTACATGTGTTGAGCTAACCACCGTTTTAGGAAGACTCAATTATGTACATAGGTAATGAGAAGGTAGACGACAATCTACTTATAGACGCGTCTAGTTAGGCTTGGCCGTACACGGCGGCGCAGTGTAGAAGTGTTGAGTACATACACGTATATGAATTATGCTGCTCTACTCCGCCGCTACACTACAGGACCTCCCCCACTTGCTAGCACTGCGGGCACTGCGGGCACAATGGCTGGCTATCAGTCAGAACACCGAGTGATGTCGATGTCCATATATGTACCGGTCTTGATATTTACAGTTGCTGAGCACCCCCACTATATATCATTTCTTCCCCGCCGCCGCCGCCGCCTCCTTCAATTTGTCCACCTCGGCCATGAGACCCTTGACCTCCTCTACACCCAATCAGCCCCTCCCCCAAGACACACACAAAAAAAAGAGAGAAAGCGTAACGTACCCTCCTTCCCCCTCTGCACCTCCTCCTTCTCCAGCTTCAACCACGCCCAGTAGCACGCCTGGTACGTAAAGAACGACATCAGGAACACTTTCGACAGCGGCCGCCCAAGCTCTTTATAGAACCCAATCTACCCCACATCAATTATTAGCCCCCTTCTCGCATTGCCCCCCCACCCCCCTCCCCCACCGTGGGGAAAAAAAAACATACATGCTTCGACACCTCCTTCTTCTGCGGCGCGGGCTGGGGCGGCGCCATATCCGCCATCCCCCTCCTCTGCCCGCCGGCGCGGAGTAGTCGTGGTAGTAGTGCTCGTGCTCGTGCTCGTGCGCTCATCGTCTCTGCCGGTATCCAATCTGTTGACGTTGCAGAAACCGCCGAGCAGGGTTGTTAATTGCATACAGCCTCTAGCAGATGAGGCTTGGCAATGCCCACTAGTTAGGGCCAGCTAGGTGTTTTTGCATGAAATGACTCGGTAAACAAGCGTTAGGTGTCCTCCTGTCAGACGGCACCCCTAACCCCGTTGCCTTTAAATCCACGCCTGCTGCGGCGCCCTCTCCAGGGGACGGACAAACAAACGATAGACAAACAGATCTACTGCTGCTCTACCTCTTCGCACACACGCACGCAGCTACTTCTCGGTGATCTCTACAATCTACAGTTTCTATAGCAGTTTTGAAACAGAAGCAATGGTAAGCCCCCCTCCAAACCCTCTCCCTCACGAAGCACCCCCCAAGCTCTCCCCCCCCCCCCCTCTACGACCTCCCCCGAGCCCTTCTCCCGAGCTCCCCCAAGAACCTGCTTCCTCTACCACCGCCCCCGAAAACAAGACACAGAGAACTAACGAAACCCCAGGCGCAAACCCCCCAACAACGCAAAGCAAACGAGCGCTTCGCCAAGCGCGAAGAGACCAAGCGCGGCAAGCCCGACGCCGCGCTCGCAAAGCGCCACAAGTTCAAGTCGCCCGTGTCGCCAATCTGGCTGAGTACGTTTTTTCCCTCCTCCTCTTTCCCCCGTGCTGTGGGTTACTGTGTGCAGATTGGATTTGGGGCTAATTGAGGATGTAGTCATGTTGGCGTTTGTGGTGTTTGGCGGGATCGTGTTTGAGCTTATCCGGCTGTTTTTCTAGAGCTTGGTAGCGGTAGCTAGCTAGGGGAGCTGGGGGAGCTGGAGCTAGATGGGGGAGCTAGAGAGCTAGGGGAGCTGTGTGGCCGGAGAGTAAAATGGGTTTTTCTTTTTTTGTTATTTTCTTTTTTCTTCTCTGTTTCGTTTCGTTTCGGGGTGTTAATGTATTATTATACTTTTTTACTACTACCATGAGAAATCAGCCATCTGGTCTGCGCCGGTACCGGGTACGGCAGCCAACCCAAACAAAAGAAAGAAAAGAAGAGAGCTTGTGAATTAGATGTGTTGTGGCCTCAAGGGTTCTGTTCTAGGTGTCCTACATCACAAACAGTCATTCGGCCGGCCGGGGGTGTATCATACTTTCTCACTCTCCGTCTACCCTTTTTTTTCTTTCTCTCATAAAAACCATATATATAAAAAAAACCACACAAAACCAAAAGAATAGAAAAGAATAGAAAAAAACCATTTTAAATATTACACTCGATATCATAATATCGGGGGAATGATCATGATCCATATTTTACAATGCTCCCAGCCCTCTCTTCTTCGCCCCCTGCTCGTTCTTCATCTTCATCCCCGTCTCGAACTGCTTCTCGAGCTCCTTTTCTCTCTTTGAGATTGCAGAGTCCTTGGCTGTGCCATTTGTGCTTGCGACTGCGACGGCGGGGCTGGCGCCGAGAAGGCGGAGGAACTTGGATTTTCGGGCGGCATCACCGCTGAGCTCGGAGGCGTCCCAGGCAGTGGTGGTGGTGGTGATGGGTTCGGGGGTTGAGGTGGGCTTCTTCTTGTCTGATTTTTCCTTCTTTTCCCTCTTTTCCGTCTTGTCCTTCTTTTCCTTCTTGTCCTTCTTGTCCTTCTTACCCTTCTTTTCGGACTTGTCGGACTTCTCTTTCTTGTCCTTCTTTTCCGCCTTTTCTTCCTTTTCCACCTTCTCTACTTTCTCTTCCTTCTCCTTCTTCTCCTTCTTGTCCTTTTTGTCCTTCTCATCCTTTTTCTCTTTCTTGTCCTTCTTCTCCTCTTTATCTTCCTTTGCCGGGGCCACCACCTCTTCCTCTACCTTCCTGCGCTTGTCGCCGTTCGAGTCCTCTTTCTCCGTCTTCCGCTTCGATTTCGATTTCTGCACCACAATCAGTACTCCACACACCAATCCACTCAACCGGCATTGCCGCAAACCTCTGGAGCATCCTCCTCCGACTTCTTAGCTTTCTTAGCAGCCTTAGCGGCCTTCCTCTCCTCCTTTGAGAGCTTCGACTCCGAGCTGTCTGCAGAGTCTGTGGAGTCTGAGGATTTATCCTTCTTCTCCTTCTTGTCCTTCTTCTCTTTCTCCGCGGTGCCGTTCGTCGAGGTGCCGTTCGTAGCTGGTGCCTCCTCCGTCTTAGATTTCTTAGACTTCTTGGGCTTCTTCTTCTCCTTCACCGGCTATGCATCCATTCCATACTGTTAAATCCTCACTATCAATGATCACCTTGCACGATAAAAGGACTAACCTCGACTTCCTCCTCTCTCTTCCTCTTCTTCTTCTGGCCCTCCGCCTCCTTCTTCTCCGCAGTGCCATTGGGGACCTTCTCGACGTCCTTCTTCTTCTCCGCCGGGGGCCCACCGTTCTTCAACTGGGCCCTCCTCTGCAGCGCCGACGTCTCCACTTCCGCTACAGAAGCTTCGGGCTCTACAGACAGCGCAAGCCGGGGAGAAGCAATCGCAATATCATTGGCATTGTCGCCAGACGATTTCGCATTCCGTCCATATCCCTTCTTTCCCTTTCCGCGGGTCGTGAAGCCTCTACCCCCACCTCTTCCGCCGCCTCTGCCGCCGCCGCCTCTACCACCTCGTCCTGCTGGTGCGTGATTGGCGCGCTCACGGGCCGCGGGAGCCCCAGACTGCATGAGGGCCAGGCGTGCAGGGTTGATACCTGCAAATGGGTCTTCGGGCGACATTTTTTGGTTGTTAATTGTTAATTATGGTTTTGGAGGGGGAGAATGGTATTTTCTTAACGTTGCTATGTGAACTTTTTTTCAGGGCCTGCAGAAACTTTTTTTTTGCGCACAGACCAGTGCAGGAGACGGGACTTGGCGGGCAGGGTTTGGATGGGTTAGGGCTCGGGACTGTGTTTAGTTCTCCCCGGTGTGGTTAGGACGAGATAAATTCTCCGGTGGTGGCAGGCTTCGAACACCTCCACCAATGGATATGTAGCTGGGCACCATTGAACTAGTAAGAGTCGGAGGCTCGAAGCTCCACAACTAACTATCAGCAAAGGTTCAGAATTCCCGTTCAATCGATTGGCGAAGCTAGCTGCATCTTTGAGGATAGAGGCTCATCATAGAGCCTATCCTAGGCTAGGAGACACCACCCACAACGGAGGACGGATCAACTCAAAGTGTTTGTTTATGCGTCCCTCGCGCTGCCCACGATAGCTCTTTCCCCGGCTGCCGAACTCCCCCAAGTCATACCCAAGGAAGATCGAAGACATACATAGTCCTTGGTGGGTTGTGATTCAGAACAGCAGCATATCACCCAGATCTGTTTTCAAAGGTCGACGGGAAAGACTTCCGGCGTGGCTTGAAGGAATTTAGCTGCGAGAAAGCTTCAGGGGGCTAGCGGTCTTAGTATTATTAGCCTGTAATTGAGCTATCTGGAGCTCTAAGGTACCCGGGAGTATAAATATATACTTGGAGCTGATGATTCCAACTATCTTAACCTCCCCTCGAACCGCTCGATCTCAATCCCAGTACACGGGGAAAGGTCGGTTGGCAGAGCTGCTCCTGGGCATCTCTAGATCTACCAGTTTCAACAAATGTGCCCTAAAAGTCTCCAGCAGACCAGGGAGATACTTACTCGGAAAACAGTCACCAGCTGCAGCTAGACCTTTGCATGTTCCGGTGTATTGCTGTCCGTCTCGCTCAAGTGTTATCTCCCGCATCTCCTAGGAGCCTAGTATATAGCCTCTGGTAGAATTATTGTGGAAACCAAGGATTATCGAGCAGTTGCTTCTGGCCAATGCTATCGCTCAAATCTTCGCCGAGAACAGAGGTCTTGCACGCCACATTTCAACCATGATTGATACATATGATATGAGCATGGGCATTGACCAGGGAAGCTGCAATGCGGATACCTCCGGGATCCTTCTGTTTCTTTTTAGACTTACGGAAAGACAGGTCCATATCAAAACTCGATATTTGTGGTCATAGCATCTCTCTGTAGCTGCAGCTACTAAGCTCGACCGCCGATCATAGTGATTGGAGGTTATTATTGCTGGTTGGTAGGTTGTGCTTCCACGTGTCCAAAAGGCTGGATAAAGACGCAGCAGAACATCTGATAGATGCGCAGCCTTACCTGCGAACTGAACAGGACAGAGTGTCGTCATAAGTTTAGGTGACGTATTTCGGGCTCGATGCTATTCCAAAGGCCAACAGTGCATCTGTGTATTTTTTTAGGTCCGAGTGAGAATCCATGAACAAAAGCTTTCGCTCCGGATCGGTAACTATAAACTCAACCCCTACCCCATTGGTGACAGCCGATTCCATCTTTGGCTATTGCGGCTTCTTAGATTCATTCTTAGAGAAGCGTTGGCTAAGCGTTAGCAATGGGGCGTTGAGAAGAAACTACACTGTAGCTATAGAGTAGTTGAACACTGAACCGCCCGCCCAGCTGATCATGATTGTATTGGCCGGGGCCGTAAGATAACGAGCACACCATCGAGGAAAGAATCTCTTCGCTCTCCACGGCCCAAGAGTGCATGTGCATGTGCATGTGCCTTTGATTCAGATTTCATAACCGGCGGCATTTACCACGGCGTCATGGGAGGCATCGGAACACTTGCACCTGCAACTGCACTTGCATTGCCCAACCCAACCCAACCCCTCACTTTTATCTCCATCGCAAACACGGCCATGTGGCCTTTCAGTGCCAAAGATCACTTCGGTCGGGGCAACAATCCAGTATGTCGAAGCAAGACAGATAATTTCCGAGGTGTTCAAAGGGCACCCTAATATTGTGATGAGCAATAATAACGATGATGGTAATCTCTTGCAGCTATCACTACGAGTGGTCAGGGTCTTTGCTTACTGTTAATTCAGGACCTGACTTCTAAGGATTCCGCCAGTTCGCCGAGCTCTCCTGTCCCCCCTCGCTTGCTCGAGCGAAGGTACAGGTAGTATTTCCGGGTGACAAAAGTTCCCGTGATTTTGCTTTAAAACGACTATAACTCCACAATCACAGATAGCTATTGGGTTAGAGAGCCGAAGATTGATAATATAGCCCTTGGGTGTGAATCCCGAGTACCGACTTTGAGAATTGGTCATTCTGGGAAATTTTTGCTGGTTGCTGCGCAAAATCCCGGCACCGTATCCCTACAAAGTAGCTATGCGTGATCTATGAAGTTCGGACAGGCTTCGTTCCTTTGACTACCATCATGAAATATCACTCGCTACCATATAACCTAAATGAGCCTGGCAACCTGTTTTATAGGAAGCCACCCAGAGCATTTTCGTCTATTTCGTCTATTAAGATTAAATACAATAGAATAAAACCCTAGGGCGGAATGATATTCACAGATATTAGAAGATCCGAAAACGAAGTTCGGCCGGCCAGAAAACCACCAGATAATCCCAAGATACAAAGAAAAACTCGCCGAATTGCGCGTCCCGTCATGGGGAGGTTGTCGCTAGGAAGAATAAATAGCTACAAAAGAATAGAAATGGATATAAAGGAATGACCTCAAACACAACACAGTTATCATCAAGCATAAATCTTGCCAGGAGCAATACATCGTCATACACCACCAATCCAAAGAAAACAAGCAAAACCACGCCCCCGTCCCCCAAATCATTCAACCGTAGTTTAAGATGACGATAAATAAAACCAAAAGCAGATCTGACGTGTATGACACATAAAAATACAGGCCATAATGACACTTACCGTCTTCGAGATGCTTGCCTGTAGCAACTTACAAGTCCTCCCGAAACCTCGAGCTGACACTGCCTTCCCCTGCAGAAAATCTCCGCTCATCATGTGGGAAGAAGCCAGAAGAAGGCCTATTCGTGGGTGCGAATGTTGGGGATTGCTGTGAGAACGTGTCCCTCGCCTCGTCGGGATACTCCGAGTGATCCTCGGTGCTCGAGATCCGGCCGTTGATCTTGGCAAAATCCTTGGTTCTTTTCCTAACGAGTTTTCCTTTGCCTTTCTTGGTACCTTGATCATTGATGGTCGCTGGGTCTTCTGTCCGTCTCCTACCCTTAAAGTGGTAACCACCCACCCCTATACTAGATAACGAATGTCGACGCTTCACTGGAGTCTTATCACCTCCATCTGTCCTTATCGGCTGGATACCCGCTGCTGAAACTGACCGCATCGCTACACGCTCTTGGGGTGCTCCATTCGATTTCGGCACTATAATCGATGATATACGGCGGGGAATTCTGAATGCAGATTCTGGCCGCGGACTCCCGTTAAACGCCACCCGATCCCCGCTTGCTTCATTGACGTGTTGCTGCTCGGAAATAGCAGCATGCCCCCCACTAAAAGTAGGGTCAATCACAGTACCACCTATCGGGGCGCTGATGGCAACAGCCTCTTTTTCATCACGACTAATTTGGCGACTTTGGCGTCTTCTAAATCTATTGAAAAGCCCTCTAATCCTCCCCTCTTTGCTGCTGCTGTCCGATAAAGGTGATGTGGGGGATATGGGACTACCATCACCTAGTCCACCCAAATCCCCACCACCCCTGCTGTCGATTTTTGAAGGCTGTCTCCGTCCCTTCACTGCTCGCTTTTCCTCTTCCTTCCGGCGTTTCTCGTCCTCTTTTTCGATGACTTCCTCACATATTCTCAGCAGTGGTTCTTGAAGTGAGGATACAATCTTATCATCTGGGGGTAGAATTGAGGGGAAATATGAACTTTAAAACACACCTTTAGCCCTCCGGATATCCTCACGTGTCTCCCCTTCCCTTGCCTCGTGTAGGGCCTGCACCCGTTTTGATTCTTCAATATCCAAGTGATCCTCTAATTCTCTAGCTCTTTCAGAATCTATTCTAGCCTTCTCCGCGTTTGCTCTTCTATTAATATCTTCCAACAACGGCTGTACATTCCTTTGTGCGATTACATCAATTTCCTCCGGCGCCATATATGCGCCGCCTCCGATGCTGATCTTCCCATGATTCTCTATACGTTTTTCAGAGTCCGCCTGTGCAATTTGAGTGACCCTGGGTTCCCAATCTTCACGCCTCGCGAGCCCCCGAGAATCTGCGACTTGCTTGTCTATTCCCGAAAGCTTGGCTTGAACGTTGCGCTGAGCAGCAGACATGAGTAAGACAGCGTTCTCACCACGCTTTTTTGCATCAGCCCGCGCTATGTTCCCCCGAAGAAGTGCCATCTCTGCGTCGGTATTGCGAGCTTGGCCAATATCAATCGATCCTACGTTGGGGACAGTATAAGAGCAGTTGATCGAGGTCTGGGCAGCTTGAGCTCCGAGAGGAGAAGCTGAGAGTGTACGATCAGTATCGTAGCCTATCTTTGCTAAACGCTCTGCTGCAACTTTGCGAGCGGCCTCTTGGATATTTGAATTAAATCGCCTCGATGGCGGGGTTGTCGTAAGGACAGATTGTGCTGAATGGTCATGTCTTGGTACATCAGGTAAGGTGGTGCGGCGGCTACTCTTAGACATTGAAATTGTGGCTGCACGGAGTACGTCCGACTTGCGCTTATCCTGCTGTGGAACCCTGCCCGCGTTGAGCACCTTGCTTTCTGCGACGTATTCCGAAGTCGAGTCTGCTCCTGTGGCGACAGAGAGACGCCGAATAGGTGGCATGTGAGCAATAGTTGCAGCTGTCAAAGCGCTATTTCCCGCGCTGGCCGCTTCGGTTTCCTGACGAATAGTCAAAGGCATCGGAGAAGATCCGGAGCGCCGTCTTTTTTCCTTCGAGCTTTGCATCGCTCCTATGGCGCCAGACAACGACCAACGCTTGAATGACTCAGGCATTGTATATGGCTGCGGGAAAGAAGGGTCTTCAAGGGCGTGGAGAGCAGCTTTCCCCGCAGGTTCACTCGGGGCAGGTTCCCAAATGTTCACGGACTTTGGGTTGCTGTGTGCAAAGGAAGCGGCGGCTCCAGCGGCGGCAATAGAGTTCGGTCTCCAGATTTCCACCGGTCTATGATCGCGGTGAGCCAATAATGCCGCTGAAGCTCCAGCAGCCCCAGGATGTAGTAATCCTATGGTAGGATAGCTTGGCAATTCGTGAGCTTCCGCTGTGCGAAGATAATGAGCAGCTGTTACAAAAGGATAAGGTTGTTAGTAAATATTACCAAAAGCCCTCCGGTGTAGCGATGTGAAGGGTAAAAGAAAGAGAAATAAACCGGAGTTGTGATTTATCTTTCAAGGAGGACAAGTGGGTAACCCCTTTCCAGGAGAATTACCGTAAAGTTCGGTAGTGGCAAAAAACTTTGTACCACGCTGTAATTCGTTGTTATTATCGGTCTGAGTTGATACAGTCTGCATAGTCATATCTCGGGGTCCGGTCATTCTTGCAGGAGTGTTTAAGGCCGAGCTAACGTCAGTCACGGCGGTTGCATTATTCAAAATCACCCCCTGTGAACCGTTTTTCGATAAAGATGTACCCAATCCATCTCTATTGGGTGCAGTAGAAATAGCCGTATGTGGGGATGTGGAAGTTGCAGGTGGGGTTGGGGTTGCAGTTGTGTCAGACTGGCTAGGAATATGAGTATGAGAAGTGTGGCCGTTTGTCAACGGCAGCAGCATATTAGAAATGGGAGCCAGGGGGGCCAATAATGTTGCCATGATTGCTCTAATTTTGTCAACTTGGAATAGATATTGGTACTGGTGTAACGATCAAGTCAGACAAAATTGAGCCGGCTGCGGGGAATTACAGATCAATATGTGGAGTACAGGGTATAAAATAGCACAGACTGCAGGGGAATAGAAGCGGGATGCCGTCAGTGCACCGTTGAAGTCGAAGTGAAAGATCACCAGCAGGGAACTAAAGCTGCTCGCTAAGTTACGTTACCGATAACATCAGTAATGGGCAGTTGGGGCTCGGCGTTTGGAGATGTTCCGATTGTGATATTGGGAGACTGACTGGATTGGAGGAGAAGGTGAGGAATGATTTGTTTGGCAGGATAGGACAGGGTATCTGACTTATCGGGAGATACTACTGTTTTCAGTGGTCTGTCACAGGCCTGAAGGCTTAAAAAGTGTGCCTTTTATCGTGATGTCATCCGTTTACTGTCTGTCACAGTACCGTCATCGTTTACCATACCTAAATGTACATAGAGGTAACACTCAATATCATGCCTTTAAGTAAGTAATGGTTGCAATTACCTGGTACCGGCTCTACGCATTACTTACTTGTTTTGAAAACCTTACTGCAGCTGTGGATGCATGCCCGGTAATGCAATTCCCAAGATCGAAGCCGGTAATTGGCATGCATTTCTGTCACAAAACCCATTTGTCTGCTCAAATATAGATTCATAACGGCGTTACCTGTACCTACAGCAGTATGTAGAGCCCTTCCAAACTCGTATGCTGTACAGCGAGAGGTAGAATTATTGTAGAAACAGGAGTCTAAAAACAGGGTTTCTATGGCTGGGCAAGCCAATAGAACTCCTCCCATACTTCTACAATAATCTTACCGCAAGCTGTAAAAGTTGACTGATCCATACGGTCCTAAGATCAGATATCCTACATGCTCACCAACATAAACGTTATCGCCTACCAGCATAGCCATTAATCTGATGATTTATTGCAGCGCCAGTCCGGGATGTTCTTGGTGGACAGCATTCTCTGTCCGTTCAGACCCATCGGGTACGAGGCGAAGAGCTGCCCAAAGCTTGGAAAGCGGTTGGCCCGATGTCAGGTTGCGTCAGAACCGGGGGGCATCTTGGCCATCAACCGTGAAGCGAAACTTTCCTATGACGTCCGGCAACTTGAAAGTTTATCGGGACCCGCCTGTTTACCGATTTCTGTCTAAAAGCCGTTGAGATTTGTTCATGGGTATGATAATGAAGCTTAATGTGAATAACTGAACGATAAGTGACTTGTCCATCCTTTTGACAGCTCCAAAGTCTCTGTTTTTATCGATGGACGGAAGGAGTGTAGCTGGCCGCTGCGGGGGGTTGTATGACAAGGGAGGGGCAGAGGATCGACCAGGGATTCTTTATGAACTCGAACCGTCTCGAATCACGGATCAATTCAAATGTTGTTGTTGTTGATATCAGCTTAACCGCTAACCCTACAACGCCCTGTTACTTGCTCTGAAAATACTTGGGACGGCAAAATGGCCTTTTCAATTGGTAGACAACAAAACATTCGAGTGAATTTCTTGCATGAACCCCAGTACAAATGCGCAGCTGGGAATAGGATTCTTCAGTAGTACCTTCTACCTAGGTAAGTACTTTTCTGAGGCCTTTTCACGCCACTTACAATGAGTATAGCTAGTTGCACAGCTAGCCAGCTGATTAAGACTCATGATTAGAGGATTAGAGGGAAACAAACTCGTCCCTCTACATATCAAGCTTGTTTCACGGCAAATATACATGTGCTAGGATTAACGGCATGATGGATAAGAGCCTACAAGCTTTAATACCTCTCCCCATTACCATTTTCCACCCCTCATTCTCCCCTTCTAGCAGAGCGGGACCTCTGACAGGTTGTTCCGAGTGCCCAGAGACTCACGTTCAGAACAATGATTAGCAGGGATCACTGACACGGTAGTACTATTTGGCTGCTGGCATGGTAAAAGTAAGCAAGCATGCCACCACCACAACCGGCAATGAAAGCCAGACTACGGAGGTTACGTCAAGCCTCCCCCGCCCGGAATCCCAGAGCTGCAAACAAAGTAATTTTCTCAGAGATTTCAAAGCCAATATATAAACTTTTTACGCCCCTGTCTGTTGAGAAAAATTTACTCTCATCTTATTTCTCTGAGATTCTCTCAGCCTTGGTGTTGGCATCTTGGTTTTCTCTAGCTTATTTCTATCTCACCCGCGTCTCCCCTCTTTCAGAATTACATTCCCCATCTCTCATTTAATCGTCTTCTCTTCCACTCTTCCGAGATTCTCCCAAACTTTATTCGTTCCCGCCGATTTGTTACACTCTGTCGTCGATATTCGAATATCTCCGAGGACGGTATATGGGAAATTGATATTCCCTGCGGCTGAAACACTGGCAACTCTAAACCTTTGTTTAACTACTACATCAACCTACGTATCACTACTAAGTTTGGCACAACCGGCCATCCCTTGGCCCGCTAACAGTTCCGAGAGCAATCATGACTACCTTTGTGGCCTCTTTGTAAGCTCTCCCATGTTATAGACATGTTTTTCTAAAGGATATTGTTCCGCGATACCCCACTGTTCAATGATCTCACATCGATTTTCTGTGCCTGCATTATAATTAAATTGCATACATTGCTCGGAGTCGGAGTCTATTTCGCGCAGATCATGCAGAGTTGCTAATACAACCGCTGTTCTTCATCCAGACATCTTCCATACACCGTCCAGTTTGACAATGAGCCTGACGCGCTCAATTACAAGTCTCCATTTGGATCTCCCCAGCAAGCTCGGGAAAGGCCTTCGGATTCGGCAGCTTCCAAGAGCCCTCCCCGCATGAAACTTTCAACAGTCCGCGTGGATCCACCCAGATTTGAGACGCCAGCTCTGATCCCCAATCTTTTGCAAACTCTTGGACGATCCCTGACTTCCACGAACGAGCCTACCCCTCCATTGACTCCAACTGCTTCTGGAAGTCCTACAAGTGAGGAACTCTTCTTCAAGCTTGCCCATTCTGAGAATGCGCCTCTGGGTTCCCCCAGCGAGCCTTCCTTTACAAGAAAACTCAACCAGCCTAAATCTCGTCCACGGAGCCCCCCAGGTCCCGCTGAAATAAGTGAAGATGCCCAGGGCCCAGGTGACGGATACTTTGCTCTCCCACCAGCACCTACGCGACACCGCGAGAAACGCCGTTCATCGGCCTCGGAAAGACCATTTAAGGGCAAAACTTGGCACATAGAGAGGACAGACCAAGGAAACGGAGGATTGAAAAATGCGGTCGAAGCTGCAATTGCCAATGGAACTTTACATGACAAGACCTGGGTAGGGACTTTGGGTTTCCCTACTGACAGTCTTGATGAGAGTGTCAAAGTTGCAATCGAGGGGCGTCTTCGGGAAGATTGTGACTCAATTATAGCTTTCCCCAGCGACAAAGATTTTGATGGCCACTACAACCATTATTGCAAGGAAATTCTTTGGCCGGTTTTCCATTACCAGATTCCCGACCACCCCAAGAGCAAGTAAGTACCCACATATATAGATCCACAACCCAGTCCACAAATACTAATATAACACCAAGGGCTTTCCTGGATCACTCGTGGAAGTATTTCGAGGCAGTTAACCGTTCCGTTGCCGATGTCATTATCAAAGATTACAAACGTGGCGACACTGTCTGGGTACATGATTATCATCTTCTCCTGGTTCCCATGATGGTGCGCGAGGCGCTTGGCCCTGACGCTAAAATCGGATTCTTCCTTCACGTGGCTTTCCCATCATCCGAAATCTTCCGTTGCCTGGCCCATCGCAAGCAACTTCTGGAGGGAATGCTTGGTTCGACGCTTATAGGATTTCAAACAGAGGAATACGCGCGCCATTTCTTACAGACTTGCAGCAGGCTTCTATGCTTGGAGGCCAGAAACGACGGCGTTCAGTTGGACAACAGGTTCATTACAATCTCCATCTCGCCAATTGGTATTGATCCAATCCAACTGGACCAGAAGCGGAAGGAGGAGAAAGTAATGGAGTGGCTGGAAGCACTCAAGACGAGATATGCTGGCAAGAAGCTTCTTGTTGCCAGAGACAAGGTAGGTCCTTATCTATATATATAATTCTTGCGCTTAAAACACCATTGATTTTGACTTTATTGTAGTTGGATGGTGTCAGAGGAGTTAGGCAAAAGCTGTTGGCGTTCGAGTTGTTCCTCAAGAAACACCCAGAGTGGGTTGGAAACGTTGTGTTGATCCAGGTCGCCCTGACAACAACCTCGATTGTGGAACTTCAGTCCACTGTCATCGACATCGTCACCCGTATTAACTGCGCATATGCAACCCTTGATTACCAGCCCGTTGTGTACTTGCATCAAGACATCAGTTACTACCAGTATCTCGCTCTTCTTACCATCGCAGATGCACTTGTTGTTACTAGTCTCCGTGATGGTATGAATCTCACAAGTCATGAGTACGTTTACTGTCAGGATCAAACCCATGGCCCACTTATTCTCAGTGAATTCACTGGGAGCGCTTCCATCTTCAACGGCGCCGAGATATCTGTGAATCCATGGGACCACAGCAGGTGTGCATCGGCTTTGTACCAGGCCCTTACGATGGATCCGGCTGAGAAAAAGCACCGCTGGGATAAGCTCTACAGTGCCGTAATGCATCACACTGCATCTTATTGGCTGACAACGTTTTTGGATGAGCTGGAGCGTGCATGGGTCGAGCAGCAACGTTGTGGATCAACTACAATTCCGAGGCTGTCAACAAAGTCTCTTGTGGATGCCTACGAGAATTCAAATAAGAGGGTATTCTTATTGGATTATGAGGGGACGTTGGCATCTTGGGGATCCCCAACAAGCATTATTCTCACGAGTCCCCAACGTACCCTTGATGTGTTGCATGACTTATTACTGGATGAGAGGAATATCGTTTATATTATGAGCTCCAGAACCCCAGAGGTATACATCTTCAATAAAACTTGATGCATATAAAATCTAACTAGTGGTGTAGGAACTCGAGCGCCTTTTCCACCGAGTCCCAGACATTGGCCTCATTGCCGAAAGCGGCTGCTTCATGCGCAAGTTTAAGAGTGGTCAGTGGACTCGTGTGGCTGACGAGCAACTCCCATGGAAAAAGTCAGTCAGGGAAATCCTCGAGTATTACGTCGAGCGTACACCTGGTACTTTTGTTGAAGAGCGTAACTGCTCATTTATTTGGCATTATGAAAAATCCGAAGATTCAACGCTTGCTGCTCGCCAGGCAGGAGAATGCTGTAATCACGTTAATGATTCTTGCGAATCCTATCGTGTTCATGCTGTTCCCCTAGGTGGTACTGTTTTGGTAGAATCTAGGGATTGGACCAAAGCCACGGCAGCAAAAACCGTCTTAGAACTTACGGCCGAGGGTGGTTCCGCGGTGGACTTTTTGATGGTTGTCGGAGACGGACGTGATGATGAGCCAGTTTTTAGCTGGGCTAACGATCTGGCGACTGATGGGGAGGTTAAGAGCGTTACCACAGTAAAAGTGGGGACAAAAAATACACAAGCCAACGCAACGATCACAGGTGTCGCAGGTGGGTTACTCTTTTTTTCCCCTCAACACTTTCCCTTTTCTGTTTGGCGACCATCCTTTCCTCTATTGGCGATTGCTGCATGAGGATGTAAAGAGGTCCGTGGTTACTTGATTGGCTAACGATTACTCGTACTACAGGTGTAATTGCTGCCTTGCAGAAACTGGCTACCATAATCCCGAACTAGCCTACACATAATGGAGTGGAGGGTTTAGGCAATTCCGGACAAATCGGCGTCATATCGGATTTATCTTTTCATTTTATATTTCTCTTTTTCAGTTACATACTTAGTTATGGTCTTTTTTGTTTTTGTTACAATTTAGGGACTTGCTTTGTTTCATCTTTTCTGTTGTGAGTATCATTAGTATTTGTTCGAACGGATGCATTATTTCCGCGCTGCCTAGCGAAGTCTTTTTTCTCTCTCCCTCATTTGAATCATCACCATTCGTTTTGGCTTGGCGATTGGCCATCTCCATTAAAACCCTTTTGGTTGATCGAGACATTTTTTTCTTTTATTTCATGATAGCGTCTGTTTCCTACATACCATCGTTCTTGAGCCTGTCATTAGCAGGCGTGCTTGTGCTTTTTTATTTGGTAGAAATCTCGGGAGTTGGCTAAAGACGACAAAACGTGGCTTTTTGATTTCGGCCTTGTGAATTTTATTCATCTAGGTATTTGTGGATTCTGTTAATCTACATGGGTTTGTTGCTGTTTTTGGGAGTACAGATTATACATAAGCTGGGGTGGAAATCTATAGATGAGGATTTAAGTACCGTATCGTAACTGACATATGCGGAGAGTAAGGATTCCTCTGTAGGTACTCCGCAGATGAGGAGGCAAGGAGGGGTAAACGAAAGATATGGTATCCCCTCTAGTATCTAATCTACCCCTCTCTATTCATAGAACATTTATGCGGGGCGTCATAAATGAAACGAAAAAAAACCAAACAAAAAAACAAAAACAAGGGTGGTGAACCCTCTTTGCCATGAAAGAAGAGAAATGTAATCCCACTGAACCTGATATCGGAATCCGCCAAGAAGGCGTGTGGTGATGTGATCCGACGGCGCGCACGGATCTGGTGTCGACCATTCCTTAACACTCTGCGAGTCTCTCTACATCCACATAGCCGGTTAGATTGTACCCCCGGCTTGGCCAGATCAGCGAAGAGGAGTACGCGGACTTTTCTTCTAAGAGAGCTGGCCGGCCTGTCATGAATCATGACTCCTGAAAGGTGATTGCGTGCTTTGAAGCCTTTGGCTTAACATGTGAGTTTTCTTTCCTTTCTGTATGATGGCTGTATCTACCTGCGCGTGCTGCTGGAGACTCGCTCGCTAAGGACCACTCATTAAACAGCCATTAACGTAGGTACTCGGGTTAAACTTACCTGGGAGAAGGTTATGTACATGTATCAATCGTGCCTACACGCAGAGCACTCTACCTAGGTATCCCATTCTCTCGAACTTCACCACCGCCAGGTGAGGTTGCATCTCGGTACGGAACTATCCACCCTCCTGGTACGTGCAGCGAGTGATTCTTGATGACGCACTCACGCAACGGCAACAGTACCCGTCGTCCGAATCCGATTAGTTAGTAGCCCAGCAGTTAGCCCCACCCATGTACCTACGTACGATACTTTTTTTTACTTAATTTACCATGCGTATGCTTTCCGGGATAAAACTCTAAAGCGTAAAAAGTTATTAAGTTAAGAAAGTTCCGTTGTCTTTGTTCTCTGGACCAACCGGAGCGAGCAGAGCTCCGGGGTCAAGCTCTAATTCGCTCTCGAATGTTACTCTACGAGGAAGAGCCTTATGTAGATCTAGATGTTTAAACTGTTTTGGGGGATTGTTCGACAATGATGAAGGCGGCTTTAATGACTTGAACCCTAAATACACCCGGTATTGATGGTCTAGGAAGGTTTCCAGAGTACCGGCTCTGCTCTATGTGTAAACTCAATAGCCAAAGCGTGCAAGCCTAGCCTAACCGCCATCATGAGAATCACCATCATGAGATACCTACAGTATCGTACCAAGCCAGACGGTCAACTCTACACCGAACGACCCCCGCAGGCTGTATCAATATACTGTACCTCTCTGCTCTGCTGTGGTCCAAATATCATTCCAGATGACAAATGGCCGCAAAGGAACATGCATTCAAGAGAGATTTATTCGTATCCTACAGGCTAACGAACCCTCCGAGTTCAAAATGCCAGATCATTTCCCAGCAGGGTGGCAGCACGATCGAGATAACGTAGAAAAAGCAAGCAAGGCGAAAAAAAGCCAAGGCTCGCTGTCATAACGGGGGTTAACTTAGGCTCCACCCTGATATGTATGGGTTATTACTCTACCCGGTCAGTTGGAGGTAGGTAGCGAGGTAGGGCGAGATCTTTATCTAGATACAGGACACAGCCAAGACGGTAGATGGAAGCTACTAGAACGTTTTTTTGGTGCTGCTCTATCATCTATCTTTGTACGGGCCTACCTTACTAACAGAAGCTTGGGTTCGTCGTCAATCGTCCTAATCGTCAATCGGGTTTAATCTATTGGGTTTGTTTCGAAATGCTTTCTTTTCATTTGTGCTAGGTTGGGTCGTGTTCGATCCCTGTTTTTTTGTTTTGTTTGACGGAACGGAGGGAAAGGCGGTCGTTTTGTTTGGTAGGGTTGATTGGGCAAGCATGTGAGATGGGTATGTATGCGTTCGACGGCGGCGATGATCAGTGATTGACTCTACATGATACATACAGGTCGGTAGACTAGCCCCCCTCCTCGAAAGTGGAGGAGTAAGTCATGTACATACCAGGGGCTTGCTGGTGATAGAGTTAAGCGGCACAATAATTAACACTCATGGGGGTCCGGTCTCTTTCTCTTCTTTCTTTGCTAGTCATGTATGTATCATGAGTAACAGATGTACACATATTTCTGCTATTCTACCTCCGCTATCTATGAAGCTACGTGCCAATATGTCTGCCACTTCACCGTAGGCATTGTACGTTGGGTTTAGTATGGTGTGTGTTGTAGTACTTCTGAAGCAGACCAAAGACAAAGAAATGTAGTTAGCGGAGATCAGGGACCATGGTTGCTAATCGCAGAGCACGCTTGAGGAGGTGATGTCCGATGTCGATGTATGTAAGTGTTTTTTTTTCTTTCCCAATTGTAAGCCGGAGTTAGAGTACTCGTCGCCCGTGGTACAGACATACTGCGGTACTCTACCGTGTTTAGCGGTTGATTATGTTTGTTTCTTTTTCTTACTGGAGAAAGAGAGGCCAAGCCAGCAGCCGTTGGCATGAATCTTGATGCCCAGAATCGATTATTTACACTTTTCAATCTTCCTTTCTTTTTCCCTTTCTCTCGGAAGCTACCGTCTTCAATCGGATCCGAAGGAGAGGATCAGAGACGGGCCAGAAGCTGGGCTGTCTGGCAGCACGATTTGATAGGAGGAAACACTGGAAGGAAGAAAAGAAGGGGGAAGGCAGGGAAAGTCAGACAGATTCATCGTCGTCGTTGTGGGGGGGTGGAGTGGGTGGATGGATGGCCTCTTGGTTGGACACCTTTCTTTAGCACCGTGTTTTTGGCCCGACTTGGTCTGGTGGCAAAGGCAAAACGCGTTGTGAGTGAAAGGAAAGTGCGGGGAAAACTGTAATTGTGGGGTCTAGCAGGCAGGCAAGCAGGCAGGTGATGGTGCAGCACTAGTGCCCTTGAGTAAACGACGTAGGTACAGGTACAACATGCACGTCTGTTGAAAATAGGTGAGCACAGCACCAAAACAGCGAGCCCTTATCTTCGAGTATGTACTGATACTTTACGATATTGTATCTCCTTTTCTTGAAGGATAACATTTTGTGTGCTAGTGCTGGAATATGTGCAATGTATGTAATGTACGGTACTCTAATTGTAGTCTGACTGCAGCATTGATTTGATTGACGTGACTGGAAGGCTCTGCCTCTTTTATCCCCCCCGCCTCCTCTCTCTCAATTGCTAATACATTGCGTTCATTATCGCTTGAACTTTCCATTATCTTGTGGTAAATCTGTTCTTTTGCTGCTAAAACTGAGATCCAGACTCACTTTATCGTACAATTACAATGAGGGTTCGGTAGATATCATGATAGACGCAAAAAGCCACCGTCCGCAACATGCAAACCCACACACACCCCCTTTTTTTTTGAATTACTCGTGGTAGGTAGCTCAAGTGCAAGTCAGTCCTAGTCTTGGAGTAGTCTGGAGGGAAGCAATTGGGCCGTTGACCCTTCCCCCTCCTAGACTGTAGATTGTTGATCACCACCCTCAAACGCCGTCATGCCCACCACGATCGAAGGTCTACCTACCCTTACCGTACTCACTCTGGTGGTCCTTAGCTCTTTCACGATAGATAGCTGGGCAATTGAGGGTGTCGTAAGGCTCTACTACTCTAGTTAGTAGGTGAGGTGTGTTATCATACGTCGTGCCAATTTTGCCTACCCCCCCTTCCACCCACCCCCTCTGTGGGTTTTGATATGGGGTACAAAAACCCCCTTCCGTCCCCCACCTGAGATCCTCACTCGTCACCAGTCATTCGGTCACATCTGCTGTATAATCGAACCTCGAGAGTTCTGCATACCCGCTGAAAGCGCCTACGTACATTACATCCTACACGCATTACATACCAACCGGGCCCACCTACTCACTCACCTACCTGTCTAAGCACAAAGGACACGCCCCCTTGATCAACCCCCAATCATACCATTATCGTTCGAGCAGACGGACAGTCGATCCCCGATTTGAATTCAGCTTGCTTTTTTCCCGAATCCGGACTTTCAATCTTTTGAGAAATCAACTTTCTATAAATCCGTCCTGCCACCTCACCTAGTTTCGAGCAAGCAAGCAAGAAAGAAAGAAAGATAATAAAAACACAATTCCAATCTCACTCAATAACCTACCGTCCAAGAAACCTTTAACCCATATCTCTTATTCTTTATAATCATAATGTCTGCACCCCACGCCAACGACCAGCCCACCGAGCAGCAGCCCCGCCGTGGCAGCCTTTCCCGCGGTCTGACGGACTTATTCTCGTCCAGCCGTAGCACCACAGCCGCAGCCTGCCCAGGGCCCATCTCGTCCGCGGCCAATAGTCGTCGCCGCATGAGTATTTCCTCAGGCATCACTGGAACATCTCCACCACGGATCCAGGCACAGATGCCCATTCGCCGGGGCTCAATTGCATCGGTATCTTCTGCGGCGTCGTCGGTGGTCGACGAAAACGCCGTGGAGGACGATGAAGGCCCGACCCAGCCGTTTGCGAGGAGGTTGAGCTTTGGGGCAAGAGCATTGAGGGATATCAGGATTCCAGGAGGGAGGGTGCCAACTGCAACTGGTGCTCCTTCCCCGACGGTTGCGAGAGGTTAGTTGATCAATTTCTGTGGTTGCGTTTATGGTTGTGGTTGTACTGACTGGTGGTGGTGCTTCTTTAGGATTCTGGGGTGATAGCGGTAGATCAAACTCGATCAGCCAGGGAGACGAGGCGGGCCAGCAGCGTAGACAGTCTATCGCTACCATGCCCGAGCCAGTAAATGCTATGCCGAAGCGGAGCAATACCGTGGATCCGATGCAGGAACGCATGCTCAAGGGAGATTTCTATTTCGATTAAATATTCCTATCGAACAGAGACGACCCAACCGGAGAAGAGGAAGATACAAAACATCACCGTCGCTTTCGAACCTCGCGCTGGACCCGAACGTTACGAACAGTCAAGTCGGTTTTATATATAAAAAAAATGGAAAACAAAAAACAGCAACTCCAAAATTTTTATGACGATGTGTACGAATAGTTTTTGACGATAGTGGAATACGTTCCTTAAGACCAATACTTATGGCCCTGGACGATAACGACGATATGTAACAGTAGCTAGCTAGCGATAACGGAGTTCTTGGGGGGGGGGGGGGGGGGGAGCTGGTTGGGGGAAATTAGGAAATATGATTTGATTCGCTTTTGGTGCTTACTATTATTCTTTGCTTGCTTGGTTGGGTCTGAGCATAATAACTCATGATTGGTGTAGTTACAATTTTGTAGTTAAAATTTTTTTGGGCAAGGATTTTTATTTTGCATGAAATTTCACGGAACGGAAGCGGCACGCACCCAAAGTGGGGAGAAAGGAAGGAGGGGCTGAGGAGCATGTAGAGATGACACTCGCTATCATTTCCATTGGAGTTCATTGTTTTGTTTGTGGTTTCACATCCAGTGGTTTAATTGTTTCCCTTCCCGCTTTTTCGATTCGAGCTGGCATTGCTCTTTTTGTATGTATTTCTTCTACAGAGTCGGATATCGATAGGACAATCTAGTCGCGGGGACATCTAATCTAAGTGCTATACCTGCTTTATTAAACTACCTGGTACCACGATCATCCACCTCCATATCCCCAAGGTGAGAAACACTCATACTCGCGTGTGAAGCGCCGTGAACAGAACGTGTAAGAAGAGGAGGGTAGAAGTTGCAACCTCTAGATAAAAAAAAACCGGATTTCTCCTCAAAAAGCTCCAGGCTGGTTATGCCCCGGGCACTGGAGTTTAGTGCTCGCATGCCCACGATCCTTACCAACAGTATGGCTCGAAACGATCATAAATCTCTTTTCACCGGGATTTATCTCGCGGAAGGTAATATAACCACCACCCATATTCCAAATTGCACTGCGTGACTAGAACAGATCGCTCAAGTCTCCCCTCCTCCTTTGGGTTTTACTTCACGTTGCATCGCTGTTTAGAATGCGTAACAGCAGCGCCAAACCGGCTGCACACAATCTCTCTCTATCTCTCTCTATATTGGTGGTGGTGGTGATAATAGCAATAGTAGTAGTAGTGACATTGATACTGGTAGAGAGGAGCTTCTATCTCGAGCAGCTCGAACCTGATATATTATTTCACAGCGGTGTCCGGGCAAATCGAATCGGTGTACCACGTGAGCTGAGCTCGAGCCGCCGTTCCTTCCAGAACCCGCAGAAAAATAAATAACAAAAGGCCATGGCGGGACGCTGTTCGGGAAACCCAGAACCACGTGTGGGGGATTCAGGGAACCTCATCGGGCAGGACAGGGCAGGCAAAGTTGTCTCGTTTGGGGGTTGTCAGGAATGCAAGTCAAAGCAAAGCAGGATCAGCTCTTACCAGCTATCTCCTCTGCTCTACCTACCCTACACACTCTCTACACATAAATAATACCTGAGTTTGAAGGAGTTGAAGAGTGAGGGGAGGGGGAAGCGGAAAAACAACAACTCTCCTCACTGCATTTTCGGTCCCTGCATTGCAATTTGCTGAAACTTCTGCCCTTTGCTTTATCCAGAGAGAAGAGGATGCTCATCAGCGGGAATTGGGATTGGCTGGGATGGGAGAGAATGACGTCTGGAGACGCATGATGATGGCCAAAAAAATGGGCGAGACATCTGGGAGCGATAAAGGATTTCTAGATAGCAGCTAGGATCAGGCAAACAGTAGTTATTTTTAATTGTGAGGGTTGTTTGTGTTGAAAATATGGGAGGTGGAGGGGCAGCACCCAGCAACTTAGCAGCACAGCGACGATGTTCCTGTCGCTGCTTGGTCCTGCCGAGCCACACATCAATCAGCATAGGACGACGACTACTCGCTCGGTCTCTGACCTGGTCCACCGCCCGCTTTTCTTTCTCTTTCCATCAATATCTGAGCGTTGGTGTCTGCGCCCTCCGCCTCCTTTCTTGCTCTCTTTCCAACTCCGTCACTTCACTGCACTACAACTCTCCCCCCCCACTACAACAACAACAACCCACCTCTTCTTCTACTCCCCCCATCCATCCCCCATACCTTCTCCATCATCCATCACATTCTTCATCAACACCATCAACTCAACCCCCTAATCCATCCTAAATCTACCTTCCAAACTAAATTCCACTAATCCTCAATCCAAACTCCTTTTCTAGAAAACATGACTACTGAGGTGAGTTGCGGCCGTCGTTGTTGTGTACTTTGCTTGCCCTTGCATCGCAACCCCTCCTCCTCAACCCCTCCTTTCGAACTTTTGATCGTCCAAAAGATGTACCATGAACTTTGCTAATATGTGTATTTCGTTTTTTTCTTCAAACAGCGTGAGAGGTAATTTTTGACCCTGAGATATCTCCGAACCATTATCCTTCCCCTTAATCAGTCACTAAACTTCTATGCAGCAAGACTTTCCTCGCCAGGCTGTGCGAGCAGGCCGAGCGTTATGATGGTTTGTCCTCCACTTTCAGGCGTTCGTATTTACGAATATTCCGTTTGCTAATTGCGTGGTTCGATTGTTTTCAGAGATGGTCACCTACATGAAGGTATGCTTCCCCCTAACCCCGCTTTTGCTACATGACCTGCGAAGGCTACGATCCACAAGAGACTATATACTAATTCATTGAATTATAGGAAGTTGCCAAGGTACATAAGAATCCTCAGAACTTTGGGACCCCCTTATGAGCATAGCGGATTGGTTTAAATATCAGTTCCGCGATGGTGCCCCTTTTTTCCATTTGGGGCAAGGACTAACACGTAGTTTGCTTAATAGCTTGGCGGTGAACTCACTGTCGATGAGCGCAACCTCCTGTCTGTTGCCTACAAGAACGTTGTCGGAACTCGACGTGCGTCCTGGAGAATTATCTCCAGCATCGAACAGAAGGAGGAGACCAAGGGCTCCGACAAACACGTCGGAAAGATTCGTGAATACCGTCAAAAGATCGAGACAGAACTGGAGCAGGTCTGTGGCGATGTACTCAACGTTCTTGACGAGTCTTTGATCCCCAAGGCCGAGTCTGGCGAGTCAAAAGTTTTCTACCACAAGATGTATGTTCATTCCGATCCCATCACCAATCTGACGGGTTCCCCTCTTTTATTTCTTGGCAATAGGAAACTAATTTCCTCTCTCCATTTGATATAGGAAGGGTGACTACCACCGTTATCTCGCCGAGTTTGCCTCTGGCGATAAGCGAAAGGAGGCTGCCCACGCTGCCCACGAGGCTTACAAGGTAACCTAATACCCCACTCCCCTCTGTGGCTGAAGCCCAACATTTTTTTTTGGAGCACGTGCTCACCATCCACGTTTAGAACGCCACCGACGTCGCTCAGACTGAGCTCACTCCTACCCACCCCATCCGTCTCGGTCTCGCCCTGAACTTCTCTGTCTTCTACTATGAGATCCTGAACTCGCCCGACCGTGCTTGCCATCTCGCTAAGCAGGCTTTCGATGATGCCATTGCCGAGCTCGACTCATTGAGCGAGGAGAGCTACCGGGATTCCACTCTTATCATGCAGCTCCTCCGTGACAACCTCACCCTGTGGACTTCAAGCGAGTCAGGTGATGCTGAGGACCCGGCCGCCGCCGCAAAGGAGGAGCCCAAGGCAGAGGCTAAGACCGAGGAGGCCGCCCCTGCCGCTGCCGCTGCTGAGGAGTCTAAATAAGCTCACCAATGTTTGGCTGAGCTTTAGGTGGTTCGATTTGGTTGTTTTTAGGGCAGTTAATGCGAAAAGAATTGTGGAAGAAGTGTATTTCTTTTGCGTTTAAAGGTTCTATGCTCCATCGAAACGACAGGGAGCAAAAGTTGAACGAGGGGATTAGTTGGTGGGTGTCTCGTGGTTGGAAACATATAAACGGTCTGGGAAAGGATGGTTTTTTGTTTTTGGTGGGAGAATCGTCCTATTTTCTTGTTTTTTTGTCGAGGGCCACAGAGAAATCCAAAGCAAAGATCTCGTTCGATCAAGCTTCTTAAGTGTCCGTTTTTTTGTGCTTATTTCCTGTTAGCGGAATTCCTTGCTCTTATTTCTTTTATCTGCTACCTATCCCCTCTATTGATTCCATTCCCCAGATATCACGTTTGTCTATTTAGTACCCTTTATTAGCAAGTGTTCAATCCCAGTTCGTTCCCTCTATCTACCCTTTACACCATTAGCCAATTGTTTGCCTCGTCCTTGTTCTTGCATGATATCTACCACCGGTGCCAACCCTATCTACGTGTGTGCTTTTACGGATAGGAAATAGGTTTTTTTTTGCCTTAGTTGTCATGGAAGGCTTTCTTCGTATAGATAGCTCTTATTAGTTTCTCCGTGGTGGATGGATAGAAATCAAAACAGTCCCTGATCATGAATAATAATGTTTTTTAATCGAATTCTCACGAGCCATGTGATAAGTTTTGATGGGGTAACTTTTCGCCAATGACTACATTGGCATAAATGCTACGTCACACCTTTTTTTTTTTGTGGTTTGGATGTTTCTTCCCCGCTCTCGGTATGAAGTTACCCGTCCGTGGCTTTATCAATATTATCCGTGAAACTGTGGCTGGGAGTATTATGTGGGATGCGATGGCATGTTTTCAATTGGAAATATGATTCGTAAGCTCTAGTATTGAACGATGTTTTTTGTAGATAGAGTCACAGTCAAAGCTAATAAAGATTGGTAATAGTTGGATATATTTATTCAGATTAGCTCTACCGCGAGAGGCGTTTCCGGCACTTGAGTTCGTGGCGTGCACCTTGGGGGGTAAGGCGGATCTGGTACAGTACCAAGCTTTATTATCTGACATAAGTGGGATCATTGCTTCTCACTCGATTCGATCGAGGGAAATATATATATATATACAACTGCGGCCACTCAGTGGGTTTAATTGTAGACCGGCAACAAAAATCCAGCATCTTCAGCTCATTTTATGTTTGCCCTTATCAATACTAACTGAACCTCAGCTCTGGCAGACCCAGCATCTGCATTCCCCTTTCAATCTGGCTAAGGTGTGTCAAGATCTATCTTGACCTCGGTGCCAACCGGGGGGGATTTATCCAGAGACCTCTAAGACTTCCCACTAAATCTCTACATGGAGTTTTGAATCATGGAACCCAGAGAACCAAGCTCAAGTGCCCCACCGATGACATCAATCCTTTTCAGCGGTTTAATTTCGAAGAAGTTGTTGGAATATGGCCGATACTGTCATCACCCCCTCTTATTGATAGGTCCTGACGTCATCGAGGCACACTCTAATTCGACAGCTTTGGTCACGTGAAGCCCTTGCATAGCGCTGCCTCGAGGCAAGGACCTTGAGGCGAAAACACAAGGCTCTGATGGTGTCGGATTCCTAATGTAGTAATGGGAACTGTCTCTCTACTAGTCCAGACATGCCGCCCAGTTAAAACACACGCCACATATTGTGAGGCGAAACATTCTTATGTGGTGAGAGGCTAGCTAAGGGCAGCCATGAATAGTAGTACTGCAAGTAGTAGGGTATCTGATTACTTGATATGGCTTTTGAAGCTTGCCGATCCTGCAAGTCCCATGGATTGAAAACCATCGAGAGATGGCGGTGGGCAGGTGGATTGGACAATAGATAACAAAGTTGTGTGGACGCGGAACATTGCTACTCCTGTTCGTCGGATTTTTAGTGGAAGGTGTGATGAACCCTGATCATGATGGAAACCACGGTTTAACGATTGACCGAAGCTGGAAGGTGTATGATTCTCTACCCGGATGGAACTCTAAGATTGTTTGCAAAGAAAAGAAAGACATCTGTTAGCTAAGTACATACATAATTGTTCCCTTTCATTCTCTAGAAAATGTACGTACCCAGCATCTCTAGGAGTCATCCCAAACCCAACCAACTACAATCCTAGTAATCTTCCGCTCACGTCCTCGCAGCAGCCAGAAAGTGATGAAAAAAAGGGCAAAGATTTTCTAGAAGCCATCTCAAGGTGCGTAGCACGAACTTGCCACACACAAGGTTGTTCTAATGGCAGCCCCTATTTACGCAGAGGTTAGGCCTGCCTGAACCGTTGGGTGGCGTTTGGGGGAATACACGGGACGCCAGCTTGGATTTATATGAGCCTCGAATCGCAATTGTTCTTTCTTGGAGGAAAGGAGGTCGGGCGTGTGAATGTGCGCTAATAATTGCTGGGAAACATATGCCAAGGATGTTTCGGCTGCTGGTGCAAAGATGTGGTATGATCCATCTTGCACAAAACCTTTTGTGGGAAACCCCAAAACCTGAAAATACATCCCCATCATCTAGCCAGATTCTTCAGTAAGTGAAGACAAGAGAAGCTGCGAAGATAAGGAAGCGAAACCCCATTAGCGGTGATCCTCTCGAACGGGATAAGAAAGGCAATTTTCATCTCACCTTATAACAATTCTGAGTACCGCGCGTGAGGGGACAGTCGCGCACCCGGGTCAGTCGTGCACCATAGAAATTGGCCAACGTTGATTGGTTGCAACAATCCCTCACGCGCGGTACTTTTGCAATTTGTTCTAGTAGACACACGGACAATATATTTCAGTAGAGAATGATTAAGAACAATAAACCATGACGACGCAGTACTAGGGGGCGCAAATGCGATTATCACTTTGGACGTAGACGTTGGTACTCCATGGCCTCACACAAAGTGAACCTTAGGTATCGGCACCTCAGCCAGTGCATATTCAGTTAGAAATGACCAGTAACTACATGTAGATTCTTTGGAGAATAAGTTGTGTACGAACGCCACTTCCCTCCAGTTCGTCAACTCATCATTATTGTATAAACCTCGGGTTAAGCCTGTCGTATCACAATGTTGTGGATTTATCGTACGACCCGGGTCATATTTTGTGTTTGGTGATATAAGCGCTAAATGGGAACCATAAGACGAAGGTCCCCGTGAAAGGGCGTGGGTAAGCCGGGCTACGAATAGCGTTAGAGAATAGCGTTACACGAGAGTGGGTGTGGGTTGTGGGAAGCGAGAAGTAGGGAGGTTCAGACACTACTCTAGATTACATAAGTCCCTCGACCCTCTAATAGAAACAGGTGTCTTCACTCCCGCATAACTTTGCGTTTATAGTGGTTACCAAAGCTAAAACGGACTACATGTAGGATCGGGCTTAACTCCCACCTCCTCCTTCCGCTCCTACCGTTTTCTCCATCTTTACATCTGCTTTACTGCTAGCCAATCTTAGTGACTACATTTTCGCATGGCAGTGCATACCTTGATGACCATAAATGGCGCGCTGGGGGGTTGAGCTATTGCCACCAAATTCACCTGGGGCAGACCCGGCAGAGGTTTGTAGGAAGCAAAGGACATAGACTGGATAAATATACAGCCAGTTGTTGGTGAGCTCTAGAGTTCTACGAAACTGGAGGCTGCTCTCGTTTCGACTTATTGTAGCTAGAGGCAGACAGCCCCCACGAGACAGACCTTCTAGCGAGTGAGAACTCATGAAGTAACATTTTCCCTGCGGATCCCTTGATCATGGAGAGGGGCCTAATACCTAGTGATTTTCAACATCGTAGAAATACCGTTCTAATTAATAGGAGAAACCTGTTCCCTTTTCCCCTCCCCACCCCCCCGGGCCTTTGCTTACTCCCGGCCGCCTCATCTTATTCCTCTTGGACCTTGATTTTTTCGCCCATCTCAATCCTCCATCCTCTCCCATGAGAGGGTGGGAGGGTGAGAAACGGACAAACCACAACCACAGCGCTACACCCCTACCCATCTCTAGTGAAAGGAAGAAGAGGGGAGATGAAACCTCTCTCGAGCTCTCGGCAAGCACCTAAGGTCAGCTCCGCTTCTCTACCTCTCACGGGAGAAGGAAGGGGGGGGGGGGGGGTTAAAGTGTGGGAGAGGAGGGGGAGAACGTATAAACTCGCCTCTCTAAATTCTTCTCATAGAGAGGGGGGGGTGAAGAAGGCAAACCCCCTCTCATAGAGTGGAAGGAGGAAGGAGAGAAATAATCTCTCTCCCTCTCCTCACTTGAGGGGGGAGGGGAGGAAACGGCGTTCTCCTCTCTTACTGCGGAGTGGGGTGAGGGGAAACAGATACAGTTCTCATTGAGGGAGAGGAGAAAACAAACCCGCCTCCCTCCTCGCATGGAGGGGGAAGAGGAGGGATAAAATAAACCTGTTCCTCCTCTCATGGAAGAGGGGAAGAGAATTACGGAAGAGATGAAGAAAACCACGGGGGAGGTGGTGAATTTGGAGGGAAAAGGGCAAAAGACAAGAGGAGGAAATAGGGAGGAGTAAATACAGGGTTAGGGGTAAAATAATTGGTTTATGTGGCATTCATGCAACGTCATGTCATATCACTCGGGTGCCAAGGAAATACTTTATCCAAGTAATGGAGTCAACGTCTCTGTCTACAATTAGTCTCTACAAGCCCCGTACTATATCTTCTAAACGTTCTGTGGATATAGTGCTACATATCTACCCTCCGTTCTGCATCACCTCTACAGTTTGTCAATACACCAGCCCACCACCCTTAGCATATCTACGCAGTAGGCGCTGAGCGAGGCGCTAGATGAAAGTCCCTATCACTGGAGTGATCGAGACAGTTGAAGAAGTGTTGCTATAGTTCTATGTGGTGCGGTTGTGAGGACTACATGTAGCTAGTCGTAGATGAACCGGTTACTCACCAACCACCTTCTACCCCATCAGTGCACTCGGTCCCATCTTCCCGTCCCCCGCTCTCAACAGACAGTTTATGTAGCAATTGCTTCCGCATGTGTATATAGGAGGGGTTCTAGAGCAAAACATAAGCAGTTCGCTTCGTGTCAGAGGCTTCGTTAGTAAATGTATGAATCACAGAGCATCACTCGCCATATTCACGCTGCGCTATGGGTTGGTTTTTGATTTCCGAGCCTGGGAGTAAATTTGAGTTTGATTTATGAACGGAATTGGGGATTTTTATGGGGTTTCTTATATGGAGTTTTATTCCTGGAATTTTATATCTAGCAAGGACTAGTATTTTCCGTATTTATTAGTTCTTGGCAGGTATTGTGGGCATAGGTGGAAATGCGCCTGGGTATCAGTAGGACGTTTGCTAAATAGGAAGGGGGCGTTTTTATTTTTATTTTTATATATTTTTTTTAGCTGTAGGGGATACTATAGATAAAGCATGAGAGCGAGAAACAATAACGGCAATAAAAGGGAATAAACGTAGAGAAGTAGGAAACAGAACGGAGGCAAATTACTGATATTCATCTATATCGACCAAGACTTCAATTATACCTAATCTGCTATGTATATTCCTTTAGCTATGCCACAATAACCACCAGAAACCCCACCGCACCAAGTAAAAATGAGTTATATCAAATTACTATAATAATATATACGCCCGCTCCATCTGCATTACCATCACCACAACATAGACACATACATCGTAAAAACCTGCCCTCCATTAACCACTAATCCAACCTACACAACCTCAAGATATCCCATCTCTGCATGAGTCTACGGTTCTTCTTCCCCCACACATACATAGGTATACTCAGTGCGCAAACCGCGACCTGTGCTATACCCATCGTCCAAAACAAGCGCCAAGTCCCTAGCTCCATCAGCCAGTCAAACGCCCCCGTCGTGAGCGCATACGAGAAGAAGTTCTTAAACAGCAGGAACGTGGTAAACACCTCGACTGCGATGCTGCGGTGCGCGTCGACAATATACAGCGATGCAGCGACAGCGCCAATGATCATTCCCATTACCCTGATTGCGCTGTTAGTATGGGTAGGTAGGGAGAAACTGGAAGAGGGGCAACTTACTCCATGCCGAAAAAGAAGTCGGGCACCGCCCATCCGTACGTCTCTGGCTTACTCGCCGTCCAGCCAAATAGGAAGACACCCGTGATTCCCGTAATGGCCTGCGGCAGCACAAGGAGGATGCGGAACTCGGGCTCAAAGACACCTTTATTCCATCTCGTCATTACTCTCGTAGACCAATCCGCCAGCAGCCCGGCGAGCAGGAAGCCTAACATTGCGCCCAGGAACGCGCCGGCATACATGTACCCAATCTGCTCTTCATGGAAACGGACGGGCGCCATCATAAATATGTATGCAATGACGACACCGATCATCACCGACCAGCCAATGAGTGCGCCCTGCGTGAGCATGCCCCAGAAGACGGCAGGATGGACGATGAGCACTATGGGGCGGAGGACGAGCTTCCAGAGCGAGTCGGAGGTCTTGCGGCCGTTGAAGAGCGCAAGGGATTGCAGGAAGGTTGCACGCGGAGGTGGGATGTCAGTATCGAGATTCTCGATGGGCGTGGCCCCGGCTTCTTTACTGAGTGCGGGGATGGGGTCGGGGAAATCCATAGCCGCTGGAGTGACACGGCCATTGAAGGGGAGTATGTGTGTTTGCGAGTTCGAGGAAAGGTCGGTGTTATACTGGGTCGCACGGCGGTAGGCCGTCTCGGGGCAGAAGAAAAACACCTACGAGACCTGGGTTAATGGGGGGTCTTTTTTATATACTGACTAAGCTTAGATTGAGGGTTGTGCTCGTCCTGGAGAGAAGAACCAGAAAATATCCCGAATCGTGATCAAGGCAGATAAACTGACTTTGTGCACAGAAATTTCTCATAAAGGTAGTCAGGAGTTCAGTAGACGTCGTGAAACCAGTGAAATCGGGCGAACATCTAAACTCGACCGTAGAACCCCAACCCGTAGACCAAAAGACAATGAAGGAAGGGATTCCTTATCTCATCTATGCGATTTTGATATAGTTGATCATGGTGGGGCCCGTATGTAACCAATTCTGATGTTCGATCGCTTGCACTGATCTCAAAAGGTCCCACTGAACGCCCCAGCACTATCCCTCGATTCCCTGGTCCTTCTCTCCAACCCGTACACACCCAACTCTGATCCCGGGGGCTCACTCACGAATGGCACACAAACTCCCGCAAAGATCCCCACAAAATAAAACGGCCATCTCCATCCCATGACAGTCGTAATCTTCCCAACCACCACCGGTGTCATAAAAGCGCCCCCAAACAGCGCAAAATTCGTCATAGCCATCCTCTTCCCCCTTTGATGGACACAGTACAAATCTCCGACACTCGCATTCACCAGTGCCTCAAACGAGCACGCCGCTACGCCCTGGATAATACGCGCCCAGAGGAGCGACTTATAGGACTGTGCGGCGCCGGCCCAGATGGAAGTTATGCAGAGCAGTACGGTACCGAGAACGTAGAGATGTCGCTTGCCCCAGACGCGGGCAGTGGCAACAATGATAAGGCCAGAGGCCCCGACGCCGCAGAGGTGGTAGCCAGTTAGGGCGGCGACACGATTGACATTTTCATTTAGGTGGATAGCGATGTAGATGGTATTCGAAGCGAGGATTGAGGAGAGGCTGATGGCGAGTTAGTTGTTGACTGTTTTACTGGTGTTGCCGATTGAAGCAATATTACGTACCATGATGCCAGGACCTGGTGTTGGAAATTGTATTAGCTATCTTTCCATATATAGCTGCTTAGAAGGGAGCTACACTTACAGAAACACAGCACAAAATAACCGTGATACAATCCCTCTTTGCCAACGACCAATTCTACCCATCATCAGCACAACTCCCGCCTCAACCACATCACCATCCAGAACAACCTACCAAAGGATCATTCGGGTCATCACTCGGCTGCGGCACCAGCACTATCGGCACCGGCCCGCTCGTATCGTACTTCAGCTTCGGGTCCATCTGCTCACCCTCATATCCACCAACAACATTCTTGGGCCCCATCGCCCCCATGAAGGATGTTCCTGCGCACGCCGTCAGCTACATAAAAAAACTTTTCGCAAACGAGGAACAAAAAGGAAGCTTACCAGGGACATGCCCGCCCGCAGAAGGCTCGAGGATCCCAAGTCCCATTCTGACTTATTTTGCTGCTGCTAAGGTACTGATGGATGTTTGTGGATACTGTCGCGAGCAAGCGCGAGGGAGATAGGGAGGTAGGGAGGTACCTATTGTGTGTATGTGGTAAGTAGTTTGTAGTCTGTAGTTATCCGGAATCCGGAATAATGTCGTGGTCGGGGGGTGTGTACCTCATGCGGGGGGGAGGCAGAGGTGAGGTGTCTGGATGGAAAGTTCCGTGTTTCGTGTGACTCTGGAGCACCTATTCTACATATTGTGTCTCTTCTGCGAGAGAGGGAGACAGAGAGGGAGTTGCAGGCTGAACACGTTGGGGCGGTGGGGGGTGGAGAGGTTCAGCTCTGTTGCGATTACTGACATTGGAATGGATGAAGTAGATATTTGCGACAGACGACTACTCTGGATTATTATTCCTGGGTTGTACCCTCTATGATAATTAGAGTAGTTACATTTACAGTAGCACAATACAGTACGGTAGAAGAGCCAATCCGTATTCACCGTCGCAATTGTACCCTCGAATCGATAGGCCATTCACCCCATCCTCCCTCCCATCCTGAGACAAAACCAAAACCACGGGCACCACCAAAAAGATGTCATGGCATGGTCCGACCACCGCAAACACCAAGAAAATGCATACGTACTACTCTGAAGCATTATTCTCTACAATCGTGTACCTTGGCTATTGCTTTTGCCCTCCCCCGTCTTATCCAAGAAAAAATATCTCCTCATGGCTGTCGGGCTGTGCTGTAACTATGGAATCTATCTTTAGAGCACCCACCTCCACCACAGGTCAAAAATAAAGTGCCGTTTAGAAGCAACTTAGGTACTTTAGATGCCCACCTACTCTAGATACACCTTAAACTGTACTCTAGATAGACTCTCCCCAGGTCTCTCCTGTCAATCAATCGGTTAGGTATTGAACTTGGAACACCTCTCCGTCCCAATTGCAAGGAAGGGGAACTTCCCACTAGCGCAGGGCAGATCCCCGCTTGCTCCACGCATCCGAACTCTAGCTTGACCTTGGAACCTTCAGATCAACAAACAGATCAACACTTCAACTGTAATGAGAAGTAAAGACCGACCGAGGGACCGCCGGCCATTGCCAGCTCGCTCTCTTGCTGCCAGCTCACCTCCGCCCCTATCTTTGAGAAGTTCGGCGTTTGTTGTGTTGTGTTTAATGAAAAAACGAGTGCCTCTAGTATCTACTACGCCGCTTGACAACTTTGCCAGATGGGTGATTTTGGGCGGCACGTATTTGCTACGCCGTCTACAGGTACAGCTAGTGCCAAATATGGAGCCTTCAATAGAGAACCTCTGGGTACTCTATTGTGAGCACCAAGTAGAACGTAGTGCCTCCAAGAGATAATTATGATACATGTACCTATTGTAGCATTCACTCCTTTGTGCACTGCCACCCTTCGAATTCGAATGTTACTCTCCACCCCTGTGCGTGGAAGTATGCAAGCACTAAGTAAACTTGGGTGGGTGTGACTAGGCGGTTGGGTGGATTGCATGGGCATGGATCATAGCTTAAAGTCCCCTTCTTATGGCTGCAGGCGAGTGTGCTTGGGACCAACCTCAAAAGCAGACGTCGCTGCCCCTTCTTCTCCCATCCTCACGCTCGCAACTACATACACTCGTCCTTTCACTTAATCGCCCCACACACAATACATAAACCAATTCCAACATGAAGGCTTCAATCTTTGCTTCCATCTTCGTCGCTGCCGGCTTTGCTGCTGCTCAATCTATAAATATCTCCGATGTCCCCACCTGTGCTGTAAGTGGCCTAACCACACCAGAGAGAGAGAGAGTAGCGAGATATGCTAACATTACACCCCTCCCCTACAGCTCTCCTGCGTAATGAGCTCATCCCCCGACGGCTGCGGCGCTGCAGACTACGCCTGTTGGTGTAGGAGCAATACCTGGCTCAGCTCTCTAGCCGACTGCGTTAGGCCCGCCTGCCCCAGCGAAGCCGACCAAGCCAGTATGTCTCCCCCGCCCGCCTCCCACCTTCTGATCCACATCTAACACGCGTAATAGAGCTCGTTGCCCTGGCACAGGGTCTCTGCGGTGCCTATAGCGTCACCATCTCATCGGACATCTTGGCAAGTGCTACCGCGACGCCGTCGGGGAGTAGCGGGAATGCTTCGGCGACTACCACTCGTGCCACTTCCACCTCCACTCCCACGTCGACTGGTAGTGCTGCGTCCCAGAGCTCGAATGCCGCAGGTCACGTTGTGGCCGGGTCAGGATTGATGGCGGCGGCGGCGGGTGTCGCCATGTTTGTTTTATAGGTTAATTGTCAGAATCTTGGGAGATTAATGACCCCTAAGTAATTATTAATTGAGTCTTTTGTTTTGCTGGATTGTGTGTTGTGTATGGTCCGCATTGTTGGTCATAAATTCAGCTTGTTCAGTGGTGGGATGAGCGAATTGACGCGGTAGCAGGTCTAGTGATGAATTAAAAGATATTCCTGTGCTACATGTGTAGATTTTCATGGTCATGATAGCAGTGATTTAAACTTGGATCTTATGAGGAGTTAATTTCCCATGGTGCAACTGGTATTCATTCGATGTGTTTGTATACTTGCTCTATGTTCCCACTAGTGGTAGAACCACCACCTAAAAGCAGAGCCTTCTACCAACAGTACGAATAGTACGCCTGCAGGCTCAAAGAACCGAGACTTTTCGGCGTCAATCTGCTGATGCCGTGGTAAGACAAAAGTGACTGTACTGTACCCGTGATTCATTTCATTTACATTATTGCCGTCAAGTTCAGCGCGAGAGGGGTGGGGCGTGTATGATTGATTGGTGCCGGTTATCCTACAAAAGGGGTAGGGTCATGCAGTTTCCCTAGGTGTTTGGGCTTTGTGCGTTTGTGGTAGATGTGATGGGGTTTGCTGCATGCAGGTACCGATAGCGATTGTAGATAAGATAAGTTGGTTGAGAGGTGGGAGGAAGCGAGTGATACGTCATGCAACAGAGTTCGAGAACTGTTCATGATTGTTGGAGCCGAGTAAATCAATAGAGAGGAGCTGGTGTTATCAAGAATGAAAAGTGGAAATACAGATGTTGAGATCCCATCTTTGAGGGCCTCGTAACTACAGCTACATGTACCGGGTGTTGAGGGTAAGTGATCAGAATCTAATAAGTGAATGCTGTGGTGAATACGTGTATTTGTCTTATCAGATTCTGATCATTTTTCGCTACACCCTAGTATATACATCCTTATGGCCTTGCAGCCTTGCCGCGTAAGACCTGCACAGAATGGTGATTGTATTGGAGAGAGGCAGGATCAAGGGCTTATATACGGGTTTAGGACATTTTTGATAGCCCTCGGCTTTAAAGACACGTAAACCGTAGTGCCTACATGCTGATTCGTACGGCTCATGATATCAACATTCTACAGTAGCCCAGGATAAATTAATAAACACTGCAGTATGGCTTGAGCCGTGAATTTCTTATTTGACCGCGTAACTGAACCGCCAAGCCTTTCTACTCACTCATCCAGGATACCGTGGATTGATATCAACTGTAAGGCCAATGACAGGGAAAACTCGAGATATAGCAATATTCTGCGATGTAGACATAAACCTGACCCTTCCAGGTTTCCATAATATCGAATCAGGTGGCTGCAGTAATCAAATATAGGGTTGGAGTGTATCTACGGTCGAGAAGGAATGCGGGTGAGTCATGGTTATCACTCGTATACTCTGCACCATTAAAAGATAAGTGAAAGGAGCAGGGTTCGAACGAACGTCACCTTCGCTGATGGTTTCCAAAGATTATGTAGAGACCGCTAGTGCTCGTACGCATGGTTATCTCTGGTAAAAGGCAAGAGATAAGTACTGATACGCCGAAGCCGGTCCACCCCAGCCTTGCACAAGTTGTTACTATCGATTCGCTGTCTAGGGGCGGTTAGTTCTATGTATAAGGCTATTCGGATTCTAACACTCCTAAATGGTGGATTACTAAGCTCTTGAAATATTATTTTCCGACGCCGTGGCTTAGAGGGTAGAACTTCTGGTTTGACACCGCGTGTTTGATCCACGGGGTTTACCACCGAGAGGTTGCTCCGACTGATGCTTTTCTTCTTATTTCGCCCATAATCTGCATTGAATTTGTTCTCCCCACTGTCATTTAATCATCGACTTTTCGTCCCCTATGATTTTTTTAACCAGCCATAACTCCATTCATGAGCCACAATGTTCGAACGACTATTAATATCGAGGGCAGTTTCGAAGCTTTCATTCCTCTTATATATATAGTACCAGGACAGAAGTTTTGGTAATATACCTTTTTACAGCCAAAGTAGCCATGTTTGGCTACCCGAAACAACCACCCAACCTCATCAAAAAAATTCCAACTCTTCAAGGGCAGTTGGAAATTATCTCATGACGGAGTTCAGAGAATTCTAGAATTTTGAGTCCATTCTTCAGGCATGTGCAATCTAATTTTTAAAGTCATGATTTGAGTGTTTCTGATTTTGTATGGTGTTCCCATACAAATTTTGTGTTGCAACGACAACCAAAACTTCTGTACCCCGACTGTATATAAGCCATGTGACTACGCATGATAAGATCAAAATAGTTGGGTCAGGCCTATATAAGAAGCTTCAAAGTTCAAAAGCTTCGTAGTGAATATATGCTATCCTAGTTAGAAGGCGAACTACCCTGTGTTTGTGGTCGGATAGGTCGTAAGCTTAGGTCGAAAGATATCATGAATAAAGATGAATTGAATTAAAGATAGCTGACCTCGTACCTACATGTAGTCTTGTATTCCGTGGTTGTTTCCCGTCCTAAGCATCCTAGCTTCGGTAGTGTAGTAATAGTATTGCCTCCCTTGAATAATCCTGCTCCGGCTGTGAGTAGTCGGGGTATCGAAGGTTTGATTTAATTTCTTCCTGGAGCATATTTTCGAGTGACCACTGATGATTAATGCCAAGCATACACTAAGCCATCCCACCTTGAGCCTCACTCCACACCAGCAACATCACCTCCGTTCAACCACCCCCCTCATCAACCCAATACCTCCCTCTATCTACAACCACCCGATAAAATGACCGAGAACGGCCCTTCCGACGCAGCTACCTCTGATCCCTCCGGCTTTCTCCAGGAGATTATTGGTGCGCCCATCACCGTGAAGCTGAACTCGGGAGTCGAGTATCGAGGTTGGCATTACACTAGGTTACATGGCGAGAGTCGCAAGCAGGCAAGCTGACAAAGGTTATAGGCGAGCTTTCGTCCGTAGACGGTTACATGAACATCGCGCTTGAGAAGACCGTCGAGTACGTCAATGGGGAGGTCAGAAATAAGTATGGGGATGTCTTTATTCGGGGGAACAACGGTTTGTCTCTCCTTCTCCCCAGCGTGGCTTTGTGTGGTAATTATAAGAGGAATGCTAATTGAGGTGTGGATTAGTGCTATATATCTCCCAGGACGCGGTATAGGTGGAGTGCGTAGTATGGACGGGCGCCGCTTTTCTCTTTCTCTCTCTCTCTCTTTTTTTTTTTTAGCAATTGAGCTCTTTTATCCTCCGAAGAACGGTATCTCGTTTGGCCATGTTTACGAGAATTGCCTTGTGTGGAAGATCGGCTGGAGATCCTTTTAATCGGTAAACTAGCCGATCCAACATCTCTGCCCGGATTCAGGGCTACTTCCGGTACCTCACAGTTTAATTAATCTGAGTAACCATATGGTTATTATCATGGAACTGTTGCTACATTTCACGGGCCGCTGCTACATCTTTAGGCCTGCCTTATTATTTTTGGGTTAGGCTAGGGTCAAATAAACCCACCCACCTCTCATGAAGCTCCGAGGCCCAATTTTATTGCCATTCAAGCAAGCAGACTATGACCAGGTTCTCACCCGAACATAATGTTGTGTAAATGCAAGCAAAGTATACATGTAGAGCGGTGGGGAGGAGGGCGGGAAACAAGGGCGGCGGATGATGAGACGAAGGGGATGACGAGGCTCGAAAACGTATTGAGACCTGGACTAAACGTGGGCAACAAGTCATTAGAAAGAGCTGCCAAATCTCGCGATCTCCTTCAACACTCTACAATCCCTAATCCGAAGAAAGATGTTAGACCTTTGCCGAATAAGAGTAAGACCTAAGCTGCTTTTGCGCGACTACTGTGATATCACTGCCACTTATATTTCAAAAAAGAGCAATGTTCGGTAGTAAGTAACGGGTTTTGCTTGCGCTATGCTAGAGTAGTCTTGCTGGTCCTTACTATAGCGAAAGTTGACTTATATCATGAACCAGGAGCTATCATAGGTGCCTAGATTTTGGAACTGATTCACGTTGATACTCCGCGCATAAATGGAGGTTAAAGGTCAACAATGGTTGGAACGCCCATAGGAGATGGCGGGTGCTGTTTCGAAAGATAAGTGAAGGTGGGGGTAATAAAAAGATAGGGCGGTGCCGCCTAGTTATAGTCACTATTTCGACACTGTAACAAAGGTTTAAAATTACTCTAACAAACTAACTTGGGAGCTGTGATTTTCTTGCTTCACCTTTCCGTTCCCTAAATGATAGATGGAGAGGTGGCTCTCTCTCATCCATGTTCATATGTACTTTCTTTACTTGAGGTTGTGTAGTAAAATCTACCAATAGAAACGTTTCCTGATCACGATGAGCAAGACTGTATCGCATACATACTTGTATAGATAAGTGTTCTTATCTCGGCATTTATATGTATGTATCCTCACACTTCAACTATCTAGTCCACTAACTCCATGATACAAGAAATTTCCCCAAAAGATCAAGCAAAGAACCTACCCGCTATTGATACTGAATATACCCCAGAAAGGAAAATGTTTACTCTTCAGATGGCTTCACCAGAACCTCTGCATCCTCATCTAAGATGCCCCGGCGGGTTCGTTGAATCATAATCCAAATGTACACTGCTACAGTCAGCACTCCCTACGCATCAATTTAAGCAAACAAAGGGGAACTCACAAAGCTCTATCAACAACACCCAGGCTCTCAATCACATACTGTAAACTCTCTCCTAAATCATGACTATCCTTCAATCCTAACCCCTCATCAAGGACTATATCCACCTCTACGTTCAACAAATCCCCGTTCCTATATGCATTAACACTCGTGATCGCCTTGATGCTCTTTGCGAACCTCATGGCCATATACAGCAGTACATTCCTCTCATCTCCGGACGCTGCAGCACCCGTCAGATTTTCTACATGCTCCAGACCGATCCCCGCCCAGGAGATAATGACATATGCCGACAGCAGGGCACCACCGAGGGCGTCGAGCCACCACAGCTCCAGCCATGTCCCAAGCAGAGGGAACAGGATAGAGAAGAAATTGAAAACGACATCGGTGACGGCGTCGGCTGCGAGGGCTTGCACGGAGGAATTGCGCACGGAGCGGCACCAGAGGAAGCAGAGAGTTTTGATCACGATAGTGCTAAGCATGATTGTGATGGCGCTGGGGGTGAGGCGAACGATAGCGTGGGTGGCCGGAGTGATGAGGTGCTGGAGGGAGGTTAGGCCCACTTGAAGGAACGAGACGATCATGATGATGGAAAAGACGAGAACGCCGATGGGTTCGAGGCGGGAACGGCCTACGGGGTAGAGATACTTGTCTCGGCGTTCAATAAGACTGTGAAAGGTAAGTTTGGGGTGCGAGTGATGGGTCATGAGGAGATTTACGTAGTGGTAGTCCAAACAATGGCAGTGCTGAGGAAGTCCAGTGCAGCTGCAGGTTAGTTAGCAAGCAGGTTTTCTCCCCTCTATTAACACTGTGAACTGATTGCCCATATATACGCACCATCTACCAAACTAGCAAGCACGGACAACGAATTCGTCATAATAGCTACCAGAATCTTCGATATCAGTAGCAACGTATTTGCCAACAGGTTGAGATAAATTGCGAATTTCCTACCGAATCCTGTCAGCCCATATATCTTTATCTCCAAAGAAGGAGCGCATTCGGAACTTACACAACTTTAGCCATGTTCTCAGCGCTTCCACTTCCCCCGCCGCCTACTTCGTCACCGAGTAAAGGAGATTCTTCATCTGCAATCTTGTAGAGATAGCTTGGCCGTTTCTTCAAGGGTGGTGGTGCATCGGGGGTAGAGTCGTACCCTTGGTGCGGGTTAGTGTCGGAAGAGAATACCGGATATGTTTCAGGGATTGTTTCCGGCTGAAGTGTGTCAGAGGGAATATAAAATTGAGTGAGATAAACTAAACTGACATGCTCCTATTTGTAACAAGAGGCCTGCGGGTCTGTGTGCTATTTTATAGATAGGAACACTAACCGGATTATAGGTCTGCAACAAATCTCGTGGGAGTGTTGAATCCAGTAGACCATCGATGTAGATATATCGATCAATCAATGAATTGGTTCTCTCATAATACTCTCGACTGAGACAGAAACCCCAACATGTAAGCTTCTTCCTCCTCCTCAAATTATAATTATTTAAGAGGATAAATTGTGACTCACATTTTCTTTTTCATCTGCTTCAATTCTAAAGGCGATTTTCTATACCGCTCCCATTGATACCTCGGATTGTTATTCCCAATCAGGCGCATATACCTCATATGAGGATTCTGCAGAGCCGTGATGCTAGGGCGACGGACATGCCCATGATTGATTGGACTATGCGATTCATTACCGAGGATCATGAGTGCTGGGAGAGTGCGATTCCGCTGTGGTAGTAGCGCATCAGGCTGTTGCAATGGGAGGAAACCTCCAGTTGTGGGTAGCGAACTCATGAGTATGTTTGTAGATGTATGTTTAGGGGACGTAAGTGTGGAAGTGGTTGGTCTTCAGGTATTTATAGGGAGGTGTTGACGATATGCTTGATCAGTTTAATTACTCCCCAGCTCGCTGGCCGGGAAGAAGGGGAGTGCAGGGGATGCAGTAACAAGCTTGTGCGGAAAGCTTGTAGGGGTCGGATATCTCCAGGGCCTGACGTCGACGTCATAAAGGTCCCCGGTTCTATTCTTAAGGAGAGACCGTCGTTATTTCGAATCCCTTTGTGATATAACTAGCGCTGTCAACGGGGGGCATCAGAGGGATTTTGCAAAACATTTATCTAACCAACTCCTGTAGCCATTCCTAGATCTAAGGAATGCGGGTTCCTGTCCGCGCCGTTGGTTGCCGGACCCGTGTTCTTGGCGCTGGATGAGAACCCTGTCGGAGATCGTTACTGGCAGTAACCGCGACAGTGTGAAACGGATTAGAATTGTTGTGTACCAACTACATGTACCAACTAGCGCTCTACTCTACTCTGCTCTAGAGCAGAGTAACTCTGTATACCTCTATATACTCTGCATGTAAGTTACAGGAGTTGGATACACCTACGTGCCCGACACGAACTAATGCAGGATCACTTGTTACACACAGCTCCAGCAATATCATGACCGGAACCAGCGCGCATCCGTTGTTGGGTGCAGTCCACGAGTTACGGTATTCCGTCTTGGAAAACAGGATTGAAGGCATTACTCCTTGTTCACTCATCAGAAAGAAAAAAAAGGGGGGTTATGCCCACAGCTCCACACTTACTCACCACCATAAAACTCGAGTTCAAAGAGAACAAAGTTCAAAATTACGTTAATCGGTTTATATGACCAATGGTCTGCACGGCTATCTTAATTTTCACGAGGAGTTCGATTTTTCTAGGTTTACTCTTGTTTTTCGGCTAGCAATAGATGGATGACTTTACAATTGAGTCCGATATTCCTCGCTGGATCGAATAAAGACGAAAAACAATACCCCCTGGACCATGGACTGTTGCTCTTCGACGGGTGTGAAGAAACTAGGATAGAGTCCCCAGGCTACAGCCTAAGGAGTCTCAAGAAATCATAGATCATAACCCACAACATCTGGGTACAAGGGAATAATTCAGCGGATACTTCATGCACCATAAGAACAAGGGAAAACGAGATAGAAGAAAGGGGGGACTAGTGTCTCGAAATCAACCTATTCACCTAAATAGAGCTAAACTCACACGGAAACACATAATCCACCACAAAACAATTCTCGCCCTGCTAGAAAGGGCAACTGGCTATCCATAAACACATCAGGTTCGAAAGATAAGGGCTGCCGCGCCAAATTTGCCTTACGAGTGATATTTCACGATTTATACTCGCAATAACTTATTTGTTTGGCTAAGTGGTTATAAACAAAAGAGATTGGTCAATTTAACATACTGACCAGGTTTAATGGGATAAAGGGTTTTTGGGCTACGAATACGGAGTAGAGATTCGTCCTAGTGTAGGGGTAGCAGTAGTTTTTGCGCTGTAGGGATGTACAGTGGTGGTGGGCTGAGAGCTGTTCCATCTCCACTAGCTATAAAAGTAGCTCAACCAGTCCATGGTCATCAGTCGGTAGCTTTGAGATGCCGCAATACATGGTATAATTTCAGGTAGGCCTGGTTCTCCGATAATGGCTTCAGGTCTCAAGCCCTATCTAGCTCTGAGTGGCCTGTTGTAAAACACGCCAGCTATCTTGAAAATTGTCGTCAAAGTACCAAACATGGGATCTCACTCGCTTGAATTTTGAAATACAATTCAACCATCAACTCCAAGATGAATCCCACGACATATTGGGTCCATATCCAAGCCGTATAAAGCCCAGAGGTTCCCGGCATATATTTCACTCCATTATCAGTAAGAGTTCCAATCTGCATTCACATATCAATTTATTAACATCAATAACATCAAAGCATCACTGCAGTAGCATCAATAACATCGATAACATCGATAACAACAACATCACCAAATCTACAAAAAAAAGCACAATGTCCACGCAACCCACCTCCCTAAAAGACCTCTCCCCCGAACTCCTCATCCAAATCTCCCAAAACCTCGCCTCCTTCACCTCTCTCTCCAACCTCCTCTCCGCCCTCCCCAACACCAACACCGCACACCTCCGCAAGACCGTCATGCGCTACCAATTCGACATCTGCGAGGCCATCGCCGCGACCGAACTCACGCCCTCTCTCACACCTCACTTCCACGCCCTCCTCAAAGCCCAGGGCGACATGCAGCGCCTAATATCCAAAAGCCCACCCGCGAGCCTTACTCCGGCCGCCATGCGGACCACTGGTATCCTCTCCGGCGGCAGCAGAGTCGGCATCGACGAGGCCATCCAACTCGAGAGCTACCTCCACCAGCTGCGCATCTGGAAACCCGTGTTTCTGGAAGAGACACGGCGCATGCCGCGGGGCTGCGGGAACATGTTCCCGGACCTGCTGGGGCGGTGGAACACACTAGTGTTTCCCGAAGACGACACCGACTCGGAGGACTCCGGGTCCGACTCTGACGGCATATTCGTGCTCGTGGATCTCTCGCTGGAGTGGCAGGGGGCGCTGTCGCTGTCAGGGCTGTCGCAGAAGCGGCATGTAAGGATCGAAAGGGCGTGGCTGAACTACTGGACTATGCTGTTCTCGCGGGTTGGTGATGAGCGGGCGCACGCGGCGGCGGTGGCGGGGAGCACGGAGGGGGAGTATGCTGTGTGGACGCGCGAGTATGTCAAGGGTGTTGAGGAGTGTCCGGAGGGTGTGTGCTATTTGGCGCCGATGTGGGAGTGGCTGAGGTTTGTGCCGCGGCTGTGTGAGCCCGTGCCGGCGGCGGGGGAGGAGATGTGGGATGTGGTGATGGTGGGCGGGTTTGAGTATGTGTGTGGGGAGGAGGTGATGGGGGAGGAGGTGGTGCCGGTGCCGGTGGTGGGCGGGGCGCATATGCCGCCGGGGGTGTGGGGTTCGGGAAGCGTTGGGGAGGGGATTGTGTGCAGTTTGGGGAGGTTGAGGGGGCTGTGGGTGTTGGATGTGCATAGGAGCTTGTGGAGGGGGCATTAGGTGTGGTGATGGGATTGGCGGGAGGCGTTGGAGTGTACGTGTTTGGACTTGGTTTGAGAGACTTTTTGTGTTTTTGGATGGTCAGGTTAGATTAATTGCGTGTTTTGTGTCTTTTGCTGAATGTTGCTTCTAGAGTTAATTAGAGTGCGTGCTTTGTGCTTTAATTTGCGAACAATTGAAATTTATCGCACTTCACGAACTGATCTCCAAAAGAAAATGCGCCCTTTTGCGTGGGTGGTCAAACTAGCAGGAGAAGATAAAGGTAAGCTACAAGAGAGCCCGTCTATGTGTCTTTATATCTACGGCCGAACAGCACAAGAGACCCCGTTCTTGTAGTGACATCAATCCAAAGACAAAGCCCACCAGAAACCTAGGCTTGGCGCGAGTGATAGCCCATGATGCATGTGCGAGCCACATCGCAGGTTATTCGAATAGGTGTTTTAAGACGTTGCAGCGGTTGCGTGACTGGACTCGGTTAAGCATATGCTGCGGCACCCACTTGATATATCCATCATCACTCTCATATCCTGCATCCGAGCAACACCTCCGATAAAGAGATCGATATCTCGAACTCCAATAGCTAGCCTGAAAAGCTTTCTCCATCATCAACGCACTTCAACCACCACTTTCTCCCCACCCCGTTACGGCCACGAGAATTAACGCTTTCCATCTCCCCTTTGAGGTTTAACTGCTGCTGGGAATATGAATATGAGAAGGCGGGAACGCTGTTTCTCCCGGGATAATATTCTACTACTCTAGATCGGGCATGGTGAGAGCCGGGCAGAATGTTCGAGCCCGGCCGGCGCCCTTGGCCTGTGGGGTGTATTGGGTATGGGTATGACTGGACTGCCGCAGCAATGATATTAGAATAACTGGCCGGAGCATCAAAACACATTGATTGTGGAGGTCGGCCTAGCCGGTCTTCCGTTGATATATATTCTACCTGCACCACTGTCAGCCATAAGGACTGGTACAAGAGGTTGTGAATTGTCAAGAAGGCTGCTCGGTTGACTTCCTGAGAGAAGGCTCGCGGTGTGTATGGCATCACCAAGTGCACATGCTATGAGCTGAATAATGCAGTGTGTATTTCCACCGCCGCCGGCCATAGTGCTATGTGGCGTTTATCACTAATAAACTAGCTAGCTACATACCTTCTGGAGCTTGGGGTCAGGGTCAACCCTGGCGATCTTTTATAGTGTAAAGGATAGAACCACGGTAATGAGCTGTAGTTAATTGCAGCATCTTTGCGCACCTTACACTAACTATAGTACCTCCATACGTAGAGCCTATATATCTACAATCCATGCCCTCACCAACTGACCAAAGGATGACAGAACTTCAAGCACCAAAACGAGCCGACTACAAGAAAAATTAGGACCTCACACGCACATACACACATATTATTGGCAAAAGGGATGGATATAGTCGTTTGTACCGAACGTCTGCGCATATACTCATGACATCGGAAATACCAAGGAAAAGCTATATCAAAAAAAAGCAGCAGAAAAAAGGAAGAACGAAGAAGAAGGGGAAAAAAAAAGAGAAACGCCAGAATGGAATTGAAAACAAAACAAAAAAAACCCTCCCAGATCACCAAGTAATCGGCCGAGTCCTCATCGAGTCCACTCCCGCCTCAAAAAAGCGACGAAAAAGAAGAAACCGGGAACCAACCTTCTCTCGGCACGCAAGCAAGCAGGGACTCCACAGAGCGAGAGATCGAAAAGAATAGAGATCACCTCTTAACCGACCGCGTGCGCCAACACCCTCGACGCAAGATCCGATAACAACTATACACCGCGACCCCGACCTCACACGTCAGCCCACCCCAAAACCCCATCCCAAAAAAGACCAGGGTAATCCCCACCTTTGCACGGTCGCTCTGCGGCAGCTCCTGGAACACCTCATACACGCTCTTCCCCTTCGCATCCCTCACAGCCCCCAAGCGGTTCCCCGCCACCGCCCCCGCCAGCAGCCCCGGTACATTTCCCACGATGAAGCCGAGCGCCCCGCCGCTGAGGCCGCCCACAATGCCCCATAGCGATTTTCCCCGTGGGGTAGTGGCAGTGCCGGCGGATTCGTCGCCGGGCGCGAACCCCTCGTCGCGCATCATCTCTTCGAACACATCGCTGAACTGTGCGTCCTCCCAGTGCGCATCTGGGTGCGGCGGCGTGTGGAAGGCGTTGGCGTTGGCGCGCTGGTAGGCGCGCGTGGCGTCGTATTCGCGGCGCCGCCCGGGGTCGCTGAGCGTGTAGTAGGCATCGTTGACTTGTTGGAACTTTTTTGTGCGTGCGGGGCGGCTGGGGTCGGTGTGGGGGACGCGGTCGGGGTGGGATTGGAGTGCCGCGCTGTGGAGGGGGGGGTGGGGTGTTAGTGGGGGTTCATTTCCTCTTGTAGAGGGGAGAGAGGGGAGAACCGTTTGTAGGCTTCGCGGACCTGCTGCTGCGTGGCGGTTTGGGCGATGCTGAGGACCTCGTCTGCGGGGGTTAGCTTATGTAGTAGTTGGGGAGAAAAGGTGCTGGAGGGAGGATGCTCACAGTAGTCGATTGCTGCACCTGTAGTTCACGGGGGCATTGTTAGCAGGGTAATGATCGAGCGGTGGGTTTTTGGGCGGCACTCACCAGGCGACATGATGCTGGGTAATGAGGTGATATAATAATCTGCAGAAGGGGGCAAGCAATGGAATGGAGTGGACAAAGGTAAGTATATCTATGTAGATAGAGTGGGCAGGTAGGTAGAACTTGTAGTCTGTGGCAGTGGTATCCTCTCGGGTATTTAAACAAGCTCCAGTCGCAGCCAGCAGCCAACTCACCGACGCAGGGATGAGGAGTGGAAAGTGGGATGTGGGATGTGGGAGCACTATTTTTTCTCTTTCTTGCAGGCCTAAGGGGCACTCGGGGGGGGAAGCAGCTGCGATGAAACCTGCAAGGTGTGCTGTGCAAGACAAGAAAGAATACTAGCAGGCCTAGGGCAATTGAGTGTCGCTCGGTGGGCCAATGACGTGAGGCTGTGGCGGGTGTGGGGTAAGGGTCTGTGGCGCTCAGCCACCGACGGATGCACGATGGCGGGTGCACGTGATTGGTAGGGTCAGTGATCGAAGGGCCGGTCTTGGTCTCAAGAGGAGCAATTGGGCTACATAGATGGAGATTATTATATGTTCGTATGGATCTCTGAGAATGTTTAATTTGCGTTCTACCAAACCCTCAGCCAGGGACAGCGCTAGAAATATGTCTGAACAGTAAAGACAGTACAGCACGTCAGGAATAAAAATTCATGCCACCCACTATTACCCCCCTCCCCTCCCCCCCCGCAGAACCAGAACAGAGCAGAAAACCCCCCCAGTAACAACCACTACTTCCTCCCCTTCCCCAGCCCAAACAGCGCCTTGAGCTTACTCTCCTTCGCCTCCCTATCCATCGGCCGCTTCTCGGGCGCCTTCCCCTTCCACCCCTCGACCCCCAGTCCCGCTCCCGCTCCCTCGCCCTCCTCCTGCGCCAGCTTCACGTCCGGCAGCGCCCGCGACGCGTCGAGGTACTGGTCGTTGAGCGCGGGCTCGGTGCGCGCGGCTTTGGACGCGCTGCCGTCCCAGGTTAGGTGTACGGTGGCGCCGGAGCGGATGCGCAGGTCGATGGTGAGGCGCTGGCGCGATTCGGGGATGGGGAGGCGGGGGGGGATCACTATGGGCTGTTAGTGGGGTCGGGGAGCAAGGGGATGGGTTTTTTTTTTTTTTTTGGGGGGGGGGGGGGGTACCGAGAGTGAAGGGCTCGAGGGGGTGGCGGAGCGTGGTGCGGATGGTATCGTAGAGGTCTTGGGCTGGTTTGCGGAGACTGGTTAGATAAACGCTATGAAGAAGCGGGGGAGAGAGGGAAGAAGGGGGAGGAAGGCGTACCGGTGTGTTTTGCCTGAAGCGTCTGCTCCGAGATGTACCCGTCCGGAAAGCGGACTTTGATCACCAGCTACACCCATACCCGCCCATGCATGTCAATGATCGATCCACCAGTTACACAAACCAACCAACCAAGGAAGGAAGGAAGCGGAAACATACAGTCTGCACCTTCTCGACCACGGCGAGCGCGGCGGCCTCCTTCTCTTCAATCTCCTTGTCGGAGGGCAGGCGCCGCCCGATGGCCGCCTTCTTGAGGTGGTGCTGGATGATCTTTGCCTCGTTGATGCCGATCTCGTAGGCCGTTTCGGGCACGTTGACTACCCGCCCCATCCATGATTGTCAGCACATATTCCTGCGGGGAATGGGTTTGGGGGGGGGGGGGGCGGAGAACTTACTCTGAGCTGCGGCAAGGGTCTGTGAGTCCGACGGCCGGTACACCGACACCGTCGGCTTCTCCAGCTCCCCCGACGCCGGCGCATTCTCGTCGCCCTGCAGCACACCCTCTGCATCTGCCCCCACAGGCGCCTCTACAACAGCACCCTCCACAACCGCCGCCGCCTCCCCCATCTCCGTATCCCCCCTCGCCGCATCTCTGGACGCCTTCGGTTGCGCCGGCAGCGCAGCCGGCACCTCCTCCGCCCCCGCCCTTGGCGCAACGCTCTCAATCTCCTCCAGCGCCACCTCCAACGGCACCTCCGAGCTCCGCCACCCGACCACGATGGCCACCCGCCCCTCGCGCAGCCCCAGCCCCACCAGGGTCGTCTGCATCTCTGCCACGCCCACAAACTCTCTATTCGCGACACGGACAGCCGGGACTTCGTACAGTAGGCGGCCGGCGCCCAGTGTTGCGCTCGAGGCGTACCGCTCGGTCAGGTTCAGGCCTGCATAGAGCTTCTCGAACGACCGGAGGACGGACCAGAGGGTGGCGGTGGGGGCGCACTGGCCGCTGAGTTCCTGTGGGGGGGTGGATTGCAGGCGGAGGACGATGGTGAGTGGGGTCGTGGGCGGGCGGGTGGGGATGAGGTCTAGCTTGGCGCCTGGGCCGAGGTTGGTGAAGCGGATCTGGAGGGAGAGGTCGAGGGGGGTGGTGCCGCGTCTAGAGAGGGGAGGTTAGTACGCTAGGTGGGATAGTAGTGGGGAGAAGAGGTGGGGGGGGGGGGGACGACGAACTTGAGGGTGTATTTTAGCGGGTCGAGGTTGAATTTCTGGCAGGCCTCGGTGTGCACGTCGCTTAGTGAGCGGGTGGGCGTGACTTTGATCTGATGGCGCCGCTGGTTGTAGAGGACGATGACGTTGGAGGCCATGTCGGGGCGGCGGCTGGGGAGAAGAAGAAGAAGAAGAAGGAGATGATGACGGGTATTAAGTGTATCGTATAATATTTGGGTATCTGGGTATTTGGTATTCTGGGTGCTGATAAGAAGTGTTGTAGTGTATTGGATGGAGATGGAGAGCAGTGCTGAGCCGTGGTGTTGATGTTGAATTTCTAGTGGTGAGTGGTGAGCGGTGAGTGGCTCTCTCTCTCTTGGTAATGCGGATCTTTAGTCTGGGACGAGGGGAGCTTTGACGTGCGGCTCCGTGGAGGGGAATGGAAGCTTCGGTCTTGGCAACGCATCTGACGTAGGCCTCGTCACGCCCCGCTGCTGCTGTGGGTACAAACATTCAATGGGCAGCTTTTGGGGGATATAGAATCCTACAGCTTTCTAGGATAGCTGCTGCGACATCCCCGGGAGACTTCTAATTCGATCCTACAGCATCTACATTCTAGGTATTGTCACAATTACCGCCTAAAACTACTCCCTTCATGCAACATCACTCATTCAACAGAATTATGTATGCCTGTTGGTTTGGTATTAATGGCGTCAATATATCCCTTCCATGTTACCATGTCATGCGCTACCAGCTGGCGCTCTTCAAAGCACATCAAGCCCACACATAGATAGCAAAATGAAGAATCCTTAAAGCGATGTGATTATCTATTGTAGCATACAAACACAGGCGCTCTCTTCCGAAAAGTAGAAAAAAAGGTATCCACATCTAATCCTGTCTACCTGCACCCCCCAAACCAAGCCACATTAGCCCACCAATCCCCGAACCATCAAACATGAAGAAATACGTACCCTTGAGCAGCCTCTTGACGACCTTGTCCTTCGTGATAACATAGACGTGAGCACCCCAACCGGACAGCGCATCACGATCAACAGAGTTCAGCATCGCCTGCGAGATTGTCTCGAACAGATCCTCAGGTTCCTACCACCCCAATCAGCACCTACCTACCCACAACACCCCACAGAAGCCAAGAAAAAACACTCACCATATCCGGCTCCCACAAGCTCTCGCAGGTACCAAACAACTGGTCACTCGCCGTACCGCTGACGATAAAGTCCTTTGCGAAATCGATGCACCTATCCCTCCCAGCACCTCCATCAGCACCCCACTCCACATCCCACGCCAAACAAAAACAAAAAACCAAGAAAAACACATAACCAGAACATACCCAATAGAGTCAAACCCACACACAAACGGCTTCTGCGAGTGCTGGTTGATGCCCGCAATCACCGGGCTGACAAAGTACGGCCCAAAGCGTTTCTCGTACAGCGACGACGAGACCAGGTTCGCCATTGTCTCGGGCTCGATATCACGCTCCTCGCGGAGCCGGTACATGTTGACCTTGTAGCGGAACATCTCGGACCTACACACCACCACCCCCACATACATTAGCTGCAGGTCTAAGGGAGCACAGGAGGAGGACGGGGGACGGGGGAAACATACACGGTAGTGACATCGGTGGCCAGTCCGGTGAGGCCGAGGTAGACGTCGCCGTAGTTGAAGATCTTGGGAAAGTCATTCGAGACCGTGAGGGCCTGCATCCCCAATCTCAGATCGCAAGCGATAGCTACACAGTCCTTCCCGACCCTGCCGCCCGCGATTCCATCAGGTCAGCCATCCATCTATCCATCCATCTATCCGCCGCACATCAAGGGCCACTAGCTAGCTAGCTGCACAAGCAAGCAAAGAAGAGCACCTACATAGCCACGACCGCACCTCCGTTTATCGAGAATGGGTTCGACTAATACGGAAGCTTTCATTAGTTTCCTCCCTCCTCCTGCCGCCCCACTAGCCAGCTTCCGGGGATTTGGGGGGGGGGGGCCATACCATTTTGTAGTGTTTTTCTGGCGAGCTGGGGTGTGTGTGAGTGTCCGGGGCGAGATGGCGGCGATGGAATGAGAGGTGCTGATGGGGGTGGGGGGGGAGCTGTTGGTGATACTGGCGTGTAGCACGTTGGGGGGAATTCGGGGGAGAACGTTGGTTGCCAAGCAAAGCTGGGAGGGCGAGCCTCCCCTCCGATTACCTAAACCCCGCTATTTGTGGCTTGAGCTCCAGGGACCCGGCCTAACCAGACCCGGGCAGGCTGGGGAGCGAGTGATGTGGCATGAATATGGTCTTGATATCTACTACGTAGGTCTGAAGGATCACCCTCCACCGAGCCTATCTTGTCCACCTGTAGGTGGTAATGTTTTGACAAGGTGGTATTTTGGGTTCTCTCGTTTACTCATGAGCATAACTTCTTTGGTTTAATCAAATGTATACCTTTTTTTCCGCAAAACTTTTGACTAGTGCTGCTGATATTACAAACTAACCAAACACCACAACACCTTCCTCCTCAGTAAACACTGCCACCGCGTCCAATGCCTTTTAGATATACAACACCGTCCGCCGCCCATCCAATTTATACACCCCTCGTAAACAAATATGAGGGAATGGCCCTAGCTAAACATCCATATCTAGTGTCTAGAAGAAAGAATGAAATACAAAAAATTTAATAAAGATACATGTAATCATGTCCTCTGCTGCTCGAACATTACTTTATTCGCTCTTGGTCTTGTTGACAGGGGTGGTGAGATATATTCTTCGCTCTGCAAACTTGAGAGCTTCGTCTATGAAACTATATTCGCATCTCAATTAGCAAGCTGGTGATAGCTATGACAAGATTGGGGTAAAGACTTACATTACTGGTAATGAAATATAGATAACTGCCTTCCACTCGTGTCCATTAAGGGGCACGATTGAGAAAAGCGTCTGTAGGATAGGAGTGTACAACAATGCAAAGTGCAATGCCATACTCAACGTGATGGCATACACAAGCTTCATGTTCTTCCACAGAGGTAAGGTAAGTAAACTTTCGCTTGATGACAGGGCGTTCATAGCGTTAAACATCTCAATAACAACCAAGATGCTCAAACTCATAGTGCTCGCTGTCTTCGCCATAGTGTTGCTAAACATCTCGCAGCCAATTTCGGGGTACTGGACACTGCAGCGGTGGAAGTGAGAGAGTTGGTAGAAGGTAATTTGGGGACCCTCGGTGTTGTACATGAACCACCAAGCGTAACCAAACACTGTAGCGGCACCGACATAGACACCAATAACCATGTAGCGGAAGAAAAGCCATCCAGTGACAAGGGCTTCGTCGCGGCCACGGGGGCGGCGGCGCATGATGTCATGGTCAGGAGGATTGAAGGAGAGAGCAGTGGCGGGGAGACCATCAGTGACCAAGTTGACCCAAAGAAGCTGAACGGGGATAAGAGCCTCGGGCATGCCCGCTGCCGCAGTCAAGAAGATTGATACGACCTCACCGATGTTGGACGAAATCAGGTAACGGATGAACTGTTGGGTGTTGTTGTAGATAGACCTTCCCTCCTCGATAGCAAGCTCAATAGTAGCGAAGTTGTCATCGGCGAGGACCATATCAGCAGCCAACTTGGCAACATCAGTTCCACTTCCCATAGCGACACCAATATCCGCACGCTTCAAAGCCGGAGCATCATTTACACCATCACCAGTCATAGCAACAACCTCGCCAGCGTTCTGAAGAAGATCGACTAACTTTGACTTGTGAGTGGGTTCAGTACGAGAAAACAAGCTAGCTCTTTTCGCGACCTCAAGTTGTTCCGCATCGCTAAGTGCGTCGAATTCACGTCCAGTGTAGCTCTTGCCGGTGAGGTTTTCGTGCTCTCCAAAAATTCCAATTTGACGACAGATGGTTTCCGCAGTTTGCTTGTTGTCTCCGGTGATAACGACAACACGGATACCAGCATCACGACATTTCTTGATTGATGCAGCGACTTCCGGGCGAGGGGGATCCAACATTCCAACGAGTCCGATGAAAGTCATGTTTTGTTCGAGTTGAGCGTACTCCCTGGTGGTTTTGGCCGAGCGTGTCAATGGGTTCCCGGAGATGTCGTCGATAGTGGCAAAGGCCATAACACGGAGACCCATGTAAGCGTATTCGGTGAGTTTTGTGTTGAGAAGTTCACGAGTCTTGTGGCTAAGGGGAACCCTAGTGCCACTTGATCCAACGAATGTGTGGGTGCATCTTTCCATGACAGATTCCGGGGCTCCCTTAACCAACAGGCGCTGACCGTTGCGATCACCAGACAAGACAGACATGCTCTTCCTGTCACGGGAGAACTCGTATGTGGCAAGCTTGGGGCATTGAGATTCGTAGTACCTGTTGGCTTCATCCAGACGTTGACCGAGGGGTTTGCGCGAGTTTTGGAGGTTGAGAATCGGGTCGGGGGTACCAATCTTTTCAACCAAGACTCTGAGAGCTCCTTCCGTGGGTTCACCAACGTTCGAGAATGTCTGTGTCTTGGAATCATAGGAAATTTCTGACTCGTTGCACATTGCTGCGACCTCCGCGAGCTTGCGAATTGTAACTGAGTGGGCGGCGACCGATTCCAAAACCTGTCCCTGGGCATTCTTGATGGCACCAACAGGTGAGAAGCTAGTACCTTCAATAATAAGATCTTCGAGCTCAGTCTGGGATTCCGAGATGACAACGGCCCTGGATACGCTCATTTGGTTGGTGGTCAAGGTTCCGGTCTTATCGGAACAGATAACACTGCAGCTTCCCAAAGTTTCAACTGAAGGCAAGCTTCTGACAACTGCATTCTTGGCAGCCATTTTACGGGTTCCTAGAGCAAGACAGGTGGTGATAACGACAGCAAGACCTTCCGGAATAGCAGCAACACCGAGAGAAACAGCGATCTTAAGGTAGTAGATTGCTCCCTTCAACCATCCGCCATGAGCTTCATCATTAAAGTTTCCGATGTTGATGAGCCAGACAACGATGCAGATAATCATGATAACCTTCGCCAAAACATCTCCAAAGTCGTTCAACTTTTGTTTCAGTGGTGTCGGTTCCGAGATCTGAGATGTGATGCTGGTATGGATATCTCCGATAGCAGTCGCATTTCCAGTCAAGACTACAATAGCTCTAGCGTGTCCAACGGTAACAGTGGTTCCCGAGAAAAGCATGTTTACTTGATCCTGCTTGACAGCCTTCTCATCATTTACCTCGCGCACGTCCTTGCTGACACTTTCACTTTCACCCGTAAGAATGGCCTGGTCAATGCGGAAACTGTTACTTTGGATAGATAGAACTCTGCAATCTGCGGGAATGCGGTCTCCAACAGCGATATCGACAATGTCACCGGGGACTAGTTCTTCGGCGCGGATCTTGCTGACATGCCCGTTCCGGACGACCTTGGCTTCGTTGGCAGAATATTCGTTCAGTGCGGCGATTGCCTTTTCAGCGCTACTTTCTTGGGAGACACCGACAACAGCATTCAGGACAAGGATCGTGAGAATCTAAAAGAAGGCCCGATTAGCACACTTTTACCCCCTTGAAGCCGAAAGGGGCCAGAATGCTACTTACCACCGCAGGGTCCACAAACGCAGTTAATCCCTCGCCATCCTCCATGATAGCTAGAACAAATGAAACACCGGCGGATACCAGTAATATTATCACTAACTGATCCTTAAACTGCTCCAATATGAGCTTCCATATGGGCGTTGGGGGCTCCTCGGGAAGAGCTGTTGTGACGAGAACGTTAGTAAATTCGTAAGAAACGGTAGATAGAGTTTTGTCCCACCATTTCTCCCATATCGCGACCTTGCAGCTCTAACTTGTCCATCGCTCAGACCAGTGCGCTGGTCAACGTTGAAGAAGCGCAGAATCTCATCGCCTGGTTTGGCGTATGCGCGCTCCATGGCTCGCTAGTACTGCGTGAGATACTTCGATCCTATGATGATATGACGTTCTTTGTATCGATGGATATACGAATACAGGTTTCGCGGTCGAAGAGCCGGGATTGATTGGTGGGTGGCACGAAAGGAGACTACAAAGAAAGTGCAGAAGCCTCAACTGAACGAGGGAAGAGAACAGAATCAAATCAAAGGATGAGACAGATAGAAATCTGCTCAATAACTACTACAGAGGGAGAATGAATGAAAGAAAGTAGAAATGAGGATATTGAGAAAGGAATCGAAGAGAGGTAGTTGAAAGGTGGTCTTTTCGCCCTTTTTCTGTGCCTGGGGGCGAGAATGTTCTCAAGCTTCGGTCAGCAATAAAAATTCTTGGCTCGCGGCTCAACTGGCCCCGTGCCAAGACATTATTATTATCCCGTTTGGGCCTTTAACTGAACTGCACAGGCCAGCAGCTTGACACGGAGACGGTAACAGCTTCAGACAAGCTTCACCACCACAGTATTCATCATCCTAGATAGCTGTGCAGCATCCCAGACACTGGCCGAGGGATCATAGCGATATATATAGCCTCTAAGCTGATGATTACTGGAGTCCGATCCCTCGAAACTTTGAGTGACTGGATCGCTTGGCAGGAAAGACATCGCCTGAGTGAGACTATGAAGCGGAAGCTGTCGATCATGCAGGACCGTCAACAAAACATATGCACGGCACTTTTTCCACCTCATCTCGAGCTTCTTCTGACTTCAGCTTCTGAAATTGACAATGTTGGCTGGTGAAGTGCAAAACGCCGCCCCCCCCCCCCCCCCCCCGAGAGAGAGAACCGGATATCGGCGGGACGCCAAGAAGCCACGGTTGAACCTCAAGGAGAATTTAATCTCCACAAGGGGCTAGCAAGTCAAGTGGGCGCAGCAAGCAATTTGTTTAAGCGGGGTGGCCGGAAAGGGCGTTTTTCGATAAGATACGCATATCGATAAGTCTAAAGAGCCCCTGGGCTTGAACCTCAGGGGTTCTTCTTCAACTATGAAGCGCACGTGTTGGAACTCTACAGTTCAGTTGGAGGGACCTCATAGAGCGAGTTAGCAGTCCTTGCTTGAGGAGAAATCTTCCTCCGCGATTAAGCGCCTAAACGCGCGAGTACTCTAGAGGTTCATTCTGACCTAGTGCTTTGCACTGAATCTAAAGATAGTTTCTCCAAGTAACTGGATCTCATGATTTCGGCCGCCGGCTAGTGATTAATCAAAGAGAGGCGGTTGAAAAGGTTCTTTCGGAGGATTAGGGGGCGAGGAACTTCTTCAATTGACGATCGTCGTGTTAATTAATTAGGCTGTGCTTTGGTTGCACGGGTGCTCAGGTTGGCGATGATTGTCCGGTCGTGAACTGCAATTTTGGTTTTCGCCGTGTATAAGGACTCAAGTTGATAAAATGAAGATGGTTAGTTGTGGTGAACGGGGCTGAGTTCGAGGAAATAGGAGAATATAATGGAGTGGTTTTGATAAGTCATCTGCGAAGACGGGGCAGGCCTAAGCACAGAAAAATCTATTTTTTGTGTGGTATATTCCGCTGGATATGATGCGCCGCCTAGTCTTGAAGTCGATCGTGACGAAACCGCCAAGTCCTCGATACGTAATTTTACAACCGCAATAGATATTAAAGATCTGTGAGAACAAATTCTTTTCTGTCATGATCACCTTTAAGATTCGGTCCACCAAACTTCACCCTCAAAATATGGCGTAATTTATCTTTCGCAATTAGCAGCGGCGAGTTGGCTCGACGTTACTCAGTACAACGTCTCCTCGAGAATCCCTTCTCAGCCTTGAATCAACAAAAATCAATAGATACATGTATTCACAAGTGCTAGATCTAAACTGCTTTGCATGCACCAGGCAACGAGAGTATGCAGTCGAGTCTTGTTATAAGGATATATATTGTTTATAAGAATACCGACCTATAAGTATACCATGGACCAGTCTCAATGGTTTTGGTTGGTAAATAAGGATTCATGTATTTAGCTATTAGAATATCAAGAAAGGTTTATTCGGACATCCTTTTAGAAAATTTATCAGGTTAAGTGTTTATAAAATAGTTTACCCGCTATGAAAGCTTCTTCGCGAAGAACTCCAACCTTTCGTCCTCCAAAACGCAGTAAAGTGTAACCCGCTCTCCTCCCTACCCGCTCTGTCTTGGGGCCGCCTATTTCTTGCCGAGATGGCCACTCTTTCCTAAGGTAAAGTGGTGTTTTCAGAGCTCCACTCGAACTATGGTCACCTACTGGCCCGTTTTCGGTAATGGATGCCCCTATTCCTTACCAGCTGGTGTTAAAACTACCATCGAGGTGTAAATCACTGGAAATAGATCCACTACGTAGACAAAGCGGTGCACTAAGAGTAATCTCATGGTCAAAAATACCCAAAAACCCCAAAACTAATTCGGCAGCAAAAACTCGAGCGAATTAGCACACGATGGTGGTGTGTACTAACCCGCCCGCCCTGGGATTCGAACCCAGACCGTCTCCTGCCACAGCAACTTAGAGTTAGGATACTCCAGTTTAAGCCATATACTAGCATGTCGTTAGCTGCTAGATTTACTGTTTTAACACCTTAGGGATGTGTGCAAGATGAGGCATATCATGTGACAAGGGAGTACGTGTATGTACTGAAGACCCTCATCTGGGTGTAGGAGTGGCCGTGGTCAACCACCACCACCATCACGACCACCACCACCACCATCACCATCACCACCATCACCACCACCATCACCACCACCATCACCACCACCACGACCACCACCATCACGACCACCACCATCACCATCACCATCACCACCGTGTTATTGAGTGTCCTTGTATACACAGTAAGTCTAGCAAATCTAGTAAATCTCTACTGCTCTAGAACCGCCCCGAGAATCCATTCGAAACCGACACACACCATCTTTGCGGTCGATTCCCCTTACTCACATCCACAATTTCCGCGACCACCTCCACTTCAGATTTCTCAACTGCCACCATTCATTAGATTTGAAATGGACTGTCATGAAAAATTATCCGCTCAAAGAGAATTCTCTGTACCACTCTCAAGTTTACTTAGGACCGGTCCGTTTCTTGGCGAGCGAGTGATGCCCTGTGATTTACCGCCGATGATGCCCACAATCAGCTATTCATTACTCAGAACCCGAGCAAAGGACCAAGTACAAGTTCTTTTGCTCGTGAGAGTAAGTGCCCAAGCTTGCAATTTGTTCAAGAAACAAAAGTGCAGAGTAATATACCCAGCAGAAGGATCTCAGGCGCGTCAGAACACCGCGGGATCATAGCAAGGATATCCGTATCTAGAGTAATTAAGGGATAGTTATTGGAGGAAGAAGAAAACGCAAAAGTCTCTAACCTTCACTCTGATGTTGACAGCGGTTGTGTTGATGTATATGGCTTTGGATGATTGAGCTAGCTTGGCAATCAATGTCCGTGATCCCGCCTGCACCATGTTCTTGTCAGCCACGCGTAATAAGACGTCTATGCAACGGGTTTTGATCTCTAATTGACAAGCCCAGTGTCACCAAGTTTTGGGGTACAGTTGTTCTTGGCAATATTTGCTACAGTGTTTTGTTCATACTGAGTTACGTGTTCTTGTCACGTCAGCTATATATGTGTGTTATTTTGTTTACACCGTAAATAGAGAACTCTCCCCTCTTCACATTCGATAGATCAATAAAGACCGGTCATCGTCTTTCTTCCTTCCTCTCTACGCCTGAAGCAAAACAAACAAACAATATAGTAGCTACCTGGGCTTGGTATACACGTTAAAGATGTCCGGTTAGGCATGAAAAGCTGTGGACACTCGACCAAGCAACACGATATGGTAAACTTCATAACATATCGTTCTCTGCATCTAATCTGATTGGTTGCCTATTGCATACACCGAAAGTATCGAATTGGATCAACCCCCACACCAAATGCCTCCGGTTGGTCTGGAGTCCTGTATATATCGATCCAAAAGCTAAGAAAGAAGCCAGTTTCCAGCCGCTATCACAGCCCAAATCGAGTTCTACACCTGAGTTCTGGAGACAAGGCTGATACCTATTCACATCCGGGCCTGCTGCCTATTGCGGGCCCAGCATTGCTGATTGGTGGGGTGCGGGTGATAGCTCATGACTGGGCGCCTTGTTGGTGAACTGGCCCACGACACCGAACCCGCACTGCTACTGGCCAGCCGTGTCGTCATCTCCCCACATTGCAACATTTGGCCCCGCGTGCAGAGAAAGCTCTCGATTCTCAACACAAATATTATTTAAGAGTGGGGACTTGCGGTCTTCAAGGCTACACATTATATCAACCGCTGTTGGCATTCACTGGCAGTGAGGGTTATTGAGGTCTAGCACTCATACTGCATACTGACACACTTCACTACGACACCAAACCTCTTTACACCTCTCAGCAATTGTCATTGCCATTGACAGAGAAAGAAACGCTGTCTTCATTCTCGCTCCTCTTTGTCCGCGTGCCAAGCCACCCAACACGGCAAGGCTCCGTCAGAACCTCACCGCCCACTGCAGAAGCACGAACGCGTAAAGTGCTCTACCGGCGTGCCCCACTACCACCACATCTCTCACATCTCACCTAGCACCCAGCACCCAGCACTCTGCGCCCATCACCCTGCACCCTTCACCACCAACACCCACCATGTCACTCTCCCCCTCACCCCCGACCCCCCCGCGCCCGCCACGCCGCCAGTTCCTGTTCAAGCGCGCCAACCTCAGCGCCCCCGACAGCACCAGCGGCATCCCCGGCACCGACACCGCCGTCCCCGACTTCTTCAGCCGGCGCGAGCAGAACTACATAGCCCCCGAGGCCGTGGCCAAGAAGGTGAAGCCGAAGCGGCCAAAGAAGAAAGCCGCGGCAGACGGGTCTCCGCCGAAACGGGCGCGCGGGGACGACTCGGCGGAGGAGCGCGGTGCGGCGCATGACAGGCGTGGGGGCGCGAAGCAGAAGTACGTTTTTCCTTCTTCTGGCTGTGTAGGGGAGGGGTGCGACGGGAAGTGTGTGGGGGGAGCTGCAGCTAACCGTCGGTGATATCCAGATGCGATGCGATTATGCTTTCGGACTCTGAGGACGACGGCGGCAACAATGCGGCTAGGAAGCACCGTACAAAGATGAAACCCAAACAGCGGAAGCGCGAAGTCAGCCTGACACCCCCGCCAGTCCTCTACAACGACCTCCCCCTATCCTATACTTCCTCAGCACCCACCCAGCGCCCCATAACAACCACTACCACAGCCTCAACACAACCAATCAGTCTTGACTCCGACCCCGAGGACCCCGCCCCCATCTCCGCGGAAGACGCCCTCTTCGCCACGCTCGAAAAGCGCGCTCGCGAAAAAGCCGCCGCCGCCGCTGTCCCCACCACCACCTCCCCGCTCTCCCCGCCACCTCCCGATCCCGTCATCTCCGTTCTCATCACCTCCCACATCGAGGGTACACAACCACTCGTGCTGCGCATCCGCGCAAATCAGACGCTCAAGGCCGCGCGCACGACGTGGTGCCAGCGGCAGGGCTTCACGGCCGACCAGGCCGCAGACATCTTCCTCACGTGGAAGGGGAATAAGGTGTTTGACCACAACTCATGCCGCGGCGTGGGCATTCGGCCGGTGGGCGGCGAGGAGAATGTGCATTTGGAGGCGGTGACGGCGGAGGGGTATGCGGCGATGGAGAGGGAGCGGGAGAGGAAGTATGCGCTGGCGGGCGGGGAGGTGGAGGAGGAGGAGGTAGAGGAGGAGGTGGTGGAGAAGGAGGAAGTGGTCATGAGGTTGACGTTGAGGAGGAAGGGGGCGGAGGACTTTAAGATTAAAGTTAGGCCGGTATGTGTTGTTCCCGTACCCCATGGTTATATGAGTTGGTGGGCGTGGAGTGTTGACGTGGGGTAGGAAACAAAAATATCGAAACTTATCGCGGCGTACCGCATCTCGAATAAGGTCCCAGAGGAGAAAGAGATACGTCTAGACTTTGACGGCGACAACCTAGACCCCGAAGAGACGGTGGGCGATACCGAGTTGGAGGATCTCTTTGGGATCGATGTTTATGTTAGTTAGTTCTTTCGCTGTTGGACCATTAATCACTAGCTTTATTTAGTACAGACATTATCTTTGTTTTTTAGGCCCCTCCTCCTCCTCCTTTTCCTTTACAGTTCTCTTTGGTATCTTTTTGTATGTGCTCGGTGGCATGGAATGGAAGCGGGGCAGGGCGTTTTGTGAAGCATTCTTCAATTTTTTTTTTTTTTTTAGCATATTTGATGGGAGGATCTCCTTTTTTACGCTCTCCAGTCGGGTTGGGTTGTGCATGCCATGCCATGCTATCTGTGCTTAGCTCATTATATATTAGATTAGTTTAGTTGGAAATGGTCGGTGCAATGGGGTGTGCGTGAGGTGTGCGTCATGGGTTATCACGCGGTGTAAGATGCTATAATACTCGTATCTACGATCCTGCTGGATCACTGTCGAGAAGTGAGAGTCTCTGGGTCGTGATCGCCAGGCACCCACCCACCCACCCACCCGCCTACACACGCCTGTATGGAAGGTGATGGGCACTTCCGTGCAGATATGTGTCCTACATTTATGGTTCGGCGTAGTCAAAGTGAGCACGTGAAGAAGTACTAGTAGTACCGCCCAAACATAGAACTCCAGGGTCATATCAGATCAGATCAGATAGGCCCCGATTTCCCGAAAGTCCTTTTTTTTTTTTTTATAGAGCTGTAGCCGCCTTCCCCAAACCACTTAGCCCTTGGTGTACATGTATTTGCCATAGCGCGCTCAGACCTAGCGTTCGTCCAAGGTTCCCACATGAGCGGTCGGGCCTTGGCACCCGAGTGATATCTTATGATCCACACTACCACACCGCACACCACAGCGCCCTGCATCCCACTTCAACCCACCACGACTCACCACCAACAACCACCAACAGCCGACAACCAACAAACCACACTACACAGATTTTGAGCACGACCTGGGCGCTGACCGAGGGGTCTGATGGTCGCAACGGTGATAGCAATCCGTGGCTTCTGGTGACTATCAGAGCTGTGCATGTGGTTTGTGGTGTGTGTGTTTGGGGGGGGGGGGGGGGTGTATGATGTGGTTTTGGAGAGCTTGACGTGAGAGATGATGGGCGGTTGGTGATTTGCCTTGGGGGTGCTGGGTGGGGAGTTGTTGGGGGTTTGTTGTGGGCTTCGTGGGTATGGTGTGTTTTATCGAGCGCTGACTATCTTCGCGTTTGATCAGGACTTACCTAGGGGTTTTTGGATGGGTGTATGCCAGAGTCTCGACATGGTGAGACTTCTGTAGGTATGGAAGATGAGAGAGGGGAGTAAGTATCCCTATCGTTGAGAAGTATACCCAGCAACGTCCCAGAATGACTACGCTCTCTAGGCCATGTAGGACTACGATCCACAGCTCGCTCTTGATGAAGATGGACGGTCAGGAATTGTCTCTATCCTGTGATTCTAGGCTAATCCTGCACTTTGGGACTAGGGAGAGGTGTGTACAAGGCATTGCTGGTGCTGGTGCGGCACTGTTTATAGACGCAGTGAGTTCTACGACGTGGGATATTACGAGTTTTAGATATGGAGATCCTTTGGGCTCTTTCGTCTCTAGTTCATATGCGAGCTGAAGTTGACAAACTCAAAGACCGGGTACACAGTTAGGTTCGATATACGCAGGACAACTACTTTGAAGATGCCGGGGACTTTCTAGAGAGGATAGAGTCTCGTGGACGATGAAGAAAATGAGTATATAGGTCATAGACGAACGATAGATACCAACCGGTAGCAATCCTTGAAGATCGGTGGCAAAGGATATAGCAATTCGGGTTCTTCTTTATGTTTCGCTCGGCATACAAGTTTTCTTAAAACTTTCCAAGAGCTCTGGATTGAGCCGGCCGTTGATTAAAGAGTTTGAGTTCAACACGCTGAATGATGAAGCCTTAAATTGACAATTCAAATGCCTGGGGCGGTGATGACATTCATTGGACACACTGCAGCGCTTTAATGGGGCTTTGATCTGTCCGGGGAGTCCGACTCCGGTTCTGTCCTTGATACATTTTGGAAAATTTGGAAAGAAAGGTCTCGTTCAATATATGTCGAGCCTTTATCCTAAGGTGAGGTACATTGATCTCTCTATCGTACCACTCAATCTATATTTGGCAAATGCCTAGACCATCCGTCTCTCGCCCACAAACCTTTGCTCGACGTTCACGCATAAGAGAAATCTTGAGGCAACAAAGAGATAATATAAATACATGTCTCTGTTCGCCGTATCATTGTATATACTGATATTGAGGACTCTGGTGGGATACCTGATAAGTGTATTAAGGTTAGTTAACATTCCATCTATCAAGAAATATGGTATACCTAGTGAGAGCGGTAGCAAAGCCTCTACTCAATAAACGAATTACTCTGTTCAACTTTTAATAGTCCTGGTGGCCTGGTTGTCCACTCGCCAACTTAGTGAATAGAGCTCTCTGTTGGCAGTAGAGTTTTTCCTTTGGTGAACGGAGAAGAATTGTCTGGCACATTGTCAGTCATAGTCCTAGAATAAACCATGGAGGCATCATTATTATAAGAGTAGAGCGCTGGGTGAGCAAGCAGCCTTGATACGAGGCGGACCAAATAAGTCACCTCATACCCCAACGCCCCTGCCATGCGCCCCCGCCCCCCTTCTTCCATGCACAAGGTGCTGGGTGAGCAAACAGCTTTAATACAAGGCGGACCCAGAAGGTCACCTCATACCCCAACGCCCGTGTCATCACCCTGAACATTAACGGCAGTCTTCGAACCCACCGGGACAAGACGGACCAAGTAAGCCATCTTTGCCCCAGCGGGGCCAGCATCGGGTGAGCAAGCAGCTTTCATACGAGGCGGACCAAAAGAGTCACCTCATACCCCAATGCTGGCCCGTATCTCACGGTTTGGTGACTGCTGATCGTCGCCCAGAGCCCTCGCCGCCAAAGTCTTCTGTGGTAAAAGGGTGCGGGACAGTGTTCGGGGGTGGGAGGGAGCTGGCGCAGTCAGAGACCTCGTCTTCGTGCTGAGAGGTCTTCTACACCGTTGGTTGTTGGTAGTTGTCTGAATCGGGAGCACCACCGCCTCACTCGGGAGCGCTAGGTAGATCTTTGGAATGGCCTTAAGCGCACCCGCCAACGAGCGATGTGCCCTGTTCATAGATTAGTAAAAATCCTCTGTACAGGTAAGTCAACTGGGCAAGCCAGTAAGATACGTGAGAAGAGTTAGCTTTTTAGAAAATTCAAATCCGGCAGCAAAAACTGCAGCAAGTCAAATATCAATTTGGGACATTGCAGAATATGGGTGAGTGGTCTAGTTGGTAAGTCCCCTAGATTGCCCCCATAACAACACCGTGTGTTGATACCTCGGAGACGTCCTAGGTTCGAACCAGGGGTGGGAGTAGTATCGGTAATCCCGATGCAGTACTTTTTGTGTTTTTTTTTTAATTGAAGAACATCTTACTCTCACACTGTGAAAAATCTGGAACTGAAGCCAAAAGATCTGGTAGAAGCTGTAAAGGGGGGGGGGGGGGGGGTGGGGGGTGGTTGGGACCACCCCGTACGATAACCGCCCGACCCAGGGACAGTAACTACATGTACTTACATGTACTGAGATTACAATGTACTTCTCCAGTTAGTTTTAAACCGAACGCTCACTTGCTGTTTTGTATCCAAAATCAATCTTTAACCCTACCCAACACAGGGGGCTCGCTGGGGTTATCTTATATTCTTTCACGTCGTTTTCAGGAGCATTTCAGTTGTTTCCCCTCCCGTCAATGGTTTCTGCGCGAGCTTTTCATAGCCTCCGGGCTGCAATCAATTCATGAATTATGTATCAACCAATCAATCAATTCTGTGCCAACAGATACATTGTATATACGCCAGAAAGGAAGACCGACGGACGGCTTGTTGGGACTGGTGGGCAGCTACTGGTAGCTTAGTACAAGTACGGTACAGATGGGTACGAGGCTATGTACGTATACGTGTGCGTACGTTTACCATCTCCCCCAGCACGCAGTTCCTCCAACAAGTTCTGTTTGTGTAGTGGTCTATGCCTCCGGTTTAGGAAACTTATGACGACAGCGGATACCGGGTTCGAATCCCGCTTAGATCCTGCACAAACAATTGTTTTTTTTTCTTCTTTCTTTTACCTCAGTTCTATTATTGTTGAAGTAGGGAAGCTCTCTGATATATCCATCCCGTACACCTGTGTAGTGGGCGCCGGGGATTCGGGGGGGGGGGGAAGGGGGAAAGAAAGGGCCAACGTACCGATGCGCCGCGAGTGCCAACCTGCATGTATGTCTGTTCTGTCTATGTGCGCCCCCCGCGAGCTCAGGGCAGTTACGAGGGAGTCTTGGCGCGAGTGATCTTCTATGACGCCAAGCCCCAGCGTTTCCTACCTTTATAAACATATCACCAACCCTTTCCTCTTCTTTTGTACTTACCCCGCTACATACATATAATTTATCAACTCGTGTGTCTCTTCCTACAAGTATCCTTCTCCATCCATAGACTTCTTACTAACTCCACTCTTTCTCGTCCTTGCCTATCCTTCCCCATAGTTCCCACGCCTCCCAATTCCTAACTCCCCACCAACCCCGTACCACTTTTTCCATCCTTCATAATTGCTGTCTACTCTTTCAAGTCTACATGTGCTTCCTAATCAATCAACTCTGTCGTTTTTCCTCTATTTCTTCATTTACATCCTACCCATTAACTCCCCCCTCTTCCTCGCGTCTGTCTATCCTTGCCCGCCCCCCCCCCCAGCTTCCCCAGCTTCTCAAGTTCCATAGCTTTCCCATTCCCCGATTACCCCATCTAGTTATCTAGCCTCAGCCCTCTTCAGATGGACGAAGACGCACCAAACCCTGCCCCCTCGTCGAAACTGGAGCTGATCCCGTCAGGTACAGCAGAAGAGCTGACTTATCCTCTATAAGTTCTAGCTACAGTATCCCCTGAGTTCTTTTTCCTGGGCGATGCCGAGGGCTTTAGCAGTGAAGTTGTGAGTGTACTAGAACTGAATACCATGACTTCACTACTTGAGTATAGAACTGGCGATTACTACTGTGGATTGAGAGCTCTGGCCGTCCCGATGTTCTGTAACTAGCGGCTTTCGCTTGCAGTTTGCGTAGCAGAAATAGTTCGAGGTAAGTGAAGTAAGTTCGTGAACAGTCCCTCCTTGTTGAACATCGAGGAATCAATTGACTTGTCGAGCATGCGAGTTGAGTTAGGCTTCGCTGCACTTGTTTGAAGAGAAAAGATTGAGTCGAAGATACATGTATGTGCTTAAGTAATGATAGATCTACAGCTAGCCTCGTTCCTAGACTTTTGTCAACTCGTTCCTCGTTCTTGTGCTGGAGGATCACACCACAGGCTGGACACGAGACTAATTTATAGCACACATATACCTCACAATGAGCTAATCATAGACATGACACAACGAACTTCAGCCTTCCTTGCAGCCAGAGGGCATGGACAGAGCACATTGAACATCGAGATCGCCAATAATTACTGACCAACCAGAGGAGTACAGTGTTGTAATCGTGGACCTTGAATCGCGAACATAGAGTAGAAGGGCCAAACACAATCATGGATTTTATGATACCGAGTAGGGAGTATTCATGCTTATAAAAATTTTCCTCTACCTCGAGTTTTCTTACACACAACGCTTAAAATGAGGTTTTATCACATATGCCCAAATTGGCTACAAGGTCAAATGGTTTCCCGTCCCAAACACCAGAAACTTCGGTAGTGTAGTAGTGACATTGCTTGCCTCGAGATAACGCCGCTTTGGGGCGCTAATCCTGGTATTGGAGGGTCGTAGGCTCGATCCCTTCAAGAAGTTCTTTTTTTCTTTCAAGAGAGAAGTTGGGAGTGGCCACATAACCCGGAGACAGGTAAGTCCCAACCCAAGATATGTATCTGTTTCAACTCACGGCAAAGCTCAGTATGTAACCAATTTTCAGACTAGACACTGCAGCTGGCAATGACGGATCTCAATAGTAAGGCCACGGCCACATACATAAGCAGATAATCCCAGGTTACTCTCTCACCGCAATGAAGAATACCGGACGGAGAGGAAAAACTACGTGTGAACGAGTATGTGTGCGCCTTTGGACAGCAACCAGGCCTCTGATCTTACCTGCTGGATACTGCAGGCCTACGAGATGATCTTTGGCCAGTGTAACAGAAGAGAAAGGGAAGAGAAAGACTAGAGAAGGAGATAAGAGCGGTCGGACGAACAACCTCAGGAAAAGCACGAAGCCTGTAGATATTTGACGGCGGAGGATAACCCCTATGTATGTACCTCGTAGATAGAAACTGTGTTCAAACCCTCTCGCCGGGGGACGCGAAAAGCGCAAAATACGGAGGAGACGTAAACCGGTACCACAACGGGCCCGGCAATGCTTATACTCACCCGGACCAAAATATCTGTCCTCTGGGCCAGACTGGGCCCTTGACTTTAGAGCGTAGTCTACATGTGCAATGTCCAAATCCGATGGACCGTTCTACCCGAGTAACGCGCATCGTGTGAAAGGGATAATCGAGCCTTTTCTGCCCCATGTTTGGTATCGAGTGATAATTCATGAACCACCAACAAATCTATGCTCGGTCTCCGAGAGACCAGATCTCTCTTCTGTCTACGCTAATATTACCAGAAAACATCCGAACCGGGTGGACAGAGTTACGCCGGGCCTCTAATGTCATATTGGGCCGGGTCTAAGGACTTTCAAACCCAGGATATTTACCCACAGCGAACCCTGGCAGAACTTGCGCAATTACACGAAGAAAAGAAAACAGACCCCTTTAAGCCCCTCGGACAGTACCCAAGAGCTCACAGGAGTCCGTGTCTCCCGGCTTACAGTAAAACGAGAGAAAGTCTCTGTCAACCCCTCGGACAGAACACAAGAGCGGACAGAAACCTTTCCCCCGTAGTGGCAGCAGGAGCCGGGGAGCTAATGCAAAAAAGGCCCCTCCTGATACCCGGACCGGAGCACAAGGACCAAGAGAGGCCTTTTCATAGATTGTTCCCCCACGAGGAGGGAGCAGAAGAACCGCCAAAGCGACCTAACGCAAAAAAGGCCCCTCCTGGTCCTCGGGCCGGAGCCCAAGGACCAAGAGAGGCTTTTTGAATTTTTAACTGCTCCCCCTGGCGGGGGGAGTGGGGAGCAGAGGCGCAGTCACCGATGAGGTGACCGAATGTAACCCGCGCCCCTCTCAGCCCCTACAGGGACCGAGAGAGGCTATTTCTCCCTCCCGTTCACGCCGTTATGGCGTGAGCGGAGGGAGAGGAGGAGTAGGGCTAGGCACCCCGTGGTCTCTCGGGAAATGTGCCCAGCGAGACCAGGAGGGGGCGCTAACCCCACCCCTCTGTTACGACCTCCCCTCTCCGCTGGGGGAGAGAAGGGGTAAGAGGAGGGGGCGGACGGCGGGACCATGGGGGAGGAGGGGGCGGACGGCGGGACCATGGGGGAGGAGGGGGGGTTAATCCCACCCCTCTGTTACATCCTTCCCTCTCCCCTGAGAGAAGAGAGGAGGGAGAGGAAGGGCCCCAAGAGAGAGCTATGAGGGGAGGGAGGAGACTCCTCGTGCCCAGCACGAGGACCACGGAGAAGCCGTCTGCTCCCTGAGGAAACGGATGCCGAGCCCGGATTTTCGCCGACTGGCTATATTTCGAGGTAGGGCTAGTTAGCCGTGAACCTAAGAGAGGGGGAGAGAGAGTAGGAGCGCTCTTGTTGCTGTCGTAGTAGCATGGTTGGGGGCACCTCTAGCCTGGCAGCCTATGGCATTCCCCCGTCAATCAACATATGCAAATAACCCAGCCCCCCCCCCCCCCCCGCGCTGCTGTACGTCTTTGCACTTGTGTAAAATCGGGAAAGAAACAGAAATAATCATTTAGAGGTATATCAGGCCATCCTCGTGGGCACCAACGAAGCACTAGCACCGCCGAAAAGTAGAAGAGACCGGTGTTGGTGGCAAGGGATATTTACCGGCCATGAAAAAGAGCCAGAGGACATGCTTTGGCGGGTTAGCTCTTCGCTGCATGTAGTTTCATATGAGTTCAGGCTTGATAGTTGTTACGGTCGCTGCCTGTTGATCTAAAAAATAGACTTCAATATCTGTCTACGTTGTGTTAGGATAGTTTGTCTTGGAGGGATGCTGTAACTATACGTAGATGAAAACTGATAATCCCCGTTCCTCAAGGTGTTGATTTTGGGCTTTTGGGCCTAGGAGTTGAATCTCTGGGTTGGGTTTTTTCTTGGTTTATAATGTGCGTGGAGTTATATATATGTCACGTATTTTTTTGTTTGCCAAGGATCATTTTCCATGGCTATTTAATATGAGGGTCTAGAATATGTCCTTACCACTTATTTTGGGTATATGCGGCTCTATTATTTACCCAACTTGTAATAAAATCAAGAAAATAGTGATTTTGTTCCGCACAGAACTACCGAAGGGTCCTTCCTTAGCGCGAGTGATATTACATGACGCCGGGAATGATAAAGCTTAAGGACAGCACTGCATAACAACCAAACACCATGTTCTGGGGTCACGTAATAAAAAACTCACGTCCTCTTTAACCACGTCACATCATCTAACAACTGCTGTATAAATGTCGGCTCGCCATAGAATCCCCATTTTCAACCCTCCACCTCCGATCCCTGTCACCACCAGTTGGGTTGCTTAGTTTATAGACCTTGATCAATTGATTCAGAGCTAGAGATTTTTGGCTGTTAGGTTTTTGACTATAGATCCTCTGGACCCTCACGACCCGTTTTCCTACCTACCCATAGAAATGTCAAAAAAATTCATGTCGAAGCCGCCAGCCCAAAGGAGGGCCAGGAGCGGCTTTATAACGGATTGCGTCTACGAGGAAGACATGCATATGCCATGTGCTATAAAGCCTGCTCATCTCGCCGATATTCTACCTTTCCAATACCAGCCGGCAACAAGCAGACAGAGCCACCCCGACCCTCTTCCAGAAGGTACAAAAAAAGCTAGAAAGCATGTGACAGATCGTGATATTGAGAAGCGTCTGAGCCATAATATGTTGCTGTCGGCGAACAGTTTTGCGGAGTGTGAGAGCGCTAGGAAACGTGGTGATAAGGTTTTTACTCAGACACATGGCGAGAGATGTAATATCCGTCGATCGACGATTTAGTGAGGATTAGAGCTAACTCACTTGTTTTAGGCCACATAGTTGAGGTTTTCTTTGAGGTCGACTTGGACAGTATGTCCTCCAAGCAAAAAACCGACTTCCAGACTGATCACTATCCAACGATCAAGATGCCTGCTGGGGCGGTCTATGCCGCGTTAGACTGCAACCTCCGCCGCATTTTCGTCTACTTCAATAAGGGCATAGAGGCCGTATACGGCGCTCAGGTCGGCCAGTGGGTGCTGGACGCCACCAAATGGAATATTGAAGAATACACTCATATCAACCCCCCAAAACTCCCGAACGTCATTATTGACTGGGATGCCTTCCTCCTCTCCGATCCCTGGGGTTACTTGGAGCGAGGGCACACAGCGGGCGTGTATCATTGGGGCTGCTGGAGGGAGTCGGAGAAGGATTTTTGCCTGACGACAGACACCATAATGGTCCCTCCTCTCGTTAAGCCAGTATTGCATAGCTTCACGAAAACTCTTGGAAACATGACACGTGCACACAGGATACTGTTGGGCGCGGTGGATAAGGACTATAGAGACAAGGGTGAGAGAATGATTACAGATATGCGGATGGGGTTGAAATTTCCGTGGGTTACGGATGAGAAGGATTGTTTCTCGCTCCGCACATGCATGGTCAATGTGCAAACTGATCCGTATTATGGAGAGGCATTTCCGAATGATGAGGATGCATGGCTCGTGATGACACCGCTGGGAGGATTTGAGGGCGGAGAGCTGTGTGTTAAGGAGCTTGGGAGGAAGTTTCCCCATAACCAAGGTACGGTTGGGTTTATCAGAGTGGCCAAATTGGAGTATCGTATAGCTCCGTGGACCGGGACAAGGTACAGTCTGGAATGCTTGCAGAGTATGCAAATCCCGGAGTGGGCAAAGATTAGGATACGTCGTCCACGTCGGCGGGTAATAATAGTAAAAGAAGAAAATGATTATGATGATGATGATGATGATGATGATGATGATGATGATGATAATGATGATGATGATGGAGAAGAATTTGCGTGGGTGGATGCTTCCTTAGCTAGGTAGTTGGAAAAACCAAGAACTGCTCTTTTTTATGAGGTTTATGTGGATAATTTGCGTGAGTATGCATTGAGGTGGTTACGGTGATTGCGGAGATATATGCGGTGGGGTACTTTTGCGATTTGACCCGGATCGTTACTTAAAGGCTGTTTGACTCGGCTTTTAGAGCTTTGTTGTTATATGCTACTATGCTTCCTCTCCCCTCCTCTTCCTCTCTCATGTCACTTCCTTATTCTTCCGCACCAATTGTCAACTATGTGCATATACTGATTTCACCTTGCGATTACTCGCCGAATATACTACATACCTCACGCGGCAGGAACATTGTAGTAACTTCAATCCTAAACCCTATCATATAGTCTTCTTATTTACGGTGCATGCTCCTTCTGCGCCTTTTGGGACGAGGGGTAAAGTCTTCACAAGAGAATCCAAGGGAGGAAAGGATGTACCGAGTTATCGCCTCCTCGCGGTAGATACGCCGTGAGTGCCTGCGAGGGTTGCATGTACATCGAGACAAATCACGAGCTCGGAGCAGCCTACGTGCTCATGGATTACAACGGGTGGTTGGCTGTTTCGGAGAACGTGAATACACGCCAGTCGGTGACGGTTGATTTCCCCTTGTAGGCTACTTGTGCCTTGGAGTTTTCTGGCTCCTAAGCCCGTCTTTTTCCCGCGGGAGTGGTTGCTCGTTCTGTCAAGTTGTATTGTGTTCTTCCCATCTATCACTACACCGCAGGTTGATTTTCGGTCTGGATTGTTGAAGTGGATGTCCAGGTCTGGGCAGGAGTAGGGTAGACAACATCACGGCACTGTTGGATTTACTGTGGAGCTATTATGTTTACGCACAAAAGGGGAAAGAAAGCACATGTAGTCTTTGTAAAGAATGGTATTGTCGATGTGCATTGACGTTCTCATACCAAGCTAGTGTCTTGGCGCGAGTGATACCTGATGATGCGGCCTGGCTAAGTTACCCAGCACTGTCCGGCCGCTTATATACCACCCGAGCCCCTTTGACAACATCGTGGCATAGTCGAGGGGTAATAGCCTCTGCTATGTTGCATGACATCGACGGTTCAACCCGGGATGGAAGCAGTGATGAGAATGCCCAACATGGTAGCGACGCTCTTGAGGGATGATACTCATCACATAAGTCTTTTGTCCCTCGGTATTTCTTTTTTTATTCTGCCTTACGTCACATTATCGCTAGTAGTATAAGTGATTATTGGTGATTTTTTTCGAAGCAGTAAGTTTTCAATTCCACCTTGTTCTTCCTTTGTTCTCTATCATTGCCCGTTCCGTTCGATACAGTGCCCCCACCCTAGGCTTTCACCTATTTGGTCTTTGGCGTCGCCGAGTGCTTAAGGGGGGAGGAAGTAAAGGTTACTGTTTTGTTTTTTATATTCTTACACTACCATGGGTGCAATGCTCCCGGGTCTTACCACCCGCTACCCCTTTTAAATTGTTAAAAGACAAATTTGTGTATTGAGTGTTGGAAAGACTCTATTACTTCTTAACGTCCCCCGAATGCGAACCTGTCTTGTACTCTAGGCATGAATTCAGTATCTTTGTTCTTATTCATACCCGTATTTTATTCTTTTCCCTCTTCTCTCCTCATTTTGTTATCTTTTGGTGGCATTTATCGATTTATTCGGTGGTACTGGGGAGACCAATTGTAAGGCCAAGGTTCTTGAAATTTTAGTACTTTTATGTGTATAGATTTCAGCTCAGCACAAAGTCTCGAAGAGCAGTCCTCTACCCCCAGCATGCCGTAAAAATAGCAGTTGCAGAAGAAGTCCTTAGCTTTAGCCAGGGCAGGGCCAGTGATGTTTTGCCCTATCAGTCCTGTCGGCGGAAATGAAGAAACTGGTCTTGGCACTAGCTCCAACCCTTTTCTTTATAAACCACGTTTTCCTCCCACTCTGCCTTTTTTCTCAAGCTACTCGACTGCAACCGCATTCCTCCCCTGTCTAAAGCCAGCGGGAGGTTTGCAAATCTGCTCATTCTGCCCCTTGGGGCAGCGCAGTTTATTGCCTCCTCTGGCACCCAATGGGCATAACGCCCGAGGGTCCAGAGGGGGCTAATTTGCGTTAGGTCGTTTTCTCGGTGGTTGTTTCCCCTTACTCTCCTCCCTCCAGTTTTCCCTCCTTCCCCCCCTCCTCCCTCATCGTTTCTAGCCTCTTCTGGTCTCTAGGCTTTTCGCCCGGGGATCAGGAGGGGCTAATTTACGTTAGGTCTGTCCCTCCTCTTCTCTCCCCTTTTTGTCCTTTCGGTTTTTGTGCCCTCTCCTTACGGGGGAGTCCAGTCTCACTCCACTTCTGGGCGTAGTCCGAGGAGTTGGGTGAGATCATGACTCAAATTTGAGGGCCAAGGAGAGAAGTTTCAAGTAAATGCCAGACGGAACGCTGAATAAACGTCCAAAAAGTGTCATATGACTTGCGGCTCTACTCATAAGCTTCCCTAGTTTCCCCCGCCTGCCTTTTACCCGAGTCCCTCGACCAAGATCCGTTGAAAAGAGCAGCTTGTAATAGAGTAATATTCGAACTTTCTTGGTGTGAATGTTTTGCCTTTGACTAATGAATGCTTGACGCTTTCGTACCGCCAATTGCCTGGCGAGAATATCTGTAACTTTTTCTGCTTATATGAGCTGTATTTTAATTCCTCTAGGACGGAAAAAAAATCATTTCTTGAGCAAGTCTATTTCCGTAGTCTGGTCCACGAGGCGGGCAGAAATTAATGTATTAAACAAAAAAAAAAAAAAAAAAAAAAAAACGAGGCGACCAGAGGCGAGCAGAGACGGGCAGAGGCAAGTGCCTTGAGGTGCCCCTGCATGACCGTATCGCCTATCTCATTGCCTGCTGGTGTAAAGAGAGGTGACGCCTCGAGGTGCTCGAGCTCGCTCGGGGCAGATAACTACTATTTAGATCTGTCAATTGCATTTTACTGCAATCCTTGTATGTAATGTAAGGAATACTTCCAATGCTCCTATCGGCGAAATCAACCCTACTGAACGTATGCCACTGATATTATGAGTGCCTAAACCTCGAGCAGCTCGAGGCCAGCAAGAGAGTTTGCCTCGTCGACCCCATGCCTTGAGCTCTCTCGAGGCGAGGCCATGAGGCTCAAATATCAATTTTTCGTAGACCACACTACTATTCCCCCTCTCAGAAGCGTTTTGACCTGAGAGCGTGGCCTTGGTTGGGCACCTCTACCTGGAGGTATAGTCACTAGGCCCTGGTAGAAAATGTGTTATTCGTGCCACATCGGCTGTGAAAAAAGGGAAAGGAAGGTAGGTGATCTTTGGTCCAGAAAGAGCAAAACGGAGACGAGCGAATGAAAACATTGATCCTTCCGCCTTCTCGCTGATGTGAGAAAATTTGCCGCTCCTGCTCTTAGTTTAGGATAGACTTCGAAACAGCTCTTGGGTCCTGGAGCCTATCCCAGTTACACTGATAAGGTTGTAGAAAAATCCCTGTACTGGAGAGTCGTCTAGGATTGCGGTCAAAAAGGTAAGACATGTGGAGTTAAATCCTTATTTACTGCTCTCAATAGTCTTCCTCAATCACATCAAAAGCCTCCACCGGTCGTGGTGCCTGTTTGGAGCGGTATTTTACCTATTCTCATCATTCTCGGATTCCTTATACCAAGTTTACCCAGATAATCCTTCGCTCCCCGCTTCTATGGCTCCCACCTTGTGGGTAAAAACAGATAATAGTTTAGTTAGATCACGTACACACCATCAGAATCCGGTCTTTATCGCGCAGCGTGATGTATCACTGTATCGCGTAGTTCCGAGCTAAGGGTTTCAGATTAGTGATTGCACGTTCATGACTGCTAATTCACATGTTGGATATAGAAGTAGGTGATGTTAAGGAGGAGATAGATCGGGTGTCGAAGAATGGCGTATGTGGCCCATCTAGAGGCATCAATTAACCTCATGAACTTATACCGATGGAAACCAATCACGTGGGTCCAAGTCACAATACTTCCGATACCATAGTATTATTAGTCCCTTCTTTCTATCTGAAGCTAGTCTGAAAGGAGTTGTTTCAGACTTTTGTCATTCCCATTATGTGCGCACACCCACAATTCTATGTTGTGCGAGTGATAGTTCATGTCTGCTCTTTAACTCACTCACACCACATGCCAAGCCCACACCAAACAGTCGCTAGTCACGCACCCATCAGACACACTGGAAAATATTGTGTAAAATGTAAACTGGCTGCCAGCTACATTGATCAAACATCTGCTACTAACCAGACGCCATCAACACATCTCATAAACACATCTCATAAACACACAAAATAACAGGTAAACAGCCTCACTATTGCAACAGGTCAACTTACCCCACTATTATCTCGTTTAATATCAGTACGGTTGTTAACCCATCCTTTACCCTGTCTGTTCCCATCTTCTAGCTCGTCATCTCTCTTAATGGATAGAAGAACCAATGCCCTTACATGCAACCTGGCCACAGACTACCTATTGGGTGTCTGTTTCGCTGTTGGTCTCCCACCGGGCCACAGATTACCTTTTGGGTATCTGTTTCGTGTCCCGGTGGGCCACTGGACCTCAGACTCCCTATTGGGTGCCTGCTCCGCTTCCAGTGGTCCATTTAACCTCAGAATACCTACCGGGTACCTGTTGATTAAATGGTGGGGGATTGGTTAACTGACTTTTTCTTTCGATTTGGTAGGGCCACCAATACGGGAAACTCTTCCTCAATCGACAGAGTACCTGCTAGCTTACCGATAAAGGAGAGAGGATGGGCGACTCTTCGATCCCTTCATCATTGTTAGCTGCGGGCCGTTAGGACAGCAATCTGGCTCTTCCTCAACGGGACTGCTGACAATCATTGTCTACATGGACAGTCTCTTAAGTAAGATGTGAGTTCGAGCAGTGTATTCTGATTAATTTTAAAAATATTTCGTTGAGGTCTAGGATACACATGTCTGCTCTGAACCCGCCGATGGAGATAGGCTTAGGAAACGAGTTTCTGTTGCGACGGACTTAAGGAAGAAAACCTCACGAAAACCCGTCCCGCCAGATTGCGCTTTTGAACGCCAAATCTCGACCAACCTTCATGCATCCGCAAGAGCATTCTAGTAATGCTTGTTAAAAATTAATTGCGGTATAATTTTAATTTCGGTAACTAGAAATAAATTTCAAATTTCGGATCTTCGTCTATTGAATGATGTCTTTCACTTTCTATACATAATACCTTTTTAGTGTTAGCCTCAGGTACCAAAGGGCATATCCGAATACAGCTTGGGCGAAAGGAGATGGAAGACGAAGATAAGCCTTCCTCAGATTCTTGACTAGCGACAACGCGTATAACATCCCTATTGATAAGTATCTCAGGAGGTGAAGTAGGAGCACTCGTAGTCGTAAGATACCTCGTAGATACCTGTTCTATATTGGCGAGGCCGGGCTAGTACTAGTTGCCCATACGACGCCTCACGAAAACTCGAACATAAATAGATGTGTACCGATATACAGAGATCAGAGTCTTATATCCCCGAACCTGCGGAAGAAAATTTGATTGGGGGAGTGGTGATCGATAGCGAGTGATAGGTTATGATGCAGGTACTTTTAGCGTCACTTTTTCTGATGTCATCCTAGACTTAGTTCGACAGGGGAGATCCCCATAGGAGCCACGCTCCTTATTTTGAGATCTCAAGGTAATGTTATATACAGAGTCATTAATGGCTTCAGAAGGGCAGAAGGGGTGATTAGTTGCGGATGAATAAGGGAAATAATACAAGCACCAAATTTCAAACCCAGTACACTGTATCGAGAGTATTTTCGCATTCTCTCTTCTCCAGATGGCTAGGCCAAGCACATTTGCTCAATTGATATGGCAGGAAAAATCGTACCGCTTAGATATCTCTGTGTTTCATGAATGAGGGCAAGTTAAAATATACTCCTGCCCGTGCTAAGTTACTCCAATTACATGTTAGTCGGCTATTGTATATAGATGTGTATTTATATATTCTTTGTTGAAGAAAATCATTAGTGGCGGGAATAGTGGAATGTAAGTGTCGGATAATATATGTGTCATGAAATACACTCGAAGAGGCCTAAATGATATGTGTTAATATAGTCGTTAGATACGTGTCTACTGGTTTTTATATGCTAAGAGGGGGGGGGAAACCGACTTTACCCCGTCTATTAACACTAGTACAAAAATCTTTGTCTTGACGGGGCTTCTTCCATTGCTATCCGAAAGATAAAACCATCCTATACATTTATGAGGAACTCAATCAAAGATTTTCCATTTCAGCATTGATATGTAAGTCATCTCGATCGACTCTGATGACTTGACTACAATACAGTACAGATGTTGTTTTGCGAAATTTCAGAAATTTCAACACACGGTTTTTTTGTCAGATTTCAATTATTTGAAAAGCTTTCATGTGTTTTCCCTCCATAAATGGTTTACCGTACCATCACCCTGTGCCGGGAACTCGAAACATGGCTATGAGTATTTCAAACCACAGTGAGTTTCCTGCTAATCATCCATCGAAATCCCCAGAAATTACCGCCGATAAGAATATTTACTATCGAGAATAAGGGTTAGTATATCCAGATTACCAGGTTCAATAAGAACATACGAACCGCTTCTATGAGCCTTCACACTAATGCAATTCAAACACGGCGTCTACTTGATACCGAGAAACCTAGAACCCACATTTATCAGGTTTATATTCTCTAATTGAAAACGGGAGGACAAAACAAAAGTTATACATACCACAAGTAGCTATATATATTGCTGACCAAATCTCCCCATTGACCCAGAAATACCGACTGATTATTTATACTAACACGGGTACATTCCAGTCATTAGACTGACCCAACTTGAGTCAATCATCCGTCCTTGACCACCTATTTGCGGGTGTTCTTCTTGACGGTTGATCTGTTGGGTTTGATGGCTGCCGGACTAGGGGTGCCGTCCTTTTTTGCCGATCTCAGATTGTAAGTTTTTTTGCTTGACCTGAGGTTATAGGAGTGGCTGGCAGGTTGGGGAGTCTTCTTCGGTGTCCTTGGTGTGACTACCTTACGTTGCGCCTTAGGGATTTTGCCGGCCGGTTTTGGGTTGTTTTTGGCGGTAGTTCTGGGGGCCCCAATCTGGGTATCTGCAGTTTGAATCGTCTCGGGTATGGCGTTTGTAGATTCTTGTGAACTGAGTCCGGTTTGAAGATGCGGAACTTGGGCTTTCTTGACTGCGGCGTGTGCAAGTTTACGAGAGCGGGTTCCAGTCTTGGCCTGTGGATTCGCGGATTTGGCGTACGCAGATTTAAGAGAGCGGGTTCCGGTCTTTGCCTTCGGACTTCGCACTTTCTTGATTCCAGTGTTCGAAGATTTTGGAGGACGAGACGGTTGGACTTTGTCAGATTTTGTGCGCCTAGAGCGTCTAGCGGTAGCTCCCGTAGCTGGAATCTCAGCAGCCAAGCCCTCAGCTTCAAAAGCAGCAAAACATGAAGCAGCAGCGGTGTTGCATGCCTCAGCAGTAGCGACACAGATATCAACCACTGGAATCCCAGCAGCAAGGATAGCAGTAGCAGCAGATTGACATGCATTACCAGCTGGAATACCGGCTGTCATAATTGCAGCTGCAGCTGCGGAGCATATAGCAGCAGCGTTAGTAAACTCTGCTGCGGATGAATTACATGCTGCAATAGCAGCAGCCACAGTGGGATTTACGGCGACCCCTTCTGCCTCGCCTGCTGCATCCTGATAGTCTGGCTGGTACCAGAGAACATCACTCAAGGCAAGATGAGTGACTGGCGAATTTAGCTCCGGAGGAGCATCAGGCCATTGAGATGGAGAGCCCATCGATCCGTGCATCGGATTGATGTCTTCTGGAAAGGGATGGTAATGAGTAGGAGCGACCATGCTATAGTCCTGAGCTTGACTTGTATACTCAGGCATATGCAGGTATGTACTGGATGGATTTATGAACATCTCATCGTGATTTGTGTACATCTGGTTGTCCTCATTCGATGAATGGTGCTCATATGGGGAGAGAAAAGGTGATTGATTGAATTCCATGCTTTTTCTTTGATGAATGAGATGGGAAGAGAGCACGTACTATCTCTTCACCTATGATAGTTGGTGCAACTTGATGAAGAGGTAATGGACGGCAGTGAGGGTAGTGAGGGTAGTGAGTGTAGTGATGGTAGTGATGGTAGTGATGGTAGGGATGGGGGAGAGAGTAGTGGTGATTATTTCAGCCGTCAGAAACCAAGCGCGGGTAAGAATCGAAAGATACATGCCCTATAGTGATAACAGTGCCTTCTAAGCCTTAAACCCACCGAAGTTGAAGTCTGGCAATACCATTAATCTACATGAATTGCTTTAAAAATCTCATCCCATAGCAAGATTTTTCAATATCTGCGGTAATTTTACATATATGTAATCTGACTGAGCCGACTATTCTTTAGAAGTACATCCTCTTACTATTAATTTTTATCAGGGTGTTCTTGTTTCTCGGAGACTTGTGTTGTTCATGCAAGAGCTGCTCGAGAGGAAGATGAAAGGGAATGATAGATATTACCTGATTTAAATTCTCTACTGACTAAGCAAATAGACCAGATGGGTATAGGGCTCTAGACATAAACTCGGAACCACATTCTACATATATGTTTCTCACTCTAGGTTAGTATTCGGGGAACTGCATAAACTAGTGCATTTTTAGATAAATCTGTCTACTCCGCTTAGCAAATGAGTATAAGGTTAGACGAAAATTCAAATTGGCGGTACATCGTGACCCCTGTACTCTCTAGCTAGATATCTGGCAACACTTATATAGAGACCTCGTACTTGAATTTCTACACAACAAGTTTATTTTACAAATTTAGGCATGGTAATTCTATCCAAGATTCTGATACTAAAAATGTGAGCTTGATCTGAGCATGAGCTTTCATAATGTCTTACCTTTACATTCTAAGCAGTACCCGTTACCAGAGTACATTGTATCCTTGAATTAAGTAGAGAAATCTCCAACACATGATGCCTCGATCAATTCGCGATTTATACCGGTGTCCGATTCTCATAAATAAACAAGGTATTCCATGTGTTCCCTTCAAGCTATTGAATTTCCTCCTCACCTCTGTTAAATGTTTAGTTAACTCGAATGATGTCCTCCCTACACAGGTATTCCTTCACGCGAATATTTCCTGCTGCCTTCACGAGTATAACATATCAAAAAATCTCTGTGCCGCCGGAGAAAGTGATGTTTCCCCTGTGTACTCTAGAGTCGACATCAGCGAGCCTTTATCGTATCACAGCTGAAAACACCCTTGGCTCCTTCACATACAGGCTGCTCGACGAATTGGCATATATCCTTCTTTTATATATAGCAGAAAGAAGAGTGCTTCCTCCCCAGATCCTTTATAATTAGCTACTATCAACAATAGCCACCACATATCTATCTCTAGGGCTATTCTATCATATTCTCAGGTTCTATTGTGAGTCAACACCCGACTTTCACCCTTTCCTAAGTAAGCTTTCAAGTAAAGTTTTCAGATTCCCTGTCTGAAATATGAATTAATCTTCTAAGCAAGACATCTCTGTAATTTATATGTCAACATAAACCCTTTTCATAACCTCTACACTAACGAAATGACGTTCCTCCCCGCTGTCCGGAGAATAGGTACGAGCTCTATGTTTAAGTAGCCTTTCCACATTCTCCCACAGATGAATTGGCCTCTCATGACGGACATCATCCTTTGACCGCATGAATTGGTAGGCATATTGGTCATAATTATCTAGTCCAGTAGTTAACTGGTGATCTTCTATTTAGGCGACGCAAATAACGGTGCTATAACTAACAGCAGCTGTTAGATCGCAATCTCACCCTCAAGTATTGGAAAGAAGGAGTATCACCTTGAAAAGTAGATTTATGAAAAAATAGCTACACCCCTAGCCCATTCTGCGATGCTATTCTGCTCCCTGACTACGAGGGGAAACGGTTATAGGGAGCCCAGTCTTAAAAGACCACGGCATCCATAAATAATTTTTAAACTCTCTTCGTTAGATGTATTGTGACGATCGCTATAAAAGCCAGCAGGCACTATGATCTCTATGGAGATTTAAGTAAAGCACGAGCTTGTAGTTAAGTTTTTCTAGGTCTCCAACGACAAATTTAACGTTGATCCTAGATACGACGGCGCTGGGTCGGGGGTGTGCGGCCTATACTGTCTCTGTCAGAGTCATCAAATCCCATTCGTTTGGCTCGTGAATGCGCATTGGCCTTACATAGTCTATTTCAGTGATAGGAGGACCCTGTTAGCAGTCGCGGTGTAAGATCTTCAAACAATCACTCATCCCAAAACCCGAATGAAAGCCGTAGAGGTGAGGTATAAAGCGTATATACGTATGACAAGATTTAAGTAGGAGGGATTCGGCGGCTGGCTCCGATCAGTCGATCCGCTACCATCAAGAGTTGATTCCGGCGTCAATAGGGCTCGACATGCATGTGTTTATCGCTGTGGGTATTAATAGGGAAATAGGGTACGCTGGTGTGTTAATGATTGTTCGCACACACCGGCACATGTAAATGGAGAATATTGTAGGGTGAGAGCATGGTAGATGAAGGTCGATAGAGCCGCGGGCTCTACACGCTACTCATGAGGTAACCCCCCTACTAAACTCACCACCCCATAAAATTACACCACCCATCTTCCCCCCCCCCCCTCCCAATCCTTCTTTCCCTACTTATACCACACAAGCAACAACCACCATCAACGGCTCTCAGCCTACCCCGCTACGTCTTGAAATTCCACCCCCCACTCGCAGTACATCATGTCACCGTCCCCACAACGTCTCCAAGGCGAGGATCAAGCCAGAAAAGCTGACGGTAAGCTTCTTATTCCCCCCCCTCCCTCGCGCCTTTCCACCACAACCACCACACACACATCTCACCCCCCTCCCTCCCTATCCAACGACCCCTAGGATATCATTACGCCCAGAAAGTCTCTAAACAATGCATCCAGACAATTCCTCCTTATAAGTGGACGGAGAACCACAAAAGCTCAGAGTCACTCGTCCTAGCCGCGACCAAGTTAACTCCAGAAAGCAATAACTATCACCGATCTCCTCTCAACTAAAGTAGGCGAGACTACAGCCACAACGGACCCAGAGGAAAGCCTCAACTAGTGATGGGACGCCCTCGGTAAATACCAAACCGAAACCACAATCGGACCTTACAGCTCGGGGAAGCATCATTTCTTCCCAGGATACCCCACGACTCCCTCACATGAAGAGAGAAAACCCCAAACCCATACCCTGCACAAAGAATATACCACAGAAAAACCCACTCCCCAAGCCCACCGAAGAAGCGGAAATAAACTTCTGCAGGTACCCTACACCAAAAAACATCCCCCATCAGCTTCCAAATCTCCACATACCAGAGAAACTATGCGCCAGTACGCCTACAAGAAACTACAGTCACTAGTTTTATCGCTCCTTGGTTCGAATTGTAGTTTAAGCTGGGAGCTTACTCAGCGAGTGATACCTCATGACCAGCACGCCGATTTTACAACATCCTATCTCTGCAAAGAAAAAACCCAGAAGTAAAGCTACTAGTATGATACCCAATACCCTTCTCCTCCAATCGTAAACAACTTACCGCCCCACCTAAACCACCGACCAACCACTCACATAGAATCTCACTGCATGTATCTTGGCATGACATCACAAGCCATCACTCGCACTAACACCCACCCCTGCCGCTCCGTATCGTCGCGTCGGAAACACCAGCATCCGCTCCGAACCGGCATCAACACCCAAGCTTACCAAGACCGCATACATAAATCTCTACTATATACTTGACCCTTCCCACTTGCACACTTCACGCTTCACACTTACACATCGAACTTTGCGATTTTTTTCTTTTCTTTCTTCATGCAGATGTCAATTCCCCACACACAATAACCTTACTTAACCCAACTAATAAACTATAGCTAGCTCATGCAATCATCAAGAGTAGAGAGTATATCACAACAAAATAGCGACGCAAAAAAGCGAGCACAAAAAAAAAGAACAGAGTAGAGTAGAGCACAAATCTATCTCCCCCCTTCCTCCTTCCCCTTCCCCTTCCCCATGCACATGTCTAAGACAGAAAAGAAAGAAGAAAAAAAGAAAAAGGCTAATGATCAAGCTCTATCGTTACACCCATTACATTACCGCCATTAAAAAAAGCCATAAAAGAGAAGAAGAAAAAAAGCTCATCATAAACGCCGGAAAAAAAAAAGCCCACACTTCTACCATACCAAGAAAAAAAAGAGAACGAACGAAAAAGAGAGGGGGGGGGGGGGGGGTCTAGGCACCCACTCCCATCTCAATCTTCTTTCCCTTAACACTGACCCACTCCATCCCTAGACTTCCCAAGAAGCCCAAGCACGCCATGGCCACACTGGGGTAGAAGCACTGTGTCAGTGCGTCGTTGTATGCCTGGAGGATCATTGGCAGCTGCTCTGCGGAGAACATGGTCTGCAGACTTGTTGCACCGGTCGACAACACGATGGCGGGGTTGAAGTCAGGCATGGATGCGGTGAGGCCTTCGATCAGCTTTGATGTGAAGACGTTTTGGCCACTGTTATGCTTGTTAGCCTTCGATCTATAGAAGAAGAGGAAAAGAGAAGTGGGGGAACTTACACAGAGATAAACAGCGCACCTCCCAGAGTCTGGAAGAAAATGACACATGAGGTACCAGTAGGAACATCTTCGAGCTTCAGAACAGTCTGAGCGGCAATCATAGGCTGCTGCATGACAAGACCGATTCCGGCTCCGCAGAGAACCTGGTATCCGATCCACATTGGCGAGGCGGTGTCAACCTCGAAGGTTGTGAGGAGTCCCGCACCGATAGCGCTCATAGCCGCACCGACAAGCATGAAGGGCGTGTAGTATCCAAACACGGTGGTTCCTAC